AAATAATTTCGCTAAGAGGCTAATGAGCTAGCGTAAACTTAAAAAGATACTTAGTGATAGTCTTACGGTTCGTACGTTACGGCGAAGTATAAATATTACGACGCGTAAATCGAAATCCATAGTATAAATGAATACGATAATAGAATATAGTAACAGTAGCGATATAGAGTAATTTATTTACGGGAACTATGAATAAGCGAGCTGATTAATTAATTAAAGAGAAGAAAGTGCCACTTAGACTATAAATAACACTAAAGGCGAGTAAAGAGTCGAGCGAATGAATATTAAGACGTCGTCACCGCGACTACCGAAGCATTCCTCACTTAGTTCGTAGATAGCACTTTATAAGTAAAAGAATAAATAAGAAGAAACTAAAACCGACGTAAATATATAGTAGTAACGTTAGTATATAACGGAGTTCGCCACCTAACGAGTAGTGAGGTTAATAAACGACTAAGTTAGCTCTCGACTATTTTTACTGTCTCTTCTCTCTCGTCTTTACTCTATTTCGTTAAGTAATCACTTAATTCTCTTCGTTTCTAACGAATATTTAAAGAATATCTTCATTAATCTCGAAAAATAACGCTATATTATTTTTATAGCTTTATTTAGTGTATTTTTCATTAAGAAAACCGAGCTTTAATTATTTATAAATAGTTTTAAGCAATATAAGTAATTAAGACACTCCGCGAAGATCTCGTCGCGTATAAGGGCTTACGCCTAATTTCACACTAATAACACCGTAATGGTAAGTTCCGTAAACGCCTTAGTATATTACTCCGTTATTAGATCCGTTCACACTAACGCCCTTAAATTAGTAGTAGTAAGTAACGATTCGGAGATAAGACACTATTAATATTAGCCCGTGGGTAACCTAAGCTCTCTTATAAAGATCTAATATAATGGTTAGAACGTAACTTATTTATAGTTTCAGAGGTATTGCTCTTAGTACGGCTATAATATTAAATATTTAGATGTCGTATCCTCGTTATTTCTCGATTTAAAAACTACTACGGGAAATACTAGTATTATATCGTAAAGAAGGAATCGACGTAACCGAATGGGTTAGATAAGTTATCTAAATAGTCGAAAGAATACAATAGTTAAGTAAAAAGTTCGTACTGGAAATCGCTAATTATATTAAAGGCGATCTAGAATTAAAGATAGTATTTAAAAATAAAGTAGTTAAGAATAAGAAGACTAAAAGATTTTAAGTATTAATTAAAGAAGCGATTAATAACCGAAATAAGTATAACGAAATTAAGAGAAGATTCATTAAAGATATTAATTATACTAGAAGTTAGAATGTAACTTTATTTCTAAAGGATACGAGCGGTAGGGATACGGTTAGCCGAAAGTTTAGATAATAGATAACCGAAGAATTTTAGGAAGGTATTATAATATAGTAGTTAGACAATATAGCGTATACACTAGAGAAGCTCTAGTGTATAAGAATAACGCCTAAGCTACGGGACGAGACACCTATGAATATATTACGTCGAATTAATCATTAAATAATAAAACGGCTAGCCGGTCTCACGGGTATAAAGTTTTCTTAGCTAGCATCGCAACGAATCGATATCTTTACGGTATAGTCGAACCTAGACGATTTTAGAAACGCCATAAATGATTATAGATATTCATAAGTTATAGCTACGCGTTTAGAATATTATCTTTAGTTAAAGAATGGGTTACACTAACTAAATAATATAGAGCTACTAAATATATATAATTTAATTCTCACCGAGAGTCTCCTAGAGATACCGATTAGTTAAATTAATTAGGTTGAATAGAATCTCATTATAGAAAAGAAACTAACTATAAAATCGCCTATTAAGAAATTTATAGAGAAGAGATCTAGTAAGATATTAACGAAAGACGAGATCGAGAATTAATTAAAGAACTTCTAAGAATAAGCGATAAAATCTTCGTCTTTATCGACCGTATTTAAGAAATAGTCGAAAGAAGAGTAGAGATATTAGAAGCGAAATATTCTAAATTACTTTAAGAATAAGTCTATAATGGAAAAGCTCACTAAAATTAAAGAAAGAGAAGTCGTAATTAAGGAAGCGACTAAAAAGTAATTAGAAATTCGAAACGAATATATTAAAATAGTAATTTAGCTTAGAAAGAGACCGCGGTTAATATCGTTAGTTCTAAGAATATCTTTAGAGATAGAAGTGAGAGCTTCTAAGCGAATACACTTCTCGTCCACTAAATAAGCGTTTACGGAAGCTAAAGAAATCATTACTAATAGTAAATATCTCCGTGGAGAGTTTTAAGAGTTATCTTCGCTCTTTAATATAAGACTATATAAATAAAATCTATTAAGAAATCCTTTTAATATAGAAAGACTAGTATAGAAGATTATTATAGACTAGTCTAAGAGAGTTAGATATAATACCGGTAAAGGTACTTTAACGAAACGATAAGCGGATAAAGTAATTTAGTACGGATTTAAAGCTATTATACGAGTATTCTAAAGATTAATCGAAGTATTACCGACTAATATTAGTTCGAAGTAATCTCTTTAGTGTTACGCTACCCTCGAAGTAATTCGAATTATGGAAAGAGTGAAGATTAAAAAAGATACGTTAGAAATTTAGCGAATTCGAGACGCTTTAAAGAAATTTAAAGAGTATAGTCGCGAAGTAAAGAAATCTCTTCGCGGCGGAAATTATTACTCGGGAGAATATATAATTAATAAGAAAGAATTAAAATATCTTTTACTTAATACGGATTATAACGATTAGTTATCTATAGATTACGTTATTAGAGACATCGCGGCCTATCGAAAGCACTAAGTGAAAGACGAATAGAATATAATCTATCTATATAACGTTCGAGAGATATTTACGTTTACAACTTAGCCGCGATCGTAACGATAAGATAAGTTTATATAGAAGAAGCTAATTCTTTATCGAGAGATTAACTATTGATGATTAGTATACGTCGATCTTAATTCTCGAATCGTTTACGCTATGGATTCGATTAGGAAGCGCACGGCAAAAGACTTAATGATTTCGATTATTTTAGAGTATCTTAACTCTTAAGTTCGAGTAAAGCTCGAAGACGGTAGATAGTTTATATTTTAGAATATTAATATTAATAAATAACTAAATAACTATAATTACGGAATATTTATTATCTTTTAAGCTAGAGCTCTTATGAAAAACGGTATTAAAGCTATTAAAGAAGTTAAAATCGACACTTCTCATCGAGTTTAACTTATTTAGAATATTCATTAAGCTATTATTAGAGATGAAAAGATACTATTATTATAGTTATCTCGCGTAAAAATTAGTGAGTAATAACTATTAAAGCCTATTATAATAGTCACTCTAGATAAAAGTGTTATTAATCTTATTAACTAAGAGAATACGAACTAAATATTATAGGCTTATATCGACTTATATAGCGAAGAGAGAATAGATTTAGAATATAATAGTAATAACCCTTAGAATAGAATCCCAACGCTAAGAGTGAACTCTCTCTTTTCTCGCGTTACTTAGTTAGTTAAGAGAGAATTCTAAGAGCGAACCCTAGAGTCACCGAGTAATATTAATATAGAAATAGGCTCGACCTTAAGATAGAGTAATTATTAAAGCGAAATATTAAGAGCGTCTTCGGTGTTCTTATATAGACCGAGTAGATCTATTATATCTGCTAGTAATGTTCTAGTTCGTGTTCTAGACCTAATAAGAGAGAAGAATCTACTCTCGTTGCGAGCTTCTTCTCATAGTGCTACGAACCCGCCCCCTAGGTAATAATAGAGTTAGATAATTCTTAAGTATACTGTGTACTATCGGACGAGGTCGTCCTATAAATGGGAGAGGGAGGGATATAATAAGGCAAGGTGGCTATACTATGATGAGCTATGCTGGGCTGATAGAGCGGTGGTAAGGTGAAAAAGTTATCTAGTTATATATTAAACCTAAATAGGCTGGTAGAGAGAAGGTACGGAACAGTTTATAGTGCTGGCAGTGTACCATTCATTTTTATAGATTGAGTAGAGTATTATGAATTCCATGGCTTTTAGTGCCGTCTACCTAAATCCTGAGAGTATTTTATTAGTCCTGTCCTATTCCTCGATGCTGCCGCTGTGCTAGGTATTCGTAGCCCTAGCCGCTGCCTCTCTGGGTGGTGTTGATGATGTTGTTGTCAGTATCAACCAGAAACGCGTTCTCGATTCCCGATCTGCTGGACAGGCCTCTGTGCGTTGTTGCACGTGCACGCCAAACCCTGAAGTGCTCTGTTACAATAGTATTCGGGATGTTGGTCTGGATTGAGGCAAAGTGGGTGGGTTGAAGGAGCGAGCGGAGAAGCAGAGGATGACAAGACTCGCTTGGACTCGATACTTACTGTGTTTTGGTGATGGTGGGTCTTGGCAATCGCACTAGACCACAATCGGGGAATAATCAGGAAATCAGATAAGATCAAAATTTTCACGGCGCTTGACCTGATTGGGACTTAGGTCAACGTCGCGTCGAACATTGGCTTCTTATCACTTCCTTCACCACCCGAGTCACCATGGTCTCCCCCCCTTGGTGCTGGGATCTTCCACTCGGGCCGTCTCCCTGTCCTCCTGTTTGAGCTGTGTCCTCTGCCATCGCCGATACCTCGTTCTCGTTGATTCACCGCTGTGAGACGGGGTGGTATAGCGATGGGCTCTGATGGTTCGGCCACGGTACATACTTAAAAGGTACGGAGGGACTTCCAGAAGCCCACCCTCGAGTGCTCAGCAGTCTGGCTTGGCTGTGAGCGGCTAGCATCTCAGAGCTCGCGTAAAAGCCAGAAGGGTCCCTTGCTTGTGGCACCCATGTGGCAGCCATTGCAACCCTGAGGTCTCCAGTTAGCCCATGAGACCACACGAGATGCATGCCATGAGACTCCAGCAAAGGCACAGCCCAAGGTAAATGTTCAGGCCAAGTATTTAAACCCCCTTACAACGCTCTTGCTGCCAAACCGCGCAACTCTCTTTCAATCCTCTGCCCCCCACCATGAAGTTCAATCCAGCTTGGATCAAGCCGAGTTTCGTGCCGGTAGCTGTCAGTCAGCACGGCAGTGATTCAGAAGCCGCCGCGGCGCCTGCTGAATCGAAAGAAGTTCGACTGGCCCTGGGAAGACCTGACACGGCCGATTCCGATTCCGTGGGCGTCGATGAGAACGCCCAAACCGGCGTCCAGAAAATTGAAGCTACCACGTCCGCCTGGGGCCGAAACCAACTCGTTCTGGCCTACATTCTGTACGTTCGCTGCAATACGCTGTCATGGAGCAACTGAACTTACCACGGACACAGGATCTTTCTCATTTACTTTGTCGATTCGCTCCAGCAGCAGCTAACGTCGGTGTTGACTCCCTATGTCACGAGTGACTTTCGATTGCACTCCCTGACAGCAACGACGGGCATCCTTTCTCAAATCATTGGTGGCTTGAGCAAGCTCCCACTTGCAAAGATCTTGGACATCTGGGGTCGCCCGCAAGGCTTCATCCTCATGGTGGCACTGCTCACTATCGGCTTAGTTATGATGGCAGCGTGCCAGAATGTCGAGACCTATGCAGCTGCCCAAGTATTCTACTGGGTCGGCTACAATGGTGTCGGATATGCGCTCAGCATCTTCATTGCCGACACCTCTCATCTCAAGAATCGAGGATTGATGTTCGCCTTCGCCTCGTCCCCTTATATTGCAACCACCTGGGCAGGGGGTCCGGCCGCACAACGTTTTCTCGAGGGTGCTGGCTTCAGATGGGGATTTGGGACGTTTGCTATTGTCACTCCAGCTGTCTGCCTACCTGTCTTCTTCCTCTTTGTTTTCAATTATCGCGAAGCCAAGAAAGCAGGTCTGATGCCCACCCGCCAGAGCGACCGAACCATGATCCAGGCCATCCAACACTACGCCATCGAGTTCGACCTCTTCGGCCTGCTATTGATTACGGCTGGACTTGCGCTCTTCTTGCTCCCATTCTCACTCTACTCCTACCAGGCTGATGGCTGGCGCTCGTCCATGATTATCTGCATGATCATCTTTGGCGCGCTTCTGCTCGTCGGCTTTGGCCTTTGGGAGAAATACTGCGCACCCAAGAAGTTCATTCCCTGGGAGCTCTTCACGGATCGGACTGTGGTTGGCGCCAACATCCTTGCGGCCGTTCTCTTCGTCAGCTTCTACATATGGGATTCCTTCTTCTACTCCTTCTTGATCGTCGTGAACAATCAGACAATCACGCACGCCTCCTACATCACCAACATTTACAGTATTGGCGCATGTTTCTTCGCGATCCCCGTGGGCATGTATATCCGATGGCGTGGACACTTCAAGAACATCGCCCTGTTCTTTGGCGTGCCATTGACCATCTTAGGCGTGGCGCTTATGCTGCGTTTCCGCCAGCCCAATACCCACATCGGGTACGTCATCATGTGCCAGATCTTCATCGCATTCGCCGGTGGGACCTTGGTCATTTGCGAACAGATTGCCGTCATGGCCGCGGCCTCTCACCAGCACGTCGCTGTTGTCATCGCCATCGAGGGAATGTTTTCATCTGTCGGTGGAGCAATTGGATCCACCATTGCAACCGCCATTTGGACAGGCAACTTCCGCGAGAAACTCAGCACGTACTTGCCGGCCTCGGCGCAGGGTGATATCGACTCCATATACGGCAGCTTGGTGGTGCAATCATCCTACCCTCCAGGAACCCCCACCAGAGAGGCCATTAACAGGGCATATGGAGACACACAGAAGCTGATGCTGATAGCTTCGACGGCTTTCTTGGCCCTGGCCATTGTGTCCGTCGCCATGTGGAGGAACATCTGCGTCAAGGATATCAATCAGGTCAGGGGACGAGTAGCCTAGGCATATATTGCAAGGATTGGCACATCTGAGATCGCATTGCCCCGTGTATCCACAGAGTCCGTGGAATTGCTGAACAAGTTATGTAGAATTTGGAAAAGGAAATCCGGCTGACATAATTGATACGAATACGAGTATCGTACACGTGACACGCGTTTTGGTAGCGGATGTGACGCGCAACATGAGAGATTCAAATTCCCAATTGATTTTTCACTCGGGCACTTCACCGCTGAGTGCGAAGTCCCTGAGCGAATACAGGCGAAATTATGTGAAAGTCCAACTCGACTCTACGGAATGAAAGCCTGTGGCTTCACAAGCGACTGCGCCATGTCTTGCCCAGTCGCGTCGGTTCTTCCCGATTCAATAAAGGAAAAAAAGTGAATGGTCCACGGAACAAAAGCACAAAGCAAACGGACAGTCTTTCTTGCCCGCCACCTCGACTACTATTTCTGTTTCCCTCCACAATCCCGCCTTTTATGTGTAGTCTTTCTTTGCGCTCATGATAAGGCCGTCATTGTTGGCGGTCAATCAGCGAGTTGCTTTGCTCAAGTGGTTGCCTTTCCTGCGCCACGCTCGCTGATCGCTTTACCCTTCAAAAGCCCCTCAACACCAACACCAGCCTGACTTTTGCAATCCCTCAATTCACAATGGACGACATATCCGATCCGTCTCTGCTCGCCGAGATTGAAGATATCTGCGATGAGATCGCCTTCAACGAGGCTATTCTCGAGAGCTTGAATGACAACGGTGGGAACAACAGCGAGGACGAAGAACAGAGAAGGACAACACGGAAAGAGCTAAAGAGACTGCATAAACATATCCGTGTTCTTCTACCAGCATCGAAACACGAACAACACAGTGACCTCCCCCTCAGAGAGTTGGACCATGAGGTCACAGCCCACCCACGTCGTGCTAGTCACAACTCGCAACATCCACGACAGAACGATCCTGGTCCTTCCGGCCATCTTATGCCTCCGCCCAAACACGGCCTAGCGAGCGGCAAACGCCAAAGACGAGACAGCCAAGGTGACGACCGGCCGGGTTCCAAATCTCGACGAACAAGTCCGAGTCCTGGCTCAGCACGCACTGTCGCCCCATCTCCAGCCACTTCCTCCGCTAGTCTAGGTAGTCTAGAAGATCTGTTCAATGATGATGACTTACTCTCCGGGGGTTTCTCTCGAGAGGACATTGAACGGAACCAGGACTACTGGAAGAGACGGGAGTCACAAAAGCAGCAGGAGGAGAACGATGCCAGACTTGCCGAGCTTCTCTCTCAGGAATGGTCTGAGGATGCAGCCACGGATGCAACGCAATCCAATGCTCCACGTCAGTCTGCGTACACTCAATCATTTTTCAAGACCGACGGCAGTATCAATCGACCTCCCGCCAACCAGCGTTCGTCCTCCCATGACAATATTCGATCGCTTCAACCTATCAAGACGGAACCCTCCATTCATACCACTCGACCGTTGACATCTGTCAAGGCAGAGACTTCGAGCCCGAGAGCGATTGACGCCGAACCTGGCCCTGGCTCCTTGATAGCGATACCTGGGGCTTTCCCGGACGGGCAAGCCTACAGCAGCGTCGGCGGGAGACCGGTGTACTCCATCCCAAGGGCATCCGACTATCTCACAATTGAGTATGCCAGCGATGAGGATCAGGGTTCCCCTCCTTCCTCAGGCCACCCCAATTCCTTTGGGTATGGATATCGAGAAGCTGCTCAAACCCAGGAACAATTAAAGGAGCTGTTACAGCACATCAGGCCGGACGAGGAGCTCACTGCGGATCAAATGCCACAGCAGCCGCCAGAGCTGAAGGCGGTCCTTATGCCTCATCAACTTAGCGGTCTCGCATGGATGAAACGGATGGAAGAAGGCACCAACAAAGGTGGCATTCTAGCAGACGATATGGGGCTCGGTAAGACGCTACAGAGTATTGCCTTGATGCTCGAGCGGCCACCAGCCGACAACAAGCAGTCCCCTACCCTTGTCGTAGCACCTGTGGCACTGATGCATCAGTGGAAACGAGAAATCGAGAAGATGGTTCGACCACAATTTCGCCTGAATGTCTTTATCCTCCATGGAGAAAGTCGCAAAGCTACGTGGTCCGCTCTGAAGGCCTACGACGTAGTTCTGACCACATACGGGTTGCTTGCATCGGAGCTGAAACGCAAAATAGCCCTAGATGAAAAGGTTAAGAGATTGAAGGATTATCGACCGTCGGTTGCCGAAGACTGCCCCGTACTGGGGGACAGATCCCGATTTCACCGTGTGATACTCGACGAAGCGCAGAACATTAAGAATAGAAATGCAAAAGCAGCTCTAGCGGCCTGTCGCATTCAGGCAGAGCATCGTTGGGCTCTTACAGGAACACCGATGCAAAATTCGACTGAGGAGATTTTCAGCCTTATCAAGTTCACTCGGATTCGACCCTATAATCAGTGGGAGAACTTCAGAAGATCTATTGCGAATCCGCTCAAACGCAGATATGGTGTTCAAAGGGACACCGCCATGACAACACTTCAAGCGCTCCTTCGTGCTATTCTCTTGAGGCGAACAAAGCAATCTAAGATACATGGTCAGCCAATTCTCCAGCTCCCTCCTAAAGAGACCAGAGAGGACCGGGTCGCCTTCGACCAGGACCAGCTTGATTTCTACAAAGCTTTGGAGACAAATGCTCAAATCCAGGTAAACAAATATCTGCAGAAAGGAACCCTCGGCCGAAATTACTCTCAGGCTTTACTTCTGCTTCTTCGACTTCGTCAGGCCTGCTGTCACCCGGCCCTTGTTATAGCAGGCAAAGACTTTATCCAACTTCCTGGGGGAGAACTGGATACGGATGCGCTAATCCGCAATGCAGAGCAGCTCGATGTGAAGGTTGTTGAACGGCTGAAACAAACCGACGCTTACGAATGTCCCATTTGTATTGATGTCACGGAGAATCCATCATTGTTCTTTTGTGGGCATACTACATGTGGAGACTGTCTCAACCAGCTAGTTGAGCAGGCGGCGAACGGCGAGAACAACGTACCTCCACAGTGCCCTCAATGTAGGGCAAGGATTGATGTTAGCAACGTCACGGATTACACCAGTTTTCTTCGCGTCCACTGTCCAGATCGTGCGGATGTACAAGAGCTGGAGGACAGTAATACCGACTCCGAATCTGACACCGACAATTACAGCAGTGACGATTCCGATGAAGGTGATGATCTCGACGGTTTCATTGTGTACGATGATGTTGAAGATGACTCTCAAGATGAATCGAAGGAAAATTCAAAGACACAATCGACGAAATCCGGATCCAAGAAAGGGAAGGGAAAACGCAAGTCAAAGGTAAGAGCCAAAGAACCATTCAAGAGTCTTGCACAGCTTCGAAAAGAAGGCATGCGCAACAAAGCCGCGAAACGAAAGTACTTGAAACGGCTCCGGAAGAATTTCCACCCTTCAGCAAAAATCACGCGCACCATGGAGCTTCTAGAAAAAATCAAAGGCCACGGACAGAACGAGAAGACGATCATCTTTTCGAATTTCACGTCGTTCCTAGATCTGGTGGAGTTGCCTCTGTGGAAACACAAAGATTTCTGCAACTACGTCCGTTACGACGGCTCCATGAGCGCCGCGGACCGCAACGACGCAGTCCTCGAATTCACCGACAACCCTGACTGCAACGTAATCTTGGTCAGCTTGAAGGCCGGCAATGCAGGCTTGAACCTGACGGCTGCCAATCACGTCATTATGCTTGATCCCTTCTGGAATCCGTTCGTCGAGTACCAAGCGGCGGACCGATGCTACCGGATTGGACAAACCAAAGACGTCACCATCCACCGGGTCCTCATTGGTGAAGGAGATTCCGATCGGCCTCCTAACCCTTCAGGCTTCACGGTTGAGGATCGGATTCTGCAGCTCCAAGAGCGAAAGCGTGAACTCGTTGAAACTGCCCTTGACGAATCAGCTGGTCGTGAAGTGTCGAGACTTGGTGTGCGGGAGTTGGGCTATCTTTTCGGGCTCAATGCCCTCTGAAGAGCAATGCTTGTCTCAGAGGGCATATTCCTTTCTTTTTGGCGCATGGATGGGTTCATTCGAGTGCTGGTCTTTGTACAATGAGCGGCGGTCTGACGGGTTTACCAGGGGGAATGGCGCAATTCCGAAATGAGACCCTATGAGATGAAGACCAAACAGCATGTTTTAGAAGATACATTTATCGGGTCCCAGGCCATTGCAAAGAGCTCTGAATGATTGACATGGAGCTGCAATTAGCTATGCAGAAATCACCGCAAGGTAGCTGCAAAGGTTAATAATAAATTCAGTTACAATTCGTGGATCGTTTATTCCTTTAGGCCCGTCCGTGCCCTGTCGGGTCTTTGCTTTATACTCGAAAAGAATCGACTCCGACCTTACTCGGCGAACGAACGAGGCACAGGGGAAAGGGCGCCGTTCTTATATTGTGAGTATTTTTGAAGTGATGGGAGTAGTAAGTAGGAAAAAGAAAGAGGAGTCGGAGAAGGATTTTGGGATATGTATATGTGTATATATGTATATATATATGTAGATGTAGTCAGAAATATAAAGTATGGGGCCCCGTCCCCCTCCCTCCTTCGGGGCCTTCTCTAGCTCAGTTCCCCCCCTTCGCACGGGCGCTGGTTCGCTGGCCCTGTCGTGGCTATCGTTCAATCCTTTTTCGCAGCCCCATCTTGCATCTTCTTCACTATGCGTAGCAGCATCTGATCGCGTGCCCAGGCAGGGAGCATCTTCATGAAGCTGAACTGGAGCCCATGACCGAGCCAGGGCGTGACCCGGGGGCTGCCCCAGCCGACCTTGTCGAGGCTTGCCTTGACGAAGGCGTTTGTGCTGGGCATGGTGAAGGAGATGTCTGCGTCGCTGCGGCCCGACGAGGCCGTGGCGACGGTGCCGGTCAGCAGAGCCATCATCTCGACGTCGTGGCCCTTCAGGGCCATTTCAAGCCTCAGGCACTTGGCCAGGCCCTCGATGTAGCACTTCGTGCCCGTGTACAGCGACGTGCACGGTGCGGTGACCTCGGTCACGGCGCTGCTGATGAAGAGCATCAGGCCCGGCTGGTTTCGGAGCAGGATCGGAAGCAGGAGGCGTGTGAGGTGCGTGGTGAAGCGCGCGTTGACGTTGATCCAGCCGTCGCACAGCCGCGCCGGGATGTCCTCGAAGAGCGCCATGTCAAATTTGGGGTCGCCCGATCCGGCCACGTTGTGCACGACCACGGTCAGGTTGATGTCCTTTACGGCCGCGAGGACGGTTTCGTCAAAGGCCGGACTAGCTGGAGTTCCGGCGTCGAGGACGAGCGTCCTGAAGCTGGTGGTTTTGTATTGCTGCTGCAGCTCGGCAACGATCTTCTGCAGCTTGGCTTCATTGCGTCCATGAAGAACCACGTTGAAGCCCCGCGCGGCAAAAGCACGGACGAAGGCCAAGCCGATCCCGTCGCTCGCACCAGAAACCAGAGCCCACGGATCAGGACCGTGGTGATATCGCTGCAACTTGGAGGTATGAAGCTGGAAGCGAAGGGCAGAGGCGAGCTGGAAGCCAAAGTAGCCGATGGTTGAGGCTCCCACGAGGGCGCACACATTGTAGATGGACATGGCCATAGCACTGTTTGCTACCCGAGCTGCCAGAATACCAGAGCAGATCTCAGGACGGGAAATGGAAGAACCTACCTGTGAGTCATTGGCGAGAAGCAGCAACGAAATAGCAAGCAGTGACTCAGGAATACAAACCTCCATGCAGCAGACAAGGCGGGGGAGGCGTACTCGCTAGGAGCTACTCGGTATTCGTATGGACGCCTTAACAGCCACCAAAACCCCTTAGTCCGCATCCGATTTGGTTCTCAGGCCCGACCAAAGTTTCTTCCGAACCCTGGGCGCAACGCAGATGATTGCTCCAGCACTAGGACAAGGAGATAGATATAGATATGGCGGCGATGTCAAAGCCATCCGCTTCGTGTCCAGCAATATCCAAAATATGGGGTCTAGAGAACGGTCGCTGCGAGATCAAAGGTTGAGAGCGCCGAGTGACCAAACATGCCGCATACCTGTAAAGCCGTCATCAACCTCAGGCCTCCGGTGACGACAGCATGGGCCAAAGCTCCCAGCATATCATAATAGTCCATTGGTATGACTTTCAGTCATGCTAACTCGGAGTCCACCATTCTGACAAAACCGCATGGGGGCCCAGGTTGCCCACACGTGAGGGTGGACATGCATACGAGAGACCAGAGCAAGGCATATCTCGTTGTATCGCATTATTGTCTCATCAGCGTGGCTCCATGTCGTCGAAACGGTGGGTCAGGACAGCTGTCCAGATATACTGCCGCCCCTCCCATAGGGCCGCCTATGCCTCTCGCTATCTCTTCCCTTCCCCTTCAGTGGATTATTCTTCTCCCATTCCTCGTCTGACTTGAACGCCTCAACTGCAAGCCCCAGATTATAATCACTGGCCTTGAGATACAGCTGGGCGACATTGTAGTCGGCACATTTTGTCGCAATCATCCACCTCCGCAGTTTTGTCTTGCGCTCTTCCTCTTCTGCATCTGGCGGTGTAGACAAGGGAGGACCAGTGTAATGGGATTTAGGAATGAGGATCCATTTGCGAGCGGCGAGGAGCTGGTCACTATAGAGGCTGTTGTGGCGGCGCAAGACGGGAATGGGCACTTTGTAGGCGAGCGATAACGATTGCAACGATTCTTCAGAGCCCACAAAATGCACTGTATCGTCAGTGCCTGCTGGTGGCCCTGCACTCTGCTCTGGCCCCCGCCTGGGGGCTACCGAATCATCATATGAAGGTGGCGGCGATTGCGACCTCGTAGAACTCGTTGAAGCTACAGTTCTGGTGTATGAGGGAGGCAGCCGAAGGCCTCCTCTAGGTAATGCAGATGGGCCGGAGGATATCTGACAGAATGGGCAGTAGGCCTGAAACCGGGAATTCTTATACTGACAGGTCGCGCATATGAATCGCGCGCAGCAGTCGAGTTGGCGGTGCTGCAGCGGTGACTTTTCTGAATGAGGGTCGAAGGGCACCTTTGCGTCCGAGAGCAGCGTGGCGCAAGTACAGCATGAGTCAGCCAGAGACATTGCGACTGGAGGAGGTGTGCAGAGAGGAGACTACAACGGTTGGGTTGGATAGAAGGATTGAAGAGAGTGGTGCCGCTGAAGGTGTTTTGGGCGACCAAGATGGGCAGAGATGGGCTTGAGATGGGCAAATACCCAGTACCTGGCCTCGCTGGCCCCCGAGGCTGAAAGTCAATGACATCAGACAAGGACGAGGCGCAAGGGCAATTTCCCTCGCCGCTTTTAACGTGTCCAACCCGCCATCCGCTTGGCCGTACCGAGTACAATCTGCGCAGTTGAAACAGTGAGCCATCGAGGCCATTTTCTGCAAGCCATGCAACAAGACCTCCGCTTCTTGTTCTATCTATAGCTGGTCCAGCTCGGAGCTCAGTCCGGCCATTCTCCCTCTTGCTTCGCCTGATCAAGGCCAGCCTGCTGTTTCACCGAGATTTGACGGAGCCGGTTGTGAGTCTGTGCGGCTCCAACGCTTACTGATTCTCCAACATGGCAGTTCGAGCAATGGGCGCGATCAAGAGGGCATAAGACCCAAACACCACCTTCTTGAGGCTTGATCTGACCTCATTCGCAGTCATTTCCCGGGGGTCCCTACCAGGACAAAGATAGTCGCGAATGACCATGGCTGACGAGAGAAGTTCCAGAAGCTGGACTTTCCTTCTGACTTCATGGTTCTGGAACACAAGGGGGAAAGAAATACGAGGGCCCGCACGGAATACATATATACCTCGTACTAGGGATGTTCGGGCAAGAAAATAGGCTGCCTAAGCAGACCTTTGCAAGGCTGACGTGCCGAGATTTCTCCCGGGAGAAGTGAACATGTCACTCGTTCATCGCCTGCGGGCGGGAGCCTGATCATTCCGGCGCCCATCCGCAGAGGGTGGCAACTGCTTGCATCTTACCGTAAGTCGGCAAGTCAATACGAGATATGTCAGATCAAGCACCACGCGATTCTGCGTTGGCTTCAGAACCTTTTTCTTCCCTGAGCTCGGCATCTGCGCGCACCCAATCAAAATGCTTCTGCCTGACCTGGGGCCCATCCAAGCTTGCGTGGCTTTCTTCGGTCTTTCAACTCCTCCATCCTCCAGCCTCCAGATTGCGCGGCAGAGCCAACGGATCAGTCCTGTAGATGGCGAGCTAGGTAGGTCTCGACGTGCGGAGAACGAAGAGAAAATGGCAGCGCGAGGCGTATCTGGCACCAAAATTGGATATCCCCCGTATTCGGCCGTTGTTGAATCGTCCATGCCAGTAACGTCCATCACGCCGGGCTTCTGTGCTCCCGACACCAACACCTATCGAGGCAAATCACTATTGATATGTCACGGAGAAGGTTTCCAAAGTCAGCTGAGGGGAGGGGCAGACTTGACACTGGTAATGTTCAAATAGGCACCGGTTTAGCAAATGCAAATCCTTCAATTTCTTCCGCCCTCTGCAGATCCAACATTGCTTTGCCTCGACTGCCAGAAACATTCACTTCGAATTATCCGAACGACGCCTGAAGAGACCGTGCTTCAGTTCCATTCCTGACCCACAGAACGTCTTCAATGCAACATGGCTTCCTGTCCAAACGGATCAGCACCGAATACCAATACCTTGCACTCACACTCGTCCTCTCAGACCATCAACGATGCGGCCAAGCCAAAAGCTTCGCGCAAGAAGGAGCCGGCAGCCAAGATGACTCTGGCAAAATCTCTGCTCTCGGAAGATCTGGGAGGAGAACTGGCACAAATACTCATGACTCAAGCTAGGGACCTCGATTCCATGAACATTATACAGCGTCTGCAATTTCTCAAGGGGCCGGCCCTGTTGGGATCAAGGATTCTTGACTTCAATCAAAGCAGGACGACCGTCGTGACGACTTCAATCTCTGCCCGAGACATCCTTTCGCCGTCCCACGATGGTGGCTGTGAACACCACCAGCAATGCATATCGACCTCCATGACTGTGAGCTTCAGTGCATCGAGTACGAGCCTCAATCATATCCCTACCTATCCGAAAAGAAAGAAGAATGACATCCATACATTTACACTCGATGATTTCACGGCCATTGAAGCCCTCAGCTCGCTTGTCGAGCGCTTCGGCAAGGTCTCCCACATGGGGATCCTGGACCCTAGTTATCGGTTCTTCATGACCAAAGACCGCCAAGCAGCCCTCTATTACAAAGTCAGGAACAATGTTGCCGTGGTGGGAGGCGACCCGCTCTGCGAACCGGTCGAATACGACCGCCTGTTGGAGGAATTTCGACGGCTCCGTAAACGTCGGCGGTGGGGCATGGTCTTTCTGGGCGCGACAGACGATTTCGCGTCATATGCGAGCAAGCAGAAATGGGTGACAATGCGTTTTGGCACCGAGCGAGTCCTCAACCCGCTCAACAACCCGGTCTTGCAGGAGAAGGAACAGAGGAGAATGATCACCCAAAACAGGCAGCTTCTCGACCCGGACAAAGGCGGTATTTCGGTCCATGCATATGCTCCGGCTCAAGGGCGAGATGAGGCTCTGGAACGGGAACTGCGACAGGTGTACGACTTGTGGCGCGAATCGCGCAACCAGTCTGGCCAGCCACAGGCATACATGACGGTCTTTGATCCCTTCGCTATCCCAATGCTCATGACATACCTGTACACCACCGACCGCCAGGGTCAATGCAACGGATTCGCCGCGTTGAGAAAGATTGGAGCGAACAAGGGATACCACATCGACCCGTACTGCGCGATCCCGACCGCGCCAAAGGGCGTTACGGATCTGCTCGTCTTCTCAGCCATGTCCCTCCTCCAGCAAGCCGGGATCGGATACCTCAGCTTCGGTTTCGAGCCGGCCTCGCAGCTCGACGAAGTCAGGGGTCTTTCGCGACCGACGACGGCGCTGACTAAGTCTTGCTACCGGCGCGCGTTCCGCCACCTGCCCATCGCCGGCAAGAAGGCCTACCACGACAAATTCCGCCCGGACCCAACGCTTGACTCGGGCCTGCACATCATCTACCCGAGCGGCGCGCCCAGCCTGCAAGACGCCCTGGCTACGCTGCACTTTGCCAACGTCGAGGTGCGGGACTTGCTGAAGAGAGAGATCTTCACGGGGTGTGGGTGGAAAAGCAAGGACCAGGACCAGGCCGATCGGAAAAAGGGAGCAGAGACGAAGCATATGAAGGCGGCGGCCTGACGTTCTCGAGAATACAAACCTTCCGGGGGCATCGCAGCGCAGTGCTGAGGCGATACATAGCTAGCTAGGGTATTCGTTCTGGGGCGGTTGGCGTTCCTCGACTCAAGGCAAGGCAAGGACTGCAAGGCACAGCATGGTACGGCACGGCACACACAGCAAGGCACGGTACGAGAGCACATGGCATTGCAGGGCGCACGCAAAGTTTCTTTTCCCTTAGGTTCCTTCCCTTTTTCTTTCCCCCCCTTCTTTCGAGCCGGCATTAGATTTTTCCATCGTCGGCTCAGGCCGCGTGGGGACTTTGTGCCAAGCGGGCGGGCGGACGGGCGAGCATGGCTGCATTCTCAAGTGTGATGGTGGCATGGGACGGGAGAAGAGGGACGGGAGAAGGAGGAAAAGAAGAAGAGAGCAGAGGAGCACGGGTGTTCCGTCAATTAGACTTTTGTCATTCTTGTCCTCCATCTTCCATCTTCCATCTCATCTCTTCTATCCTTGGCACTATGGACGTGAAAAAGGTAGGTCCACCAGATATATCAATGGCAATTGTAATATTCACACTTCAGCAATTCGTTTCCGCGACGTTCTATTGAGAGTCCTCGTACTTTCCTACTCAGTACAGATCTGTCTAAAATCGATGGTTTCGTGCTATCTATTCAATACACTGGCTAGTGGCGCCAAAGGGCTGGAGTCCAGCCTTGTACCCTATATAAACTTTTGCGTTTCCTTTGATTCTCAGTGTAAAACTCCGGTTGGTGTCTGAGTCACCGTTCTGCAGGCTAAAGTCAAGTCCGATTCCGCACTTCACCTGATGCACCTTCGCCGTCTCCGACCTGGACAGAGGTTGAAGCACTTTGCTCCACGGGCCCGCCAAGGTCGACTTCAGGTTTTTGGGCCGCAACAGACGAACCTTGTTCACCAGCTTCGGCATCCGCCTCTTCCCCGTTCTGTCTCTGCGCAGCTGCTTCGGCCTCTGCGCGTGCTCTTTCTTCTTCCCGACGTTGTTCTTCCCTTCTCGCCTCCTCCCTTGCTCTGACATGACGCTCGCCCACACCAGGGATCAAACTCGCTAGAAACAGCGCGATACTCTGCTCGACACGATATAGGGTGTCTCGCCAGAAGGGCTGTTGATGAATCTGTCGCTCTTGGTGAAGTCGAGCTCTCGCTTCTTCTGGCGTCATTCGGATGGCTCCACGAACGTTGGCGGGTCGTTGTACGGCATTTCCGTTTCGAGGCTGGCCAGCACCAGGTTGGTTCGCCGCGGCATTTTGTTGTTGCGCCACCGCTTCTGGCGGCGGTTGCGGTGGAGGCGGGCCAATAAGATTATCAAGGTGACGGCGCGCGGCTGTCAACATGCGAGTAAATGGACCATCTCGAGGTTGTAGACAGATGATAGCCGCCGCAATAATCATAAGCCATCGCTTCCAGGTTCCCGGCTCGGAGAAAACAAACATAAATAGGTAGAGGCGAAGGAAAAGCCAGCCTCGATTGATGATGAATCCAAAGAGATCATTGTCTTCTCCGTTCTGCTGTGCTTGCGCCAGCGCCGGGACAGGTTGAGGCTGATCGGGTTGGGGCTGGTTGACTCGTACTATTGCGCGGTCCGCGTTCTGCTGATCCTCATTGATTACTTGTGCTGGTTGGGTCGCCTCTGTTCCACCTGAGCCGTTTGTCTGAAGTTGAGAATCTGGCACGCCGCCGGCTTCTTGCTGCCGCGGTCTCGGGGCCGAAGAAGTAAAATAGCCATGGCCAGGAGCAAAGAGCAATGCCTGAGGGCCCATTGGCGATGATAGTAGCCAGGCTGTGGTATTTGACGGATGTGAGGGACTTGGACGGATTGGTGCGAAGGAAATTGGTAAACTGATGGGCGGAATGGACATCGGAGCATTCCAATTAATAGAAGGAGGTAACATGGTCGACCCGGCCGGGGAGGGGTTGACATGTGGCGCTTGAGTGGAAGTGTTCGTCTGCGGCTGGGACTGTGCGGCAGGTTGCTGTCCAGACCCTGGAGGTGGGCCCGGGACGGGCATCGTCACAGCCATCATGCGTTCTCCGTTGGGACTTGGGAATGTCTGGACAGCGTGTTGAGGCGGACCCAGTGGTGCCGGTGCTGTTCCATGCGAGTGTGGAAGGACTGGTACGGCATTTGGCGGCTGGCGAGGGTGTGGAAGCCCGCGGCCTGGAGGTCGTTGAGCGTGTGCTCGCTGGTCAAAAGGCAGGTCAACGTGCAAGTTCGTTCCAAAGGTCTGAGGCTGAGAACCAGGCTGCGGCTGGCCATTTGCATCAACGTGAGTGTGGAAAACAGTCGGAGGAACACCCAGAGTGTATCGGTGGAAGGCTATTCTCTGCTGAGCCGTTCTCAGATCGGCACTACTGGCGTCAATCTGTTGTTGTATACGACCAAGGGACTCCTGGAGGTGAGTGGCCGAGGTCTCGACAGCTGTGAAAGGGCCTGTTGTAAAAGGGCTTGTAAAGTCTGCAGGCTGATGGACGGGTTGTAAGGGGGCCGGTGGGCGTGGATTGAGGATGGGGTTTGAAGGTTGCGGGGGGTTGGAAGTATTCTGCTGAGAATGGATCACGATGTGGATGGTATATGGAAGGGCATCAGGTACGGCGCCAGGCTAGATAAGAGAGGCAACAGTCAGGAGAGTTATATTCGCAGAGAGCGTGGGAGTGGACATACTTGTATTCTGAGCACATCTCGCAAGTTGGCATCATTTCGCAGTAGAGGGCGACCCTGGTAGATGAGGCGTTGCTCGGGGGGAGTCGGACGCTCAGGCAACTCAGACTGAATTCTCTCTTTGAGGGCCGCAATGGTAGTATTCAGATGGAGGTTTCCCAGATAATGAGGTGGCCGCGGGTTGCCTGTAACTAAATAAGTGATGCGCAGGTGGACATGATCCCTATCTGGTGGAGGTTGATCTGGGGGCTGCGGCGATGCCGAAGGCGAGGAAGCCATAGGGAGATGGCAGGAGGATTGTGAGGGATCATGAACACATGACGAGGAAGAAGAGAGGCAGAGGCGGGGAGAAGTGGTAGAGTCGCAAAGAATGAATGGTGTTGGTGGTGTTGGTGGTGGTGTTTTTGCTCATACAGAGAGACAGACAGGGAGGGTGCAGGCGGAGGCGCAGGTGCATGAGATGGAGGAGGACACTTTGGTGAAGACGCGAGGTGAACGAGCCAAGAAACACCAGTTCCCTCAGCTGCGTCATGGTGCATGGTGCATGGCGCTGCAGCAGCAGCAGCGAAAATTCCCCAGATTCATATTGATGCTGTCATCGTGCTCTTATCATCATTCAACTCCCATCTTCCCCTTCACCAAACACACCAACCAAAATTATGGCTGCCGCTGCTGCGCGAGCTGGCAGGTCCTGTCTCTACCGCCGGTCACCAATATCTATCCAGTACAGACAAATTCTATACGACCCGTTCCCTTCTCGGCCCCAGCCATTTCGCCCCCTCCATGGCCGCCTGCCATTACAACAACGCAGGACCTTCTCGAACAGCAGGAGACTATGGGAAGAAGAGAAGGGGAAAAGAGACAACGAGAGCTTCAGCTCTAGGCTAGGAAAAGCATGGCGGTCAACCCGCATAGAATGGAAGCCCATTCCCATTGGCCTGGGTATTGCCTTTCTCGGCCTGTTCCAACTCATACGCATTCGCCAGCGAGAAGCCGCTGCTCAGGAAGCCGAATCTCCTCCTCCCAAGAGAAAGAGGATTCATCCATCAGGAGGCGGCTGGCAGGTCCAGATCATGTCCACCCTTCCCTTGAAGGCGATATCCAGAGTCTGGGGCCGCTTCAACGAGCTCACCATCCCCTATCACCTCCGCGTTCCAGGCTTCAAGCTCTACGGCTGGATCTTCGGCGTCAACTTCGACGAAATAGCTGAACCTGACCTCCACGTCTTCCCAAACCTGTCTGCTTTCTTCTACCGCGAGATCAAACCTGGAATCCGGCCCCTTGACCCCAATCCCAATGCTGTCCTCTCCCCCGCCGATGCCAGAGTCCTCCAATTTGGCACGATCGAGAATGGCGAAGTTGAGCAAGTCAAGGGAATGACATATTCTGTCGACGCCCTGCTGGGGAGGATTGCGCCCCCTTCACCCAACTCGCAAATCCCCCCGCAACCCAAACATCAACCACGATCAGGGCCACCAGACAGCCCGGACGCAAAAGCCATTTCGGCCGATGAAGAATTCGCCAACGTCAATGGAATCTCCTACACTCTGCCCGACCTTTTCTCAGGCTCGAAATCATCTTCAAATCAACTCAAAAGTCATGATGCATCCATGCCTTCTGCTCCATCATCCGAAGCCGCCGTATCGGCCGACCTGGCAAGCACGCAACCATGGTGGTCTATTTTCTCCCATCCGACCAGATCATCAAACCTGTACTATGCCGTCGTCTACCTCGCGCCAGGCGACTACCACCGCTTCCACTCCCCCGTCAGCTGGGTATGCACAGCTCGCCGCCACTTCGCGGGGGAATTATACTCCGTGAGCCCCTACGTTCAACGCACGCTTCCGGGGCTATTCACCCTCAACGAACGGGTCGTGCTTCTGGGGAGGTGGAAGTACGGCTTCTTTTCCTACGTCCCCGTTGGCGCCACGAACGTCGGCTCCATCGTGATCAACTTCGACAAGGAACTCCGCACCAACTCGCTCACCACGGACACAGAGGCGGACAGACAAGCCGCCGCCGCGGCCGAAAGAGGGGAGCCGTATCCCGGATTCAGCGAAGCCACGTACGAGAAAGCGAGCAGAGTGCTGGGCGGGCACGCACTGCGCAGAGGCGAAGAGATGGGCGGATTTAGATTGGGGAGTAGCGTCGTGCTGGTTTTCGAGGCCCCAGCGGGCACGGAGTCGAAGCCGGGCTTCAGATGGGCCGTCGAGAAGGGACAGAAGGTCAAAATGGGCCAGGCCTTGGGATATGTCGTCGATGAAGACTGGTGATGTGAGCGGTTGCCGGTCATCTTAGCGTGATACATACACAGTTTGTCAGTCAGTCTGTCTCTATCCATGCCTCCTATAGGCTTTGTACAAACCGCAGTTTTCCACCCTTATAATGTCATTAATTAATCGTTGAACTTCACATCCTCCTTCACGTCAAGACGTCAGTGTCGGGTAGATTGCGCCTTGCCTTTGAATCAGACGGACGGCTTGGATGCAGACTGGCATGTTTACTCACCTGGAAGACGGCGTGTTTTTGATGCGGAATCACTTCACTGGCAACGAGAGAGAAAGAAACAGCCGCTGACCATTCGTTTCGTGACCATTCATTCAAACTAATCTAAGGGCGTTCGCCCGCCTGCATCCACCTCTGCGCACCCTCTAAATGGTGGCCGCCGCCCAGGACAGCACCGCCAACACACCGACAACCACCAACACCACCACCGACACTGCCGCCCTTTCAAGGGCTCGCGCCATTGAAGCATCCACTGGATGCACACAGCAAACAACACCCTCCTCTTCCCCCGCCAGCAGCCTCGTAAGATCAGCCATGGCCGAAGCGGCCAGAGGGCCTCCCTCCTCCATCGAGTGGATCAGGGTCCACCCACCCAGCAAGAAAGTCGCGGCCCCGAAGGCCAAGAGGATCGCGCCAGCTTTACGCTGGACAGACCGGCAGCCCTCGCTGATGGCTGCCTCGTTGCCAACGAGGACAGCATGGCTGTATTCCATTCGCTGGTGCACGAAGCACCAGCCCTTCTCAAGCCATTCGCCGTCGTCCCAGAGCTGCACACGCTCAAAAGGGACACGGCCCAAGTTTTCGAGGCGCAGGACCCCCAGCACCTCAGGGGCGAGAGGGAAGGAAGGGCACCGCCCACAAGATATGGCCGGGTTGGAGGTGCTGAAGCTCTCCTCTAGCTCCTCGAGCATCAGAGAGCGAGAGGTGCTGTTGGTTGAGCTGTGAACGCCGCCTAGGCTCGAATACTCCGAGCCTGCGCCGTCGGTGGTCCCAGTGCCGGTACCCCTGAGGAATTGTGTGAATTTGCGCGTCACTTGACCGGTAATTCCAGCAAGGTCGTCGTTGTTAGAGTAGCTACTGCCGGACGAGGAATGTCCAGCCTGCTGGAGACGATTCAGGGCGGTCGAATTGGATGAAACATCGGCAAGGCTGCTTCCCGTGGTTAGAAATCCTTGCTGGCCAAGTAAGACACTGTTGTTCTCCTGACCGTGTTTATCGTCAAGTCTTTGGCGAAGATGACGACTATCTCGTAGGAATCGTGAGATGTCAGCATTGTTGAATTTGTAGCCGCCTTCGTTGTATCTTCGAGCCGCCAAAGCTTCAGTATCTTGGTTCCCAACGCGTGTTTTTCCGGTATGATTACGTAGACCAAGATCTTGGGCAGAGAGTGAAGCGAGAGTGTCGAGAGCGGTGGCAGATCCAGCGGCTTCAACACGTTCACCGACAAGATCTCTGTTGTTGGCAGTGGCAATTCGAGAACGAGGGAAGGGGTCTCCCAGATGAGAGTTTGGTGTCGCTTCAGCGCTAGAATCTGCGGAGTCTCCGTGGACAGAGGGTATTGTAAGCGTAAAATCTGCTCTTGCTGCTTGTAGTGTTCCGTTCGAGGCACCCATAGCTTTGGGTGATGGACAGCTAAATGCAAGAGCGCTGTTTTGGAATCTTGGAAGTAAAGAACTCGATGGCAGAGCGCTGTCGACTCTGCGAGATGACAACAGGCTGGCAGACTGGGTTGAAGGAGACTGAGAAGTGATGTGAGTTGAGGCGATCTGGTTGAGAGAGCGCGGTCTGACTTGTGAATGGTGTTGTGCCTTGATAATACGGGCGCCAGCAGAATCCAGACGACAGTCTCGTTCACCAGTGTTGGCAATCTGTCCACTCGTTGTCGAAGACCTTGATTTTCTGCGCAAGCATTGTCTATTGCCCGAGGATCTATTTGTACTTGGTTTTTGAACAGGAGAAAGTGGATGTTGATCCAGACTCAAAGGACCTTTATGCTGAAGATGAGTGCGCACCTTGCATTGTGTTGCGTTCGATAGCGGATCCCAGGGTGACGCAGGACTCCTTCTGCTGTTGAGGGTGGAACCAGAAGTGTCGCCAGTCTCTCTCTTTGCCAGGCGAAACCGCAGCTTCGATGGTGTCAAGAAACCACTGCGACTACTCTCTGGCATCCTAACCCACTCGTCATCTTCTTCAGTTGCACCGAAGCTCTCAGGATTTCGAGGGATTCGGTCCTTTGCACACTGCTGGTAAAATTCATGGATTTGATGCGCTGACTCGACATGCTCCAATCGTGTCGACGGTGCTCCAAAGCAAGCAGCATCGCCCGCCAATTTGCCTTCGGTCACAGGATCCAGTTGCTCTGGGTTGATATGTTTTTCTTTGTCAGTCCTGTTATTGTGCGTGAAAGAACCTGCTGGGCTCGCATCTGCGTATTGCGAGACGATGTCATCCAAAGTGGTTGAGGCTCTTTTCCAGTCCAAATTGGAGTCGCCTACTTCCTCGGATGTCTCAAACACTGCGCTAGACTCGTGATGATGATCAGCCTCATGGAGAATGCCCTGAGCTGAATGGACTTTTCGGCACGGTAAGTTCTTCAGTGGTACAGTATCACTATCAAGGGGCAATTCTTCATAACCATCTTCTTCGGAAGACGAGCTTGATGGACTGAGAGGGAACCGGGTTGCACCTCTGTCTGACGAGACTGGCTGGAGACTTGCAGCTCTGCCGCCCTGGATCTGAGCATATGCAGAAGGCAAATCTGGATATAGTGGACGCGTTGTGCGTGGCTCAGGGCTTGAATGACTTGTTGGGATATCCATGCTGATGTTTTGCAGTAGAGCTGAATCTGAATGATGCGTTGATTCTAGCGAGGCGCGTCGAATGCTTAGTGAAAGGGACTGACTCCGTCTCCAGACATTGCAACGTTCCGAGTCCAAGACTTGATCTTCGGGCCTGTCGTCGACTGGTTGCTCTGGCTTGGAGAATTGGAGTCCGAAACTTGGGTGGCGAGCAAGCTCGAAGTCAACGCGATAAGAAGAATCAAGGTCCGTGTTGATTTTCTGTTGGGCAATGTCAGGTATGTTTTCTTGGAAACACAAAAAGAGAGGGAGGGATACTCACAATTGGCAATGACCGTGACAGACCTGTCACGCGTTTTCTAATCTGATCGCGTATGTCGTTGTCGGCGGGCCCTGAAGGCGTTGTTGAATCCTTTGGCGACGACTGATTGCCTTCAAATCGTCAGTGGCCTCTTTGTCAGCAAGTCAGAAGAACAACGCACCGTCCAGTGGCAGGCGAGCCTCTTCGGCCTGGTAAAGCTGCGGACAAAAGAGTGTGCTGCGCGGAAATGAGGTGTGTTGACACGGACTCTGAAGATGATTGAGCGTCAGATCCGACCGCGTGGTGTCTCTCTTGATGGCACAGAGAGGGTGATTATGTCCTATTAAGGCATCTGCTGTGTCCTGAGTGTTTCGAAGAAGAGGAGTTGTTGAAGAGTCAGAGAGACCGGTAGACAACATGGGTGGTATCGGGTCCGGCCGAATTCTGTTGATGATGGAGTCTTCCTCCAGACTTGTCCCCAACCCGAGACGGCACCATGGTCCGGTATAAGAACGACCACGCTTTGTGCGGTCGATTCCTTTACCCTTCATGTCTTCAAAGTGGCCGTCTTGTCCTGATTTGGCATTTCGCTCCCAGCAGCTCTCATTGAGGCCAACGACTTGACGCCATCTCAGCTCGGCTAACTTCCAAGACATTGTGCACAGTATTTCACCGGAAACACAGACAACGGGGAACTGGAGAGAGACTGGCTTTCAAGGGAAGTGGGAGAGAGGGTGCAAACAATGACTGGGCCTGGAAAATGGATTGTGACAACAGGATCCCACGACCAACAGGGTTTCGTCGACGAGATCAACCAAGGAGATCTCAATGCCCCAAATGGAGACAAAAATCCTCGTTGAATGATTTTGAGCAAAGACAACCAAAGTGCCAACCAATTCAAGCGTTGCCTATCAATGACCTGGAAGTCCAACTCGCAGCAGAGATGAAGAGATGACAGGAGAGAACGGAGAAAAAGCAAAGACATGATCTCTTGAACGCACATTCCGGAGGCTTTTCTGGAAGTGACGAGGCTGTGGAAGCTGCATGTTGACTGCGAGGCCCAGAGCTGCTCCCACGGAATCAGGAAGGTGCTACCAGCAAGTCGACCGTCGCGGAATATTTGCGTGCCACCATCGAGGAAGTCCCTATGGCTTACGTCCAGTCGAGGAGGCAGGCCCTCAAAGTTAGTATTACGGTGCAATCGCCTTGGATGTCCTCGTCTGTGCGAGTACTTCAACCCTACTGAACGCTACAGGAGATGGGTTGGTGCTCCAGGCGTGTACATAGGTCACGACCGAGATCCTGTGAGTTTTAGGCAGCGTCCACTTGGCCATGGTGGAAAAAGACGATGTGAGAGGGAGAAAGAAGTTCCACGATAGAACTTTCAAAGTATTGGCATAGGAGTATTTCTTAATGCTGGCATGCTCCTATACAGAATGGCGATCAACATGTAAATGAGACGTCAAGATTGGAATGTGAGCTCTTGCGCAGCTACGTAGGCGCTCCGGAAAATTATATCTCCGGAGCTGTGGAAGTGTGAAATACGCCAAGACGCTAGTAATTATGGCTATAAAAGCAGCCTCCCCGACCAGATAGATTGAGAATAGTCCAATACACTTTTACACTTCATTTCACAGAAGTTAGTGCGGAATACCTGGTTTGTTTGCTTTAGATGTCTCGAGCACAGCAACAATCCAGCTCCACCACGACGGCAACTTCCCTCCTCTCACAGACACCTCAGGTACTAACTAGGTCAACGAGCTCTCACACGGATAATGGCGTCGAGAAACTTGGAAGAACCATGGAATCGCAACCCTTTCAGATCGAGACCTCCACTTTTTCAGCCCACATTCTTGATCGCAAAGAGCAATCATACTGCTTATTAGCCCTCTGGTTGTGTTTGAACAAGTTTCTGGGGTTTCCACTTCACGGGAAATACAAGCCGTTTCTTTTCAATAATGGGAGAACGCAAAGGGGAGTATGTAGAACCCCAAGGGATCACATTCTAGCAACTCTGATCACCCTCTCATTCGCGATAAGTCATGAGCTTTCCTCCGACACCTAGACTCGCCGGTCAAGATTGATGCCGACACTAGATCTACTCACGCGCAAAGAGACCTTGATTTCAAGTTAATCTAGCCGGAGAAGGGGGCTTCAGGATCGTCAACGGCCTAGTAAAGAAGATTGATACATATTCCGACCAGGAATCCTGGAAAAGTATGGACCTGGAGCCTTAACTATCATCTGGGAGAACTGCTCACTAAACTAGTTGACTAGAAGGGCACTGCTTTAGCCCCCTGTGTTCGAAAGACATTTAGAGAGGACAATATATCGCACTCTAAAACCTGCTCAAATTTTCCATGGGGCTCTAATATTGACGCTTCGAGATGCTCGAGTCACGATTTCTCCTCTGTTTTCACGAAATCAATGCTGATCTTGATGTTGTGAGATTGAGAATTGTCATGGTGGTTACGGAAGTGGATAGCATTGATCTATCCTGAGAGATGCCTCTATCTTTATATCTCTTCAGCGAGACCCTACCTATCTATATAAACATAGCCATGTGTCTAGAAGGCCATTCCTGAACATTCCACAGCAACGCCATCCTGTTTCAGATCAAAGGTGGTTATGATGTAAATGGCGTTGATGGCACTGGCCATCAAACTGGCAACGGCAATCACGGTGATGTCTTACAATCCTGACACTCGATCTGTCTCACAATAGGCCATCCCTAAAAGCTTCCTACAACGTTCCTGTAATAGGAGGTTGTATTAGGAGGGCATAAGACCGTGGAGGGGCGGTCTCCTTGCTATCTCGCTCCACAGTCTAGTCGGGATTTTCTTGAGGGCGGAAGGCCTCCTCTTAGATAGGGACGGATATCAGTCATAAGCAAAAACAAGGAACATATTCACTGCCACACCACATGGTGGACACAAGGAGGACGCAGTCGACAAGTTCTCGCTCGCTCCAGTATACCTATTTGGGAAACTTACCTTTGGCGAGAGTATGGATTACACATCACACAACTGGTCTCCCCAACTGTGCCTCGGCCCGAGCTCGAGTCTGGAAAGTTCACCGATCTGAAGTGTGCGAAGCTCTCAAACGTAGATCGTGCAATATCCGATCCACGAAGATTTGAAGGAAAAGGTCCTGCTCGGAATAGACTTCAACGACGACGCTACACCTACACGTTCGACACTCACAAAATGATAAAGAAACTTACGCATTCAAAGGATATCCTGGGGCTCCTCAACTATATAGGCTCATCTATGGTTTCCGCGGTGCAGAAGGGCCTTGAATAAGGAGTTCATTGACCCTGCTTTCGGGCCGGATTTTGTCCTCAATGTCGACTCTGTCTGGTGCCAACATGTCCCCAGGTTCTAGAATTCCATATCAATTCATTTTGACGCTCGCCAATGTGTCCAATCCATCAAAGACGAGAGAGGCGGATGTTTCGAGTTTTCCGGCGTAGGAAATTGCATCTGCACACCCATTCTTTGTCACCAGCACCGTCAATGGTTCGCTTTTTGTCTCCTCGTAGGCTCTGGTTCTCTGAAATAATGCAATTCCATCAGAAACAACGAGGGGAAAGTGGGCATCTGGTTCATTCTGAAGAGTTTTCTCTGTACTGGGACTGGGCGAGAGAAACCTCAATTTGCGAAGCATTGGGCGAACAAATGGCGAACACATCTTGGACGACCAAAGACCCACCGCGACAGAAAGGAGTAGGAAGCCCCGAGGCGGGGCATCTATCACGGCGGATTGGCAGAAAGAGGTGGTGTATCGCTTAGAAATTACCCCACAATTCCGGGGCGGGTGGGGTGACCTAATAACATCGGGCTGGTGGGCTTAAATTACCTCTATAACAAGTACACTTTCCCGAAGTTCCCCGGATTTTCTCTAACTCGCCGATATACCAGACCACTATTTAGTTTCCACATTGGACTTTAAAGCCCGAGAGATCTCAATTGTAAGAGCTATACTATTCCAAGGCTCGCTTACCCTTTCCTCTTTAATCGAAAGCTAGCCAAGAGGCTAACAAGTAGGTGATCGCCTGCGTAAACCCCGACGGGACATTCGGGGACCATTGCGGTACTCGCTCATTTTCTCCTGTTATTAACTAGTCAGCAGATTCTAGTTTGTAACATATTGGAATTGTTTCACAATTTTTCTCCGCATGGTCTCGTGTTCAAGCGCCGAGGCAGCACCCGTGAAGAGAAATGGCCGAGTCAACAAAGTGTCATAAAGTATGTGCATATGGTGATGCGTACAGCAAAAGATATCAGATATGCTGCAAACTTGACGCGCCAGAGAGGGAGTTGAATACGCCCCTGCGACTTTCGTCTCAGCTCCGCTCGTTTGGAGGAACTCGCCCCATTTGAGGATATGTTCACACCTCCCCTTAGATTTTTGCCTGAACAGGAGGGGAAGACCAGCAATATGAATCCGTAGAAGCATCTCCGCCCTGGAGCCTGATTTGATGAACTCGGAGACCATCGAATTCATCTCCACGCGGGAAGAAGTCTCGATCTATTTCCATACCGCCTTCAGGATTGATATTGACCTTGACCATCCAAGATCCCATCCCCTCAGGGTAGAACTGGTCATCCCAGGTCGAATAAAGTGAACCAGTAAAATAGGCACGGCGCCCGTCTCGGCTGACCTCTACCATCTGCACAGCTCCGGCGATAGGCTTATCCGGCTCTGCGGGGTGTGCTGTGTGGTTGCCAATGCCCCCCAGCCTTATAGAGCCTGTTTGGACGGGATGGGCTGGGTCACGAACATCATATTGCTTCAGCTCACCGGTGCCCCAGCATGAGACGTAGAGAAACTTATCGTCGACGGAAAGATCGATGTCAGTAACGAGTGGAGGAATCGCACCAAAGGGTCTGATGATCGGCGGCAGCTTGTTCGGGTCATCAACCGGCTCCGCGGGGATCTTAATCACTTTCTCAGCCTTCCATTTACCGTTATCGCCTTCACACCAGTAATAAATCGAACCCGAAAGGTCCTTTGTTGAGAGTGTCACCCCGAAGAAGCCCCATGTAGCCTCGGGATCATGCGTCGGGCGCACTTCCAGGACCATTTGATCGCCTTCATCCACGTCGATCGCCTGGACGTGTGTCCCTTTGGCAAGGTCCCAGAAGTGGACCTGTTTCCCATACTTGTTTTCCATAAGCGCCGCAGCATTCAGCCCGTTCTCGATCAGTGAAGGGGGAGCCCACTCGCTCGAGATTAAGGTGTTCTTATTCATGTGCCACCAGGCATCGTAGCTCTGGCGCTGGGGCCCATGATTGGTTTCCCACTTTCCTATCACCTCGAAGGTGTCGTGGTTGAGCAGGGCAATACCAGTCTGACCATCAGCATTGCCATCCGGTCCACCCAGACATGTCATAAATATACCGTTCGGTCCACAGTGGATTGTATGCGGACGCGAGTAGCCAGCCTTGTCCGAAAGCTCTTTCGCCGGAATCACCTTGACAATCTTCGGTTTACGGGGGTCTGGCTTCGTGTCGATAATGAAGATGTTTGACGATCTCAGGCCTGGCACAATGAGGTACCGACGTTCCAGATTCTCCATATTGTGACCCTCATGCTTGAAAGCACTCGAGCAAGCATTCCATCCAAAGTGATGCAATTCCTGCCCTGCGGGAACCTCGACTTTACCAACGACCCGTCCGTAGGTAGTTGACTTGGGATCCAGGTCGACCACAAAGACGGCATCATTTTTCTTGAATTCAGGATCATAAGCAACAACGAATGCAAGCTCTTCTGGAGGAGCCGCAACAGCCTCGGCGGCGTGCCGGTAAAATGTTGGATCAATCATCTTAATTCGTTCTTGCTGGGATCTCTGAGGAGTAGTTGCGCACATTTAAACCAAAAGCCTAGAAGGAAGAGAGTGAAAAAGTGCGACTTCATGGTCGCAGGGTATTTCTAGGTAGATATCAGTTCACCTGATGTTTTACACGAAATAGCAATCATGACAAAGGTCAGCGAGCTTGGACAATTCGCTAACATTCAGAATGGTAATGGGCGTCGAAATGCCCGGCTATCCGGAAGACAAGTGGTCTGATGTGCTGAGGGCGGTTGCTCGATGACCAGTTCATGATCCCCGATATGTGAATAGCTCAAGGACTGCGTAGAGGGTTCGAGATAGTGTGACCCCATTCGCTATGAATTGCCCTTTGTGGAGCAGTTTGGGATCTGATCTGGGGCCACTAGTCGCCTTTCCCCGCATCTTTCTAAACAGGAGGGCACCAGTCCAAACCGCCCACCTTTGGACTCTGTTTACGTGTGAATGTCACGAACATTGGCTCTCCTTGGAAAATGTGTGTTTGTAAACTCCGAAAGTGACACGGCTAACACCGTGACAGAGATGCTTCGTGCCTCTGTGGGCGACTTCCTCAATATTTAGCGGAGGCCAAAAGCAAGAGAGTCCTGGCGGACATTAATGAGAAAAGTTCCATCGGGGGTTGCACTATGACTAGCGATTGATAAGTAGCATCGGATGATCCTTGAGATCTTTAGCGATTTCGGTAGTCAACTCGGGGGTCCACTTCAGTTCTTTCCTTTCGGAAGTTCATGCAGAGGAGGGGATATATTCAGCCGCTCTTGTCTTTGTTACCGTATACGTGCCGTTTGAGCTGGCGCCAGTGATCAGGTCCTTCCTGTCGCCCTCCACCAGGAGGCGGATCACTTCTAGCCGCATGCAGGAACCTGACTGATGGTCAGGGAGTCGGATGAGCCCGACGGTCCGAGACAGGCGAGACAAAGTGAGTATAGGTGAGAAAAGAGAAACTTACAAAATCGCACAAGGCCTGAGATGGATGGAATTCATTCAAACCAATCTGTACAGCCTCGTCGTCAGGAACTCTCCTCACAGTTTTACAACGGCTGACTGCGTAATGGGCTATTTCACTTACTTCGGCAATGAACAGCTTTTCCTCGCATTCTTTGTTCAGATGTTCGTAGGCCTTGATGCCGTTCGGAGCGAAAATGCGGATATGGTCATTGTACATGCGATAGTCCACTGTTTGCGTTCCTGGGGAAGTACTTCTCTTCACACCTTCAGTGGACACGACTTGGAACGGAGCTACAATGAAGTTGTAAGTGGTGATAGCATAGCAGCTGATGACGACCTGTTTTATTTTTGGTCAATGCCCATTGTCTCCAAGACTATATCAAATTTCATTTCGGAGGGTAACGTACGTCAACGTTTGCATCTCTGGATAAACAGTATGGGTTGGTATATCACAAGAGGAATAAGGCAGGATGGGCCATGCTGCCCCGTGGATTTGTTCACCCAGAGACGTCGCATATGAGTTCATTAAAAGGTTTAGATTCTCCCATCAGAGGAGATGGCCCACTCGGACTATAGCATTGTCGACCGGAGTGACCATGCCACCCGCGCCATCCCCGAATAGCAGCTTGTGTCGGCTTGATCTTTCGTAGGTGGTTATTAATGTCCCCAATCGGACGTATGAAGACTTGCGCCATATAACAGCTGCCCTGGTCGATCTCAGAGGAGCTGAAAGAGACGAAGATACTCCCGGTTTCAGCAACCTCGCAGATCTGGCGAAATCCTCTGGGTTCGGATCCAGGCTGTTCTCGCGAAACTTCTGTCACGCAACCGGGTCGAGCCAATTTCAGTGCACGACGTGGCCCGAAATACGGTATATTTTGAACTTTAATGAGCTGAATCCTTGTGACTGGTCGACGTTTCGTGAGACGGATTTTGGACGTGTCCCAGCCGTCATTTCCTTTCGAAGAAAAATCCGATTTTGGCGGGGGTTCAACAACCTCGCTGCAACAATAGCGGTCATGATAGAGAGACACATTCGCCCAAACGAATAATAATCTCGGGCGTGACTCTTTGGTCAGCAATTCGTGAACCTTTTAAGTCCGTTTCGAGTAGATAATGGCTCTGTGGAATCTAGAAGCTGATGCATTTCCGACCATTCCCGAATCTTGTTCCCGACACAAAGCTTCGTGGCCTTGGAACCCTTATTTTATCTATCCTCCCGCCGATCTCGCATCCGAACTTGATACAGTGGGGTGCACAAAGTTTGAATACACCTAGCTAACAAAACTCCATCCTAGGTGTATTCAAACCTTTTGCACCCCACTGTACTGGCTTAATCTAACATTGCTGAACAATGGGGCGAGGGTGTCAAGCATGCACTGAAAGTTCACGCCGTCGGCAAAAGTGCGACGCCGCAACACAGTGCGGTCGATATTTGGAAAGAGGTGTCCCGCAGCATTGCAAGCCAACTAACCACGTCGTGAATTGACACGGCACCGTAAGACACCTCATGCCGATCGCAGTGCAACACCAATCTCCCTCAATCGCTCTGGAACAACTCCACCTTCCCTGAACAAGGTGTCGGCAGCGAGTTGGCCCCCAGAGTTTCCCGGCCCACAAACCGTGCGCATCGCTCTACTAGCTCCCCGACGCAAATCGGATCAGGCTATTGGTATCCCATCACGAAGGGTAAGCCTGCTCTGGTCCCATGGGTGTTATGATGTCTGGCAATCTCGGTGTGAGCTGCAAAGGGTCGTTGATCCCGAGAATGGGATCATTCGCCTCCGCGATGTAGATCCTCGTTGGGTTGCTCTCCTCTTCGCAAGCCTAGCTGGAAACATTGCCAGTGCGAACAAGTCAGACTTTGACTCACAGGCAATTGAAGAGGTAGAGGCTGCCAAGTTGCAAGTCATGTGGTACAAAGCATCTGTGGTATTTCCGAATGTTGGCCAATTTACGGTAAATCACGACGTAAAATCCATTCAGACCATCGGCATTTTGATCATGTCTGCTCACACAGTGGGATTTTCCCGAGAATTTCACGCTCTCCTAGGCGCAGCTCTCAGGATTGCATTTCCTAGAGCCCATACCAGAGGACTCAGAGACCTCTGTCAAGGCCTCAACTGAGAGAGGACTTGAGGAATTGGGAGACACGCCCACGCCAGCACAGGACATACACCCCCGGTTGTGGGCACATATTTGCATCCAAGACTGGTTTTCTACATTGTCGAAGGGTCGATATTGCATCAATCCAGATCACTGCAAAACTTCGCTGATTTCACAGGAGATTCCCAGTAACCCCAATTTCTGGAGCTACCAGTACGTCGCGTTTAAAATTGCGCGACTCTTAACAAAAGAACATGATGCCATTCGACGTTCTACCACGACGAGCAGAGGCAGAGTCCAAAGCACATCGTCATCAAGTGGAACGTTTTATATCTATCCTATAGAGGAGTCATTCCAATGCACTTGCGCAAAAAAAGGGTTCTGCGCCCCCTCGTTCCTCATTGGATGAAAGATACTGGTCTGATCCGTCGTCGGCGTCTTTGAACAAATAGGGCATTGATCTCTTGGGCCTCCAGCTAAACCAGGCTCTTGTCGAGATATGGCCCACATTAACAGTGTCACCTTCCACTACCTTGCCGCGAGACAGCATACGGAGGAAATAGAGATAAGTGAGGGCAATGGAACAGAAAGTCAAGTAACATGAATTGACCATTCGAAGAGTTTGAAGGGTATGCACGTAGCCAGCAAGGAAGAACATCACACGCCTGTGGCCGTCGCGATTGGTAAGTCCCTTTTGTAACTCCCTGTGGTTGGTGCTGATGAAATAGACTCGAGCAAGAACTTGTCCAACTCGGGAACATGGAAATCATCTCAGCTACAGCCTGATCCCCGCGATTATGCGACTAGAGACTATACTATCCTGCCCAATCCCGAAAACTCTCACAAACTTTCAGTACATGAGAGCGATCAGGCATTCTCCATGAGGATTACACCATTCATATCAGTCATGTTGCCAAGAAATATCCACAGAGAGGACCGCAGAGAGAGAGAGAGAGAGAGAGAGCACAAAGAAACACACAGATAAGAATGGGCTATTGCCTTGGCCTTCCAGACTTTGAATGTTCCCCGCCATCTGAGTTCACGAATTCTTCCCGCTGTCATTCATCATCGCTCTGAAGCGCACACTTGCAGGCACGCAAAGATTTGCAACACTTAGGATCCCCTATCCCCGTAAAGGCATTTAAGGAGTGTCACAGATGATGGGCGTGTTAGTTTTGGGAGTCCATTTTGACCCGAAAATCAACCGGGCTTATTGTACGGCGAGTTTGACGCTGTCCTGTCGGCACTGTTCGAGGAATGCTTCACGCGGGACTTTGCGTTGGGAGTGAGTACGGTTTGGGTGCCGGAACGGCTCGATCATTGACGTTCCATCTCGGGAATGAAAATGAAACACACAGTTGTCGCCTCGGCCTTCGCATTCCCCCAGAAGATGATCATCACTAAGCCAATAACCATAGGCAACCAATGGGCAGAATGATGCATCCAGCGGAGACAGATCTTTGTGCGAGACTTTATCGACTCATCCATCTCCACGCATCCAGCGTCTTTGCAGTGATATCCTGCACATAGCCGTGTGAGTTCTCTACTGGCGTGGGCGACGATAGCACTATGTCCCTCCTGCCTGCACCCATCAACGCTGATCTCCGATGTCACTGATAAGACTTGTATGTGTGTAGACAAAAGCAAGCACCCTATTGTTGTTGGTATACTCGTCCTCTCCTTTCTCACTGGTGTGGTCCGTCATTGCAGGTTCCAGCTTGTGCAGAGCATCACAACTTTGACAGAACTCCGTTGCTTTCCAAGACCGAGAGATGTGCGCGGTTAATCTCAGAAATAGTTTTGCATCTGTGCGAGAACATCACAGTTACCCAGCCGCGCTTTCAAGGCATCGATTCCAAAGGAAGGGACTTACCCAGCTAGACCCATAGTGAGTTTGAACTCGTCATAGAGAAGCTGGATGGCTAAAACTACCCCTCTATGGCCGTTGTACTGTAAGAACGTGTCAGCTCTCGAGAGATTGCATACAAGCCAGTCATAGAAGAAACTCACAGCCAAGCCCCAGATTGGGATCCTCCCGGCAAAGCAGAAGTCAGCGCCCAAAGCCAAAGCTTTAAAGATGTCCGTTCCCCTCCGAATTCCTCCGTCAATGCCAATCTTGATCTTGCCTTTTGCTACGGGAGCGCATTCTCGGAGAGCATCCAATGTCGCTGGGACACCGTCCAGTTGTCGTCCACCGTGGTTGGAGATGACGACGCCATCCAAGCCGTACTGGATGGCAGTGACGACATCTTCGGCAGTGTAGACTGGAATGGCGGTTATCCTCCCAGCAATTGTGACTGGAGATTGACTTACGTCCTTTTATCCACAGCTCCAGGTTGGTGTGACTCTTGACGAATGAGATGGCTTCGTCCCAGTTTACGCCGTTCTCTTTCATAGTCATTAGCCCGCCTGGGATGTCACCAATCAAGGTGCCGAGATGGTGTATTTTAGTACATACCATAGGCTAGTTCATTGTCTCCTCCCTCTAGGTTGCTCATGTCCAAACCCGGGGCGATGTTGGGATACGTAGTGCCCTCCGGCATACAGAAGGAGTTGCGGAATTCGTTCAGTCGTCGTCCCAGCATTGGTGCATCAACGGTCAAAAGAATGGCTTTATAGCCCGCCTCTATAAGAGCTGTCAGTTTGGCCGAGAATCCAGATGAAATACAGGCAGGGGTGTCCTCCATGGTCATTTGGAAGAACTGGCACTTACTCTCGGCCCTCTTCAACAGTTGAACGGTCAGCTCTCGGCTCCTCAACAGGCTAACCTGCATGGCATAGGGGTTTGCTTTTCCTTCACCCTGTTTGATAACGTCTTCCAGTGAGTCTGTTGAGTAGGCGCTGAGTCCCATCGCCACATTCAGAGCCGCACAAGCTCTCGAAGTGCCAACTTCCCCCTCGGGATGAGCAAGTCGATGCATAGCCGCTGGAGAGAACCCAAACGGGAACAGCACTTTGCTTCCCCAGATCGTAGTGCTCGTGTCGACAACGGACACATTACGCAGAATGCGGGGACGTATTCGATATCTGTCAAAAGCGGCTTCATTGTCTCGAAGACTGCCAATAGAGAGGTGTTGGCGATTCCGCCCCAAGTCCTTTCTCCAGGGTATTTGAGACCGGCAGACTCACGTTATCATGTCCATGGCGCCTTCGTTAAAATATTCTGTAACATTATTAGCCTGACGAGCTCCGAACTCGGGTCTGTCTAACCTCGATACATCTTAGGAAGCTTTTTCGAAGCCTTGTCTTTCAGATCTTTGATTGAGAACACCTCAGGGTCCAGCGTTCGCCCTCGATTTGCCATGATGATATGGTTTCCGAGACTTTTATAAAAAGAATCCACGGGTTGTGTTTTTATACAGACCTGTACCCTGATTGACCAGTTCCCGTAAGGAAAGCTTCTGAAGGTTTCTGATGGCTTATATACCAGTGAGCCTTCAACCGTAGTCTAGGCGTGGATTGATCCACGCCCTTCAAGTCAAGCGGAGGCAGATCCGCGAAGTTGATATTCATACCACAAAGGGTAACGCCCCACTCAAGGACAACTCCGCCCGTGTGCTTTCGAAACCCGTTATCGCGGGCTAGGAAAGGAAATGCTGAGTTGGCAACCCAATCTGGCCACAGCCAACGGACTGTTTCTGACATGCTATCTTCTCAAACCCTGCGAGCGAATATAAATGATTAGAAAGGGGTAGCCTGTTCTTACACGAGTTCCTCGATTATCACAGGGCGTTATCACAAGCCTCGTCCGATCTGGTTAGGCCCATGAACTTTTGAGGTCAGCTCAAGCTTTGGAATCCTCACATTAATGATCTCAATGTGTTGGGATGCAGTCTGGTTCATCCTTTCGTGAGTTCTCTGATCGCGAAGATGAATACCAACAGGGGCCTTGAGATCCAGATCCTGAGTCCTTGTGCCTTCATTCATCCTATGCGCTGCCAGGGTTCATGTTTTCATAAAGACGATTGCGCCGGGGGCGGAGGTGTCGTCCAGCCGCGGCTTATCTACTGTTTTCACTCCTTTCGTCCTCGTTAGGTTGATCTCACCTATTCATCTCACTCCCAATTCTCAGATCAACGCAGTCGCAGTCTGCTGAATATCATTGAAGACTAACCAGAACAGACATGAGGACAATACACTAGTCCATCATCTTGGAGTCTCAGCTGCAACAAAAATTAAATGGACTTGTGTGTAAAGGGTTGCGTTAAGTTGTTGTTGGGTTCCCATCGTGGTTTACATGCGTGCAAAGGGTCATTGCGTTGTGTTTAAATAGTAGAAAAAAGAAGCCTCGAGGTTCGCCGGGCTCCACGCAGTGGTCTCTCACCAGTGCGATCCTGTTGATCGACCACCTTTGGGCTTGGGACGTCTTGTTTCGAGTGACCGAACGGCCCCTGTTCGACGAGCATCTGTTTGGCCACGCTAACGCCCCCTCGCACAAGGTGTCCGGTATTAACTGCTTGCCAATGCAGTGAGGCACCCTCTTCAATGTGAGCAGGTCGGGACGGCTACTTGATCAGGCAGTTGCTGCATCCAATTATGAAATGCCGCAGAAGCCACACCAATATGTTTTTCCAACCGGTAACAGAGGGTGTCAAGGATGTGCTTAGTAACGGTAGCTGATATGAACCAACAGACCAAGCAATGTCAAGCTTCGTGATACCTCGTCTAGCTATACTTGTAGTCCTCATGGCTGCCGGAAGCATCAAGTGGAAAGGGCTCGACAGCCATCCACGTGACAGAAGATGGTTATTTCCTCATTGAGAGATGGGTTACAGACGCAAAGGAGCAGAACACAGTCTGGCGATGGCTGCATCAGACCATGCTCTACTCATGGTGCTCAATAATCCAAGAGACCGCGGCGTCCAACGAAACCCTGCTTACAGCATCCGGCAAAGATATTTGAGTTGCTGTAATTCCACATATGGATCAGTATTAGAAAGGCACATGTGGCATATAAGTCTGGGTGTTCAGTCTCAATACAACCTCTCTCCCATCTCTCCTTTCCCTCACGAGGGCACCTCACAGTGTTTGAACATGTCGCAAACCGTCGTCTCCAAGGGCATATTCCATGGTCTTCCAACCTTCCCAGATTACGAAGGGAAGAAATTGCGGATCATTGTGACCGGAGCAAATGGCATCTCCGGCTCGGCAATGACCAAGGTGCTGACTGAGGCTCCAGAGAGATGGGAGAAGATTTATGCTCTGTCACGTCGTCCGCCATCGGGCCAGACTGCCCCCAATGTCGAGCATATCGCGGTGGATTTCTTGCAGAGCACCCCAGAACAAATCGGCCAGACCCTGAGGGACAATGGAGTTGAAGCGTAAGTCTTTCCATATCAAGCCGATCTCGCTGACAAATTAGGGAATATGTGTATTTTGCCTCATACGTTCAACCACCTCCCCTTGAAGGCCAAAGCTTGTGGAGTGATGTTGAAGAAACAACCAAGCAGAACGTGGCCTTGTTGTCTAACTTTTTGGGTGCCCTACCCTTGGCGAACATAGCCCCAAAGCGTATCTTGCTCCAGACCGGTGCAAAGTACTATGGCTTGCACCTTGGGCCAACACCGATACCGATGGAAGAAGAAGATGCTCGTCATGGAAGCCAGGGAAACTTTTACTTCCCACAGGAAGATCTATTAGAGGAATTTTGCCAAATCACCAACTCCAGCTGGGTGGTTACTCGTCCATGCTTTATTCTTGGCGCCGTTGAAAGTGCAGCCATGAACATCCTGTGGCCCTTGTCAATCTATGCGGCTGTTCAGGCTCATCTGGGACTTCCCCTGGAGTTTCCAGGAGATGTGGCAGCATGGGACGTCGTCAAACAACAGTCGATGTCCACCTTGATTGCATACCATGCTGAATGGGCAGTTTTGACGCCCGAGGCCGGTAATCAGGCGCTCAACCAGTGCGATGACAGTGCCTTTGCATGGGGAAAGTTCTGGCCAACGCTCGCTAACTGGTACCAAACATCTGCAGGTCGACCAGCACCCAACGCAGATGCATATGCAACCATCACCATGCCTCATCCTGTTCCGCCTCGAGGATTTGGAGGACCAGGGCTTGTGAAAGCGTCGTTTAGTTTTCTTGAGTGGAGCAAAAAGCCCGAGGTGTTGAAAGCATGGGAGGAATTGAAAGTGAAGCATGGACTCAAGTATAGTCCCTTTGGCGACAAAGCCATGGATACATTTGGACTCATCGACGGCGAGCTTCTTGGCGGATGGGGTCGAGTTCTCAGCATGGATCGCAATCGCAAATTGGGATGGCACGGCTTCGTGAGTACCAAGGAGGCCATCAAACAGGTAATCACTGAGATGGCCGACCTCAAGATGGTTCCCCCCATGCTCGCGTAGCTGCAGCTGGCTTGAGTGGATGCAAGTTGAGGTAGCAACTAGGGCAGACAATCGCAACTTGAACCGAATAATGACCTTTGGTATCAGCAGGTTCACGCCAAAAAATATTCAGCTTGAAATGATCCCGCCAATAAAATCAAGCCGATTGCGGCGGGAGAATTCTCCTAGATTTTTGCTTTAATGTGACCACACTGAGACCGCTTCAATCCTGCATGAAACCGAATCTTTTGGACTATAGCTGGGGGAGAAAGATCGAGTGACACCATCGACCAACGAAGAGTAATACTCCTGGTCCCAATTCACGCCACCCTCGTTAGGGACAAAATTCGATGCTGCATGATACGTGCAGAATGAGGTCGACGTAATGTCAGGGGGGAGCCAAGTCTTTTGGACCGCTCGCCCATATGCTTCCTTCTTGCTCTCACGGGCATACCGAGTACCGTTTTTATTGGTCTGTAAGCAATAAGCCATGCTGGTTCTGGGCAGGGAATTCGGCAAAGTGACTGAGATACATGTCCGGAGATTGGGGCGCAGGGGATTTCGCCAACCATCTCGGGGGGAATTTGCTGGTGGCCTAATAATCAACTTGTCAGCGGAACCTGGGGCAAAAGAGGTCTATCGGGGTTCGAGCCGTGGACCATAATAAACATTTCTGTATTGAGAATCAATCCGAGCCAACGCTGCATTGCAGCGAAGAGCGACAAAGATGGAGTGACCACCACCCAAGGAACCGAGATTGTGCGAATGCTCTTTTTTCAACCACAATAACCACTGAAGAGGGAAAGAACAACTTTGTATGCCCTTCCCTGATGCGAAGCAGTGCTCTTCAATCGCTCAACAAGGTTCATGGTGAGCAAGAGAGTTTCGGGAAGAGCAGGTCGAATGCCAGCAGTTGTGGCGGTTGAAGCAGCCAACGCAGCTACCTACCCAGTACAAGTACTTGGTACAAGTGTTTAATGGAGTGGTGCAAGAGTGGTGTCCCCAGCACGGGAAATGTGAAGCGGGAAGCGAGAAATTTTCGTCAGACGACTGGATATATTACTTGGCACAGTGACACTCCTTGACACTCCTTGACACTCCTTGACACTCGTAGAATTTGAGATGATATGACTCGGTCAGACAAAAGGAATTTCTTCGCTGTTCATCTCAAAACCCCCCCGGTCATAGGCCCTTTTGGGCCTCACCAGCCCCCTCTAGGCTTGACGATCTCAGCCGCAATGCGAAAAGAAACGGCGCCCGAGCCTTGTTTCATGGGGCAGCACGGGGCCGAAAATAAATTCGTCCAACCTCGATACAGCCAGTGTCGCTCTCTGCCTGAACCACCGAGCCACCTACGCACTTGTGCACGGTACCGGGTACTGGGTACTGGTTATGGATATGGGCCACTTGTACCTTATCAGTCGACCCGCGCGCAACCATGTCTCTCCCCCCCGATCTCTACTTGTTACATACTGTTTGAACAGCCTGTTTCACTTTCTCACGCTTGCGTTCTCTTTCCAAGTCCCTCGTTTCTGCCCAACCCTGAGCACTCTTTTAGTTCCAGAACAGACCATGGCATCGACCCGTGTACGATAGCACCACAGGTGGGCCGTCTCCCTGTTCAACTACTCTGGCTTTTCCCGCGTCCCTGAACACGTTCACAATGGATAACTTTCGACCTAAAGGCTATTCGCGCCTCGTCTTTGGCGGTCCAAAACCTCCCCACGACGCCATTACTGAAATCGAGTTACAGCGCTCCCGAAATGCACCGGAATTGACGACAGCTGAGCCCTCTCAAAGTTCTACCTTGCTCGTCTCTCCGAACATTTCAGGCCCTGGAGAGTCGGGGCGTCGGACAAATACACGATGGGATCCTTTATTCTTGGGAAACTGGATACTGATTGCCTTTGCTCTCTTTTTCGCCGCTGTCATTGCTGCTCTGCAAGTAGTTTACACCGTTTCACAGAATAACCATGGAATCGCTACGAGTAGCGACAGCGACCATTATCTGTGGACTTACGGCCCAACAGCTGTGTTTGTGGTTGTCACTGTTCTCTGGCGTCAAGTTGACTATGCTGCAAAGTCAATCCAGCCATGGGCGGAAATGGCAAAAGGCCCTCAACGAGCAGAGAACAGTCTTCTTCTGGATTATGTTACGCCGCTCCAAGTCTCGTCGCTCTGGAAATCGGTGCGACACGGCCACTTCGCGGTCTCATCCAGCATTGTTGTCTTCCTCCTCATCAAAGTCATAACCGTCTTGAGTACTGGTATGTTCAGCCTCCAGTCGGTCCAGAAGAACGAAGTGCCCACCTCAATGGCATTAAATAATACCTTTGATGGTACACGCTTTCACGACGCAGGATCGGTGGATTCGAGGGCTGCATATGTCGCCTACGGCCACAAGGCCTATAATATCAGTCTCCCTGTTGGTACGACCGATCAGTATGCGGTTCAAAGTTTTTACCCCGGCGACGAATTCGTTAACGGTAGTCTAACATATTCTGCTACGGTCGATGTTTTCAACGCCAATCTCAGTTGCGAATCGGGGGCACTCGAGCACACCACGGCTTTTAACGAACTTTCCACCGCTCCGATAGCCGCATACTACAACACTTCGGTGACATTTCCAGGCTGCCAAATATTCAACGCATACCTTGATGCCCCAGATTGGTTCTACATGCAAAATGACACTACTCACCGATTTGGTTATCGAGCATCATTCCAGAATGTGACCTGCTCAAACCTCCCATTGGATGATCCTACAAGGTACCGGTACATGATTGCGGCTACATATTCAGAGGGTTTCAGTCAGGACAACAACACTTTGCTCAACTCGTCCAATATCGTCTGCGTTCCATCCTACTCGGTTCAATCGGCAAGGGTCACGCTCGACACACAGGGAAACGTCAAATCCGTTAACTTGACCGGAAAACCACGTGGCCTCAATGACCTCAGCGCCGTTAACATTGCTGATGGAGTTCTCGCAACCACGCAGCAAGCCTCTACAATCTCCACTTCGACGTCATACGATGTGGCGTCGGATGTCTTTACGACCATGATGCAGCAGGATACAGTCAATTTCAAGGCCGAGGATCTCCTTGATACAACTTATCTTAACACTACGGCTAACAGAATATACGGACAAATTGCTGCGCAGCTCGCAAACATTTATTTGCTTTCTGATAGCTTCAAAAATGCAGCGCCGGTCATAGACGGGACAATCTCAAAAGACGAGAACCGTCTCACCGCCAGGCAGATTCCAATCAGGATCATGCAAGCCGTCGCCGCGGTGATGATCTTGCTCATTGTCGTCATCTTGTTTGTTCGCCCGAGAGGAGTAGTGCCAAGGAGTGTCGACTCCATTGCTGCGGTTGCTGCCATTCTCGCCCGGAGCCCAGCGTTAGAGGCCCGTCTTCGAGGTACTGGCCACCAGAGCTTGGATGAGCTTCGCGAGACTCTCGCTCCGCACAGGTTCATGACTGCCACTGGCTATGAAGATGGAGCCCGAACCTTCTCGATTCGAATGGTTACCCAGGTCCAGTCAGGTCTACATGGATCGTCGGACCGCGGTATCTCGGTTCCTCACAACATCAAATGGACTCGACCTTTCATTCTGCGCAGGATTGGTATGTCGCTCACTATCCTGGCATCGATCGCTGCGATAATCGCTCTGGAAATCCTTCTGTCGCAATCACAGGCACATGACGGCCTCGGGACCGTAAACGACGATAGCGCAACCAGATATTCATGGTTGTATGTGCCAGTCCTGATCTTTCTCCTGCTCGCAACGCTCTTCAACATCATGGACTTTGAGATAGAGTTCACCGAGTCTTTCCACGCCCTAGCGAAGGCTGATTGTGAAGCAAAATCTTCGATGCTTTGGTACCCGCTGAGGCACATATCTCTACACGCCACCTACAACGGTCTTAGACACGGCCGGTTTGCCTTGACTGCGGCATCTGTCTCGGCCGTTCTCGCTCCGCTTCTGACCATTATTGTGTCGGGCCTATTCACGACCAAGGCAACCGCGCAGGGCATAGCCGTTCACGCGAATGCTTTGGACTGGTTCAACACCACCACGTTGGCCGATACTTCCACGAACGTCCCACTCCTCGTTATTGAAGGTAACATGTCATATCCACAATGGACCTACTCCGAGCTTGCGGTACCCCAGCTGAGTCTTGTTGGCGACGATGCAGACCAGCTGCTTCGCCAAGGTGGAGCTCTTTCCGTCAACACACCTGCGGTCCGAGGGGCGGTGGCGTGCAATGTTGTCCCCAAGGATCGAATCATGGATACCACCATTTCAATCGGTCAGCTCTCTTCCAATATCAGCACGCCGGATCTCTGTGGAAACACCGGTTCTATCGGTGAAGGAAATACATGGCTCTTCAACTCTATGGAGGTCCCAGTGAATACGTCCGGGTATTTTGGTTCAAACTTGGTCTTGGGTTTTCTTGACGCTTGCCCTACGCTGGCCTTGTACTACGGTCATGTCACCGACAACAAAATTGACCACTTTATACCGGTCTTGTGCAGTCAATATCTCGAACGGGTACAAGCGAACGTGACCTTCGGTCTTCCTGATTTCTCAATCTCTATTGATCCGGTGGTGCACCCAAATTCGGCAGTCAACTTTTCCAGATTCTATACTGGATTTCCCGCGCTGCAGGTCTTGAACGTCTCTTCGACAGCCGACAGGCTTGACAACACTTTTAACGCCATGGTTTATGGCAAGGATGGAACCCCGACAAACGAGCTGTTAGACGAGAGCACATTGATCGCATCCTACACGCACTTGTATCGCCAGTACATGGCTCAAGTCGTCAACAGCTTTCTTCGCGCAGATTTCTCTACTCTATCCAACAACGCGACAGAGACCGTGGTCAATCCTCTGCAGGCGTCTTACATCAATCCCCGTCATTTCCGTCTCGTGCAGTCGCCTCTCTCTACGCATTTGCTGGTGGGGGTTGTCGGGGCATTGCTGATCTGTGCGCTCGTAGTTTTCATCACAATTGATATGCGCAATGTTCTGCCTAAGCCCGTCGGCAGCATCGCTGCCGTGGCGAGCTTGCTGGCAGGTTCCCGCATCGTGGACCCGAAATCTGGCATGGTCCCTCCGGGTTCCGAATATTGGTCAGACGACGAATGGGACAAGAGTGGTGTCTGGCAGAGCGAGATGTTCAGGATGGGCTGGTGGGATAAATTCCAGGAACCGGTCGACTCGTGGAGAGGAAGACAGAACGGGATCACCACGGGGCCGAGTGAGGGTCAAATCCATGATTTCAGCGACGGGGCAGGCAGCCTAGAACTTCCCTCTTCCTTCAGAATTGATGCGCGCCCGAAAGTTGGGTGACTTCTCTGCTTATGAATGAGATGATGGTGATGATGGTGATGATGATATAGCGAACGATCTTGAGACATAGCATGTTTGAAATCAACACACCGTCTCGCGACAAGACCCCGTTCACTGAGACCTGGTCACCTGAAAATGACTGATCCGATCGGAGGCCACTTGTTCGTCGCGCCATCATCGCTTGTAATGATAATAGGGGAAATTGTGCAGGCAAGCATGCGTCGCCCCTCTCGCCAGTGGACTATAACACATGAACGCTGGTCCGTGGACCCAAAGGCGGCAAGTCAGGCATCGTTGAAGAGCCCGGGAAGTATCCAGCAGGTCCGAGGGGTTCGGGATGGTCGAGATCAATGATCATGTCGAACCAGGTAAAGGGTGTGCGTTTGGGAGGACAGTGCGCTGCGGGTGCTCTGTTGTGGGCTTGGAGGCCCGGCTTTGGGGGGCTGTCTGGCGCCTTGGGGTCTTCCTGCGTGTGACCTGTCCCATGGTCCTCGGTATCTTCTTGCTCGGTTTCATCGCGTGGCTCCGATGTCTCGACCTTTCCGGTCTCTTCTCCAGAGCTGTCGGGCTGAGGATCTGGGGTCTCCCTTTGCGGACTGGTCTCGACGATGTCACGATCTGCTTCCTCATCAGCGCCCTTGCTTCTCTCGCTCTGTTCGCCCCGCGCGGAATCGGACACGTGCGACGCGCTGGGATCAATGTCGTGTTCGTCTTCCAGAGCCGTGCTTTCGACTTGAGACAGAGGAGAATGCGGCGTCACATCGTTCCCAGGAGCATCATCATCATCTGTGTTCTGCGGGACGGAGTCCCTGGGAGCCAAGTTTTTATCATGCCCCTGCTGCTGCTGTGGCCCCGTCCCCTTGGGCGCAGAGATTGTGTCGGAGCCGTGGTGGAAAAGGCCCCATCCTCCTTCCTCCTCGGGCTGCTGCCTTTTCGGTCGCGACGTGGACTGGCCCATTCCAGCTCCTAGCCCATGGTAATATTGGCGTCGTTGTTCCGTTCTTTCATATGATGATGGTCTTTCGATCGAGGGATAGATCATGTTCTCGCGCTCAGCATGACCTCCCCGCATATGCTGGCCGACAACGATGTGGCATTGTTTGACGAGGACGACGACGAGGACGACAAGGAGGAGGGAGATGGTGCATGTCGGTGGGGAAGAGGAGTGATCCACACGGGGCAGATTCACCGAGGCAGCGGAAAGGTTAGAGAAGAAGAAGGAACGTGTTGGCAAGCCAGCAATACTATATACCGGCATCACCGATGGCTATGTCCCTTACTACCTTGGTGCTACGTGCGCAGTTGGGAAGACATCATCGTGCTCAACTGTCTTGTTGACACACGACAGATGCTTCACCTTTTTTTTCCATCTCATCTGTTGGCCAGGCAAGCAGGCTATGGACCCTCGCCATGTATTTTTGTCGGGCACAAACCTTCACACGCCAAACAGTTGTGTCAGAGCGAAAAAGGGTCTATGTACCTCGTACTCCGCATAACATGATTGACTTGTTCAGTCCTCCGAAGGCTCTGCTCTAGCTTCATTCAGAGCCAACTGGCTTCGATGACAGGCCCTTCCACTGCATAGCCGGATTGGCTCATGGGTGGCCTAGTTGACCTCAAAGACCAGCTTCATGCCACCCCCCCCCCGCGGAGCGGAGATCTGCCGGATCTGCAAGCCTCGCCAGCCTAAGGTAACCGGACTCGCCAAATATCTGCTATGTTTCGGCAAAAGTTGGCCCAGAACGAGAAGCGAAATCCAAATCAGGGCGTCGCTTGGCCTGGTCGGGTTTCACTTTGACTTGAGCTTCCACCAAGGCGTGTGATTCAGTCGGGACCTTCATCACTCCTTGCTTCTTCCTCCAGCGGAGTCCGGACCAATTCAATTTCAACCACGGCGTTTGCCTCAACCTTGCCTGCCAGGCCATTGTCATCTTTGTCGAAATATATGGCCCACCTCTCTTCGTCCTCCTCGACCGCCACAAATCCCTCCCAGCCATTGAAAGCTATCCTCCACTCATTCAACGCCTGGCCAGACACCAAGGTCACAGGGCCAGCCCACTGTGGATGGGCCTCAGCACGGATCCCATGCTGCAGTCGGTATGTGTCTTTGTTGACGAAGATCCAATTGAGCATGTTTTCCGCATTGATGGTGGTGACGATGCCGTCGTAGGATTTGTCCGGATATGGCAGAAGATAGCCAGTGAAGGGGTGCTTTCGGGACACCGCCCTAGGCTCCAGAAAAAGATAGCCATCATCCAGGATAACTCTCATGTCCTGAAATTGTTGTTGACGCTCGGCACTCATTCGTTTGGTTGCTCGTCCACTGAGGTGGCATTTTTCCGTCTTGAGCTCGAGCTCGCTCTCTTCCTGTTTGCGTTGACTCTGCTCCTGCAGCTGGATTGTGGACGTTGCGATCAGAGGCACTGTGGCTGCCAGAGTAATCAAAGAGAGGACCATTGCTGCTCGCCGCAGAAAGGTGGATAACCACAATCGAAGTCGAATGAGATGCGGGTACCTAAGTAGGTCATGGGACTGGTAATCCGGAGGCGGGTCATACACCACTTGATCGGCAGAGGGGGTTGTGCTGGCACGCCGGAAGCGGGTGGGCGGGGGCTGGGGGTTTGACGGCCGATCTTGTCAAGATGTGTACCTATGGCGGTGGTTGGTGTCTTTGACCTGCAGCCTTGTGGTGGAGACGATGTTGATCGTCTGTGCCTCGCTTCACCATGACATAATGGTGACCTGCCAGCTTCTCCGCCTTGTTGCAAGGTCCCGGCTTGGTCCTTGGTGGCCCTTTCCTAGTGTTTCCTTGTTTTCTTCTGCCCCTGGTTTGCCCTGGTGTCAGGAGCTGCCAGAGCTCCGACATGTCACAGGTGGAGCTCGCTTGTCGAGACCTGAACACTCGAAACCCGGTTCCTGCATCAAATAGCCAATGAGACACCTAATCGGCAGTGGCTACCGACCAGACAAGTCAGGGCTAACGCATCACATCGACGATAGCAAGCCAGTGGAGTTGGCAAGAGCCACCACAGCTGCTTTATCCCGCCGGTCCTGCCATCCGATAGATCACGGCGCTAGCATGTCTGGACACTCAATGCTGATGCGAGGAACGACATGAGGCCCGACGACCCCATATCACCGACTGTCGACACTGCTCCGCAAGACCCGGACATCTTTGATGACGATACTTCCCTCCCACCTGACCACCCAACCTCCAGCGCCTCTTGTGTAGACTGCCAACCCCTAACAAGCTCTCTTCAAGCCCCGACTTCACCGTATGGATCCTTGAACCTGTCAATTTCTCGGAATGGGAATGTCGTTGCTGACTTGGGAAGGACCGAGAATCGGAAGCGGCGCTGGACGATTATTTCGAGCACGGTAGCACTGTCGGACATCCGGGTGACCACGACACCTAATAGAAATCCGGTCGGCCACATCGAGAGACGGGTCACAACATCTCTTCTCCATCCAAGAGCGAGTTGCAAGCCGGACCTGCAGTCCCAAGAAGCATTGTTTCACCTACCGACAATACTGAGCACAAGCCGAACTGCTGATAGCGCAAAGAATCCAACCCGGACGCCAACCTGATAGCTCGACTCCCCACCGACGAGTCGCATCATCCAGGAAAATCCGAGAAGAGAAACCAGCCAGGTCAAGGAGAGCAGACAGGAGCAATGTCGGGCGAAACCAAGGACTTGTGAGTTCCAAATGCCTTCTACTTCTTTGAGAGCGTCTGTTCTGACCATGCTCAACCCAGGAATGACAGCTTCGACAGTGCCCCTGGAGGTCGCAACTCGGGCGAAGTCACAAAGCCTGGCGAGGGCGATGTTGGAGACAACACCCCGGACTATATCCCCAAAGGATTCTCCAAGAAGGACATTCAGAATATGGGAGGAAGCTTGAAGGTGCATGTGCGATTGGCCCTTGAGGTGGACATCCGGGTTATTGCCAAAGTCAAGGGTGATATCTGCCTCGGCATCCTGTAAGGAAGTCAACAGCGCCCCTGATATGATGTGCTGACTGGTTCGCCCGGACGGAGGCCACCACAAGCCGGTTAATATATAAGAGGAATATACAATCTCAAGTCACCTACCTGGTATCAAAGTTGCATGTAGAGCTTCAACCTCCAAGCCACTTGTAAAGGTCGTCGATTGTGGCGCGTAACGTGTGAAGAACAAAAGCGCAAAGCGGACAAGGCCGCGTCTCTTTTGCCCTGTTTGCCCGTTCAGATCTTCAAGTCGTTGCACAAGCAAATTTTCCCCCAGAGCATCGATCCTCCCTCGATCTACTAATATCATCGCAAATGTCACCACCACCACCACCAACAATTGAATTGACATTCTTGCCCTGGGTCAGCGATGGCCAGAACAATGAATCAGATAGGCGGCATCAGTCTTCGCGTCGACACCAACACACCGCACTTGCTTCGCACAGGAAGAACCGAGAGCTCCGGAGCTTGCACCGCAAGAGATTGCGCGATGAAACCAGTTCTGAACTGAGTACTATCTCATCTGCAGCTGGCCGACAGCTTTCAACACTGGAAGCCCACGGCCCATGGAACATGACGAGGGGTGCTGCTCTCCTGGCGACCGATCCCTTCGCTACTGGCTTTGACGTATATCCTTCCCCTAGGACGATACTTGACACGACCCGCTGGGGTCGACTCAACCTTTTCGGCGACCTGGAAATCTCTTACGATTTCCAGAGAGCCTTCGATGACGGTAGGGACGACGTCTGAGCGTTGGACCAGTCGTGGGCTGAGACAGTGTTGAAGCATTGATTCATCAGTTGCCGGCATTTGCTTTGGCCACGCACGATGCTGCAATCACAAAGATTCGAGAAGCCGCCGTCCGCACCTCGCTATTAGCTCCGCACTGTCGTTTTGCCACCATATATGCAGGCGGATGTTACAGATCTTACTTTGGCCGCAGAACACCTCGTAATGAGATGCTCCAACTTCAATCAAAACAAGAAGCGCTGAGACATCTTCGGAGAGCCGTGCAGGACCAGGGAGGTATTGCGTCAGATGAAGTCCTCTGGACGATAACCCTCCTAGCAATTCATGGTTCCGTCCGTTCTCTGAAGCATCCCCGATTCACCGCTCCTGTGTATAGAGACAACGAATTCTATTCCAGTATGGAATTTGAACGAACCCATCTGCATGCGTTGAGGACGCTCGTCAGCCAAAAAGGAGGTCTAGAGAACCTTGCAATACACGGCCTGAGCAACATGATATCAATGTAGATAAGGTTGAGGTCTCCCCCCTGGCCAGCGGCTTACCGATTTAGGGTCGATACCTTTCATTCTTTGATGAGTCTTGCCAAACCGGTATTTTCACCTCTTTATTCAACGCCACACCTCGTCGCCTCATTGCAAGAGGCATGGGACGACGTAGCAAAGAGTCGGTTTGCAGCCCGCGGAGATGGATTTGCTTTTTTGCAGGACTTCTGCGGCGGCCCTCAGCTGCGTCAAATCATTTGTCAAGTTCGGATCCTTCTGGAGACATACTCGCTTTCCCTACGTGATCCCCACAAAGGCCCGGATCTCATGCTCATGCTTCATACTCGTCGCTCTTTACAACACGATGCTCTGCAACTTCAGCCCGAAGGAGATTGTTTGTTCGAAGTTGCCCGTCTTTCTGCAATTGTTTTTGTAAGTCCTTGGCCCCCGTTGAGTTCATGTTCTTGATCTGGCTTTTTCGTTCCGTTGTATCCGTTCCAAGGCATGAGATCACTGCCTGAGATTCATCGTGATTGCAACGCTGACTCGCTGGGACTGGAAGATGGCTGAACTCGGTTGGACATTGCCGGTCATTGGTGGTTTCCACGAGAAGGTCACGAAACTGCTCTTAGAAGCCTTGGACGAATGTGTCAGTTGTCAATACTGGCAGACGCATCCTGAATTCCTCTTATGGGTGACAGTAGTTGGCGGACTTGCTGCACGCCAGGGTCCTCGGGTCTCAAGCTTTGCTGCAAAGTTGCGAGACTCACGTGTGGTCCTAGAAAAGGATTCATGGGGCTACGTGAAAAGCGTGGCGCAGAAATTCCTGCCTCTGGATTATCAGCTAGGAGACCTATGCCACGCCTTTTGGGACGAAGCGTGCGAATTGTTTTCAATGAACCAACCTCCTGATGCGACAAGCATCGCGAATCATCAACAAGATGACAACGTGTGTACAGCATATGAGATCAGACCAAACCAGAGGCTTGCCCATGATCGGAACACCACAAACTGTTGGGCCTCGTCGACTTCGCCAGGACTGTCTTCGTACGCTCATTGCTACCCTTGAGCACAGGCTGTCCAGAGCCGCCGGGTCAAGCACAAGGTCACCGAATTCACCATCCAGGTCTATTATCCCCTTCTCTGGTGTTGGGAAGTAGTGTACGGGGTATACGGGGTAATGAGCTATTATATCGACCCATTGAGATTCTATTGGGCATCACTTCTCAGCGTTTTCACTATTCAGCAGGCAATGTGCTTGAGAGAACGTATGCCAATTGATATCGACATCTCCAAGTCTTTTCTTGCTGTCTGGGGCCCACGAACCTCGAAAACGTGGAGTCCACGATTTTGTCAGAATTTAGGAACTGGGGTGTCTTCACCAGACTGGCACAGGAACGGAACTATGTCTGGCCTTTCGCCGGAACGTACTGCAAACCGGCTACCTTGACCAATCGGACCGAGAAAGAATAGCCGGCCTGGGCTCGGCCCTGCTGAGCGTGGCATGCGATGCGGGTCGAGACTCAGGCCATGTCGATCCAACGACAGAGAGAGTCGTGCTATATGCCGACCTAGTTTAAGACGTCTCGACTACTTCCTTCTGAGAAACACAGGCCGACCCATGCAGACTTCACCTCGTGATGGCTGACGCAATCTCAGAATGTATAGCGGCCGGTCTCAAATACCATAGACCTCGATCTTGACCTCATCATCTCATGGCCCACACGAGCGGCCTTGAAGTCTGTCCGACGTCTCTTGCCATATTCATCATTCCAATTTGTGTCAGGAAGAGGTCCCTCGACTTTGACCTAGATGGAAGCCTCCCAAGGCTATTCAATAGGGGCACTCTCACCCAATCGCAACCCGAGAAATCGTATACGTCCCGGAAAGCTGAGGGGTGAACTGCCCAGCCCTCGGCAATAGGAGCTTCCCTTCTTTCCACTTGTGAATTTCTCAGAACTTAGCCCAGCCGCTCTATCTCATTAGCAAACGTCAACCTGAATTGACAATATTTTGGTATTGCCTCTTCTCAAGACCCGATAACCCTGTCACCGAAGAAATATCAGAAGTGCAGGACTGAGTTAAAGGCGAATCCAATCAGTTATGGCTGAGCGGCGGAAAAGAGGGAGGCCCAGGATTAATGCGAGCCTCGATAACTGGTTCGGCGTCGAGGATGCCAGGGAGAGGAAGCGGATACAAGATAGGCTGGCGCAGCGAGCGAGAAGTAGGTCGTCGCATCCTTGTCCCTTCTCCATCTCTCTTTGGCCATCAGCCCCACATCCATTGCGAAAAGTGGCACACGGGTCTGTGAACAGGCTGCTGATGACCAGGCCACTAGGAAACCGCCAGCTGGCCCGAGTGAATAAAGTGACCGAAACCGTCAGCGACGGCAGTATTGTCCCCGCCACAACCTCTCGCGATAGGCCGACTGGCCCTTCGTGGCAGACAGGCACCGTTGAAAAGGAAGTTGCAGACACGGCACCAATATCGGACCAGTCGCCCCAAGCGAACGCACTCGAGGTTGTGCGTGCGACCCTGTCTCTAACAAGCCCTTCTTTGATGCGAAACGCTCTGTACGGAATGACCACAGACCACCATTTCCTCTCTTGGCCGGCCTGGGCCATCTATTCCACCCTAGGCCAGCACGGCGAAATGCAAGGCACAAGCTGCAGCGACTGTTGGGAGGAAGCAAAGTCGCCTCTAGAGTATCTGGCTCTTCCAGATTCGCTCCGGCCGTCTCCCCTGCAGCTCGCCATGCCCCATCAGCGCTGGATCGACCGGTTCCCCTTTCCTCGGCTGCGGGACAACATGATCTTGCTAAGTGGTCTGATTGATCTGAACGAGTTCGTGCGAGACTTGTTTGGAATGGCCAGCCTGATTCTCCGACGGGAGGTCCACCGCGCGACGTGGGATCCGGAGGCATGGGCCATGGGTGCGGAGTTCTCCTCGAAATGGGGATATTTGTTCCAGTAAACATGGCACGGTGTCTGGGCCATTTCTGTCTCGGTCCAAAGGCGCCTATTATATCGGAGGGCTGGGCCAGCCTCGCTCGGCGGTTATAGCCAATAGGGCGAAGAGCCGCTGCTAAGCGACCGCTAAAATACTTGGTCGACGCCACTGTATTTTGTCAGAATCTGGGCCCATCCAAAATTTGATAAAGATCCCACTCCGACCGCTCTCTCACCCGGCTGAGCTCCTCAGCCCCAGCTTTCACGCCGGAATGGCACTCCAGCTTCCCCACGGGGCAGCTTATTCGATGCTGAATTTCCAGTATTCTACCGTCTCTCTCAGAAGGGCGAAATATCGACGGGACTCTATCTGAACTGGCTGAAGCTGCCTCAGCGGCCCGGCTATTGTACGCTTACTTCAAGCGTCTAAAGGATATAAGAGTGAAGCCGTGCGAACCCATACCATGAGAAAAATGCACGCTGCGCTCTGAGCTCTCCTCCTCTAACCAGACTTTTGGTGGTGCAACATGGCGAGGCTTACTTTGTACAATGTCATCATCGGCATGATCGTTTCCATTGGCACTTTCGGTTACGGGTATGGCTTCGGGGCATTTATAACCAGTATCGGCCAACCCGGCTTCTACAAGGACTTCAACCTCGATCGTGAGTGTCCTGGCGTGATTCTTGACAACTTCCGACAATACTGATAAACGTAATAGCGACGAGCAAATATACTGCAAAGTGAGCACGACTGTGCCCCATCTATGTCGGTGTCTGACCAACGGACCTTCCAGCATCCTGGGCGCAGTCAATGCCCTATTCGCGGCCGGAGCTGCCTTTGGTTCCCTCTCCCAAGGCTGGCTAGCCGATTGGATCGGCCGCAGAAAAGCCCTCGCAGCGTCTGCCTTGTTCTCTTTGATTGGTGCCGGCTGGACTTCTGGGTCTCCATACCTGGCAATGCTCATCACAATCAGAATCCTACATGGGTTTGGGCTCGGCATGTTGATATGCCTGGTCCCGTTGTATCTCACTGAGGTGTCCCCACCACACTGCCGTGGACTCATGTCTGGCATGACAGTTATGGGATTCGGCCTCGGATATGTGGCGTACGTCCCATTCTCCTATTTGTCATATACCGCTAATAAATTCCAGTGTCGCCTGGGTTTCGGTGGCAACCTATTTCGCGAAGAACGCAACCTTGCAATGGCGCCTGCCTCTTGCACTTTCCTGCGTCGGGCCCCTAGGTCTCCTTGTTGGGATATATTTCGTGCCCGGTGAGTATTGGCCCTTCTATACTACTTCTGCGCCCCATACCATGCGCTCACGCATTAGCATAAGAATCTCCTCGGTACCTGTGCTGGATTGGGCGTCATGAAGCGGCTCTCGAAGCCATCCAGCGTCTGCATCGCGATGTTGATGATCCGGAAAATTCTGCTGCTAAAGCGGAGTTCATGCAGATTCGTGCACAGGTGGAGAAGGATAAGGAGGAGAAATCAGGATATGTCCGCATGTTCACGAAGCCGAGTTGGCGAAAACGCTCGTTTCTCGTGCTCTTCATCATGTAAGTTGCTCGGTCCGGCCCATCGGATTTTCGAGTCAATGGCATTACCCAACAGACACTAACCTGATGTTAGGTTTGCGTCTCAAGCAACTGGGGTAAATTGCCCAGTTTCATTCGCACAATGCTGCTGTTGAACTGACGTCGTTGACGCACAGGTCAATGGTATTGCAAACTATCTAGTCCTCATATTTGGGACGTTGGGGCTCAAAGGTGTCATGCCACTGCTTGTTTATGGTGAGTTGTGTTCAGATTCAGGACGGAGATGAAGGTGATATGGTCGACAAAGCACTGACAATTTCTGATATATAGCTATTTACTCCGTCATTGGAACCATAGCTGCGTTCGTGGCCTGTTTCACGATGGACAAGTTCGGACGGAGGCGCCTATTCTGTGAGTACTCGTCACCCGATTGCCCATACTCCTGCATTCTGGGGACCGTGGCCGCTACCATTGGGCACACTAACTCGTCTTCCAATTCAGTGATCGGTTTCCCTGCCCTGGCCGCCAATCTCCTCATCGAAGCTCTGCTCCAGCGACAATATCTCGGAAAGACAAACCAGGCCGGAAATACCGCTGCGGTTGCCTGCATTTACCTCTTCATTATCCTGTTCCAATTCATCGACGCCCCATCTTTCGTCTGGTGCTCCGAGATATTCCCCACCACGATTCGAGCAAAGGGCATCGGGTTGAGCATGTTCGCGTATTTCGTCGGGTTCATCACCTTTTCCACGCCGGGTCCGGTGGCTTTTCGAAACATGTAAGTAGACGAGAAGGAGGGACGTCCATCATCATTCGACTTAGCATCTTACTGACCTAGTGTATCTTGGTGTGTGCAGAACCTGGCGAATGTACCTGATCTACATGGCCCTCTGCCTCGTCTGCGAAATCGTCGTGTACTTCTTCATTCCAGAAACGCGCGGCAGGCCCGTCGAGGAAATGGGTGCGTTGTTCGGTGAGGAGGTCGTGTTGCACATGACCTTGGACGGCCGTGGGCTTGTGGAAAAGACCGAGGGTGTGGCGTTTGAACAGATTGAAGTTGCCGAGACGAAGGGGGAATGAGGCCCGCTGGCACTCACTGCTCAAGTATCTGCGGACAACGGGGTTACTCTCGGGCGCGTAGCACGTTGATCAGCTCGAATTCGGGACCGGGGTCCTGCGCGCTGGTGAAGACATGGTTTTCGAGGCCAAAATTTATACTCTAGAGATTACAAGGGAGGGTGGTCCGGACGCTCCTCCTATGGACACGACGTCGGCAAGTGTAACCTCTGCAACGGCAGCGTCAACTACGTAGGTCGGTTGGTCTAGTCAGTTGACCAGCCACACTACGAGCCCAACAAGAGAGGCATCGAGCGCTACCTTTAGTGCTACCCCATCGATGAATAATATCTACTAGTGGCACGTCCAACTTCGCTATCTTAACGCCATTTACTGTCTTCCTAAACATTTCTTGGGTTTTGCTACACCGTGGATGGTGACCTTGAATCCAGGGCGTCTGAGCAACAAATCTTGGAAAACGCTATAGAGTATAAGGAGATCCTTCCGCAAATATACATGTCCGATGGGAACAGGTCATCGTACTGTAACAGAGCACTTCAGGGTTCGGCGTGCACGTGCAACAACGCACAGAGGCCTGTCCAGCAGGTCGGGAATCGAGAACGCGTTTCTGGTTGGTACTGACAAGACAATACCACCACCAAAACCACCCAAAGGGGCAGCGGCTAGAGCTACGAACACCTAGCACAGCGGGAGCATCGAGGAACGGGACAGAACTAATAAAACACTCAGGAACTAGGTATACGGCACTAAAAAGCCATGGAATTCATGATGCTCTGCTCAAGCTATAAAGAATGGCACTCTGCCAGTACTGTAAACTGTTCCGCACTCCCCCCTGCCAGTCCATTTTGGTTTGATATGTGACTAGACAACTCTCCCCCTCTGCTACCACTTTGCCAACCCAGCACAGCACAGTCACTTTGCCTTGTTACCGTACAGAGTTGCAAAAACTCCCGCACCATCGAAGATCGGGCATTGTATGTGGTTGTGTCGTCGTGCAGCAACTTGGTCGGCTGGTCTAGCATTAACAACCAATCCCAGGCCCTGATGTACCATGAGACGGAGTAGTACTAGTACTTCAGGGCTGGAAAGAACGCAGCAGACCCTCGCGGCGCGCAGTGCTTTCCTTTGGCGAAGTTGTCAGCCATAACGATGGCAATTCGTGCGACCTCTTTTCAACAAAAACCAACTTGCTGTCCAACAGGCTTTGCGGTCACCGCGGTGGCAGTAGGATATCGTTTTTGGAGGTCTCTTCCTCACATGGAAATTGTTTTCTGGTGGTGAATCTGAACTGCCGTGGCCGTCGAGTGTCTGCAAGCATCCATTTTGAATCCTCTCCATAAGAGTCTTCCCGCAGCGGTACGAGTGGGACAAAAGGTTACCCTTCGTCTGCTCGATACGTCTTGCCGCGTCGGAGCTGGGCTGGAGCAGGGTGTTCGGTAATAGAAAAGCTATGGTAGATATAACCCTCAGAATCTTGAAACATATGCTGAAAAGTCTGCCCGGGTTGAACGTCAGGTGCTGACGGGGACGCGCCGGGTAAGCGATCGTCCACGCAATGTGGTTACGCTTGGTAGGTATAGCCTTTCATTGGATACGAATGACGTCCGGGCACTCGGTCGTAGTGGTAGTTGTCTCCGGGGCCGTATTCAACGTGTGAATTTCTGGAGTGGTCGTCTCCGGCACGGGAGCTGTTGCAGCACCCAATAATCTTTGTGCTTTTGGCAGCTTGGGTCCACGTAGTGTTGTCCCTCTTCTTCTTACAACCAATAATGCCAATGACGATGGTGACTACCAGGGAGAAGAAACCAATTATGGTGCCCACCACTGTTCCTATCTTCGCCGTGGTGGAGAGGCCATCGCTCTCACTAGGAGGGGGCTGCGGCGGCTGGGTCGTGGTTGGAGCTTGTTCAACTGAGGAAGCCGGGTTCGATGTGGCCACGCCTAACGCCTTCACAGCGGTCATGCTGGTGACGCCGGCTGGCATGCAAGCCGCTCCGATGGTGGCCCCGGAGTCCCAGTAGTAGTATCCAGGATTAGGCAGGACATCTCCACTATGAGTAAATAATATATTAGAAGGTTTACAACTCCTGTCGAATGTGGAACCACTTACCAACACATATACCCTGCCAAGGGTGTGATAGCACAATCATAATCTGGCCAATACCCATACGCAATTGCCGTGCTTATAGGGAGGGCTCCAGGGTAAGAGCAGTAGGCAAGGGCGGGGGACGTGTCCGAGTCTGTGACACAAGGCACGTTGTCTGGACAGTACAGACTATACGCTGTGACGGCGGTCAGGACAGCTCACATTGACGGGCAGAAAGAAGGATGAATGTGACTCACTGACACCTGCTGTAGAAGCATATCCACAAATCGTGTCAATTTGACGAGCTCTCAGCTCAGCCGGCCGAGTGATTGTTGTTTTCAAGGAGGCTGTAAGCGAAGCTGTCGAAATTCGAGAGGGCGTGATAGCGGTTGCCATTGTGGGCATATTCATACAAATAAGATTGAAAACTGAACAGAATTTCCGCCAACTTCAGCTGAAGGGCGGCAGCACCGGGCGCAGAGAAGGGATTTTAACTCTTCGAGCATCCATGGCGCGCCATATGTCTCTTCCGACAGGGCTGACCTGCAGGCAGACTGGACTTCGTAAAGTCACGCCTCGTCCACGGCTGGCCCCCAATGGAGACATGTGCCAAGTTCGCTCGGCCTGAAGGTGATCCTCCGGTGCGAGAACAATTTTCAACAAGAAGGTGGCCGTACATCGTCACGGAGACATTGCTGGAAGGTTAAAGACGTACCTGCAACATATTGTTGGAGATATCATTGACTCTGGAAGAATCTGAATCATCAACCATTCAAAATAGGAGCTTCGGCAGGGTGTGAACGTCAGCTCTCGGTATAGTCGGTAAGGCTCAGCCTGATCCAAAAGAAAACTTCCAAGAAGACGTCGGCATGCTGGCATGGCGACCGATAAACTTCCGTTTTTGGGACCAAGCAGAATATTAGAGCTTGGCACGTATCCAGAGGCGCTCAATACCCGCCATGTCTTGGATAAATTCGACTTCTGGACATCAGAAGAGAGAGAACCTTTGAGAATCGTCAGGAGGGAGAAGCACCGCGAGCCCAAATAAGCCCAAACATAACCACAGGAGGTCGTGTGTATCGCGATCGGATGATGGATCTACCATACGGGGGTTGTCCAGGGTGGGCTGGTTCAAATTTAGTGATATCAGTATTAAAAAACTCGAGAGAAATTGTTGTTGGGTAGTACAATCGCAGGTGCAGAGTTCTAGGAGTGTTGTGATTCCGATGTTGAGCCCACCGAGAGCCCTTTCACACTATTGATGTGTAAGGTCATCCCCTAGCATAATGGAGTACTACAATGGGCCAAAAGCTTGCCGGACACAACCATATTTGGAGCGGGCGGGGAATGGGTCAAAGCAGGATCAAGCGTGGGGAAGACATTCGAGGTTTCGCAGGTACAGCACTTTCGGGCAAATAAAGATGAAAGTTGATGTTTTCAATCCGATGTTTCTGCCGGTCCCGTGCTACGTCGCCCTACGTGGAGCTATCCCATTATGCTAACTTATCAAGCCGAGGCTTCCTTATGGCTGAGCACCACCATATAGAGTCTTTAGCAATTCCAAGATTGGGGGCAGTTACACCTAGTCGTAGATGTTAGCGGGGGGTCGTCTCTTCACCGGGAGAGGATAGCTTTTTCCGGGCGCATTTCTTTCTCATAGAACTGAGACACCATCTAGGTACGGTACCAGAATCCAACGGGGGATGTTATAAAGGGTAGAATGTGGAGGAGCAAGTGTAACCACTACAGGACAGTGTCGAAAGGTACTATGTTGAATCTTCTTCGTCTTCGAGACATGCTTAGCTTGGCCACGAACCTCGTTAACCTCTCTGTGTTCCTCTGTGGTCACCATTGGCTTGTGGAAGTAGTGACACAAAACAGAGAAAAGCCTGAGCAAAGCAAGATTGAAGCAAGGACAAAGGAGAGCATGTTGCTCCAAAGAAGTTTCCGAGACCAGTCTTGCAAAAGATACACTGGCCATCTCTGGGCTCGCCTTGAAATGCTCTATAAGAGTTTGCTAACCTCGAATTCAGGATTTGCGATAGAAGTACTACCCTGGAGATCGTGCGTAGCTCCGTGTTCAAGCAGTACGCTAATTATGTAGGTAGAGGATAAGAGCACACCACCAAGGTATCAACACTAAATGGAAACCGTCCACCACACAGCCTAATCTCCAAGATCCCGTTGTCCCTGGGACCGCAAGCACATCTACTGAAGGAACTGCAAAGAGAGTGAAAAGCCAGCCCCGGTGAAAAGATCGCTGCTTACTTTGGTATCGATCTTTCCTCATGTTTCATCTATCGAACAATCTGGAAGATGGGTTAATTTGCTGCTTCAACAAGTGGAATTTTGCCTAGGAAATGCCTGACGTAACCCGACAGAATGAAAGGCCCTGTTCCTTGCGCAAGTGCTCCTATCAAAGCGCTTTTTTTGTGGGGGACTTGCTTGATATAAATGCCTAGGCATGGCTGAATGCGTCGCCACTCGGCGTAGTCGACCCCAAAAACAAGTGATCGCGTATTACTGTGTCAGCGACTTGAGCTCAACTTCAAGAAAGACTTTCTCCAGTAATTATATCAACCTTGTAGAAGCTTCACACCTTTGTTATCTCTATCATACGATTCCTTTTTGCTATACTATTTCAGCGTTCTGAAGCGAGAGGTATATATACCTGGAGTGTGGAACTTAAATTCCATGGACTTATCCACGAGTCCAACTGCTCTTTCGAGGTATTGTGGATTCAGCTACCAGTAGTAATTCCCGCCATTATACAATATCTGGTACCTCAAAAGCCAAGCGGGTGTAGGCAAAATCAACGATCTTTTGAAAACCGTTCAGTCGCCCGAGGAGAAGGTGACCATATTGGCCAACTTCTTCAAACGACTCGGGCGACATCTTGGCTCCCTCGTGGTAAACACGAACACGGCTCATTCTCATGACCAAAATATCGTAGTGCTTGGACCAGAGTCTCGTGTGTACGTGAGTACACCTGATACCGAGTCCCTTGAAGGAGCCAGCGAGGGATGGTGAGGGTTGAATACTAGTATACGAGACTGAAAGGCTCTTAGCCTTGTTCCAATGCAAGCCATAAACTTATAAGTTGTCGCGAAGGGATCATGTTCATTGCCTCCGACCTTGTGGTGCAGAAGAACGGGGCCTTTGGCCTGGGCTTCCGCATCCCCTGTGGCAGAGTAGTAACATTGTGGCGTTTCGCTGCCTGATTGTGCAGACATCTGTGGCCTGGAATGCCAAGTTGAGCACGAAACTACTAGTAGCAGCCTCTTGTAAAGGCCAAGGAGACACGGAGCCAGGATTAATTTTGATGACTTCTAAACCTTTGGCAACCAAGACCGACTTCGGCATTGGCTTTACGTAGCTGCTTCCAATGGCGTCGCGAAAGCCTGGGCCTCAGGCAGCACCGCAAGCTTAGATGGCCAACTCACTGGTTGCTTGGCCACGCGCCAAACCAATGGGACGGTTATTTTGCTCCAGTCAAGTGATCACGTACGTCGATGGCTGCTGCTGTCACAACGAGAAACCAATGATTGCCCTTCCTTCTTCTTCACGCTGGGCAAGGCAACCAAACTTTCTTTGCCCCTCCCAGGGCCTGCCCCTTGGCCATCTACCCCAGTGTGTAGATGCTCTGCCTTGCGCCGTGTCTGCCTCGCGGAAGTTGTTGGCTTGAGCTACGGCGATGTTTCCTGGAAGAGTTGGTTGGACGACCCCTCTCATGAGCTGGCCAGCTGAAATGAGTATCCCCTCTCGCCCGCTTCTGTGCTTACACGTGTCCAGGGGAATGCTGTTTTCTTCTTGATGTGTCACTCCAGCCAGAGCATATCTCTCAGGATCACGAAATTCAGAACCACTCAAGTTAAGATTATCTATTCGACAACATGGCTTCTATCATCCCTATACTTTGCCTCCTCATTAGTCTCCTTGGGGTGTTCGCCAACATCCCCACGGACAGAGGTTATACGGCCTCTGGCCAACCAGGCCAACAGGCTATCCACGCACAGGGGTCCTGCGATGATGGCAGAGATTTTGGTGGCAACCGCGAATCGATTCGGCAAGAGCTCGTCACGAATGCTATGATAGTGGTAACACGCCTCACGCAAAGCTACAGCGCCTGGAAGGATCCTTGTGAAGGGTGCTGTCCCCACCCGGTGCCTGGTTGTCCAAAAGCCTGCTGTGCAATGTACAATCACTCCTCCTGCGCCGCCAAGGAGCTTGGGAAACTCATTGGGATTTTGGACGAGCTTGATCGCGAAAGAAATCGATGTTGCGCCTGAATCTGTGATTGTCTGGGCGTGCACAGATATTAAAGGGAAGGATGCTCGAAATATGCTATCATGATCTATGCCGCATGGTCCGGGGCGTGAGGGTGAGATCAAGAACGCTAGAGGAAAGTCTGCTGTAAACGAGATGGTGGGACTGGGTGTGCTGAGGTCGCAAGAAGTATCCAGTACTTCAAATTAACGTCAAGGATCATGTACTATACCTTGGTTTCGCTCGGTGGGAATTTTGCCACGGCAGGTGGAGTACTGGGGATGGACCAGGAATTAGGTGCTTAAGGGAACGGAATGAATTTCCTAGTGGCAGAGGAGGTTAATGATGTGCCGCGCAAATTATTAGGCTCTAGCGGACATGTGGAATGGGCGGCCACAAACTTTGGAGGATGAGAAGGAATCGATATTTGCTAGCTAGCATGCCAGGGAAAGTGATCTCCTTGTGGTATTATTGTATCGTGGCGAGACGAAGGTGGAGTTCTCATACGTGCTAATCACCCATTGTCAAGGCATCTAATAGTGTCTACAGAGTGGAGAGTGCGTAAATTGTATTTAACTAGTTCCTAGGTGTGTATGTGTTCAATAGATAGGAGGCAACGCTGTGTTCTTTCCTGTTATAGGGTGTTGTAAAGGGTTGGCAAACAATTCAGCAACTAGCTATACTTACCTGTTAATAAGGGGGACAAATCCAAAGGGCGATGAGCCAGAGCATCGCACACAGGTCTATATACTTCCGGGAAGGCGGATCCCCTCACCTTTCCTGTGTGGAAGGGCAAGTAAGGCAGTCTAATACTAGTAGTTCATGATTCTTAGTGCGCCATCGTACGGCTTTCAAATGTCCATTCCTCGAATTGGATATCTGCAATCAGACTCGAGACGTAAGACCAGACCATACTATTATATACATATTCGTGCGCGTTACGTGTTATGATCATCGTAACAGCCGCTGTGGCGAGAGTATTGGCCGTTAGCTAGTTCTATAGAACCGAGTCTCCTTCGGGTTCAACCCATCATAGGAGCTATCCAGACAGGTTTTACATGAACAATTAAGTGCATCTATTCCTACATCTATTACCACTCTTCAGCGTCATTATCTTAGTTGCAACAGCCCTATCCTTTCCAACAGCAATTCATCGACTTTTTCACGGGGCCACTTATATTTTTGGTACATATTTGATCGACAGTTAGGCCAATCGTTTATAGAGGGAGGCTAATGGTTTACAATGAGAACTCTTTCATCTAGTCTTCACCAGCCCCGCTGACGTGAATCGCGGATCTGGCTTTCACAGCCCACTTTTTAAACCGCAAATCGTCTCCAAAACCCACTCGTACAGAGTCGTCCTCCATGATCCCTCTTGTAGAAGTCCCAGCGGCTGACTCTTCGTGCTGTGCTAGGAAGCCCTGTTCTGCAAGCCCAGATAGACTGATCCTTGAAACCGCGCTTTGTATATGACCGGCTCGCGGAGTTTCGGTGGCGAGGATCGCGAGCGTGACTCCAGCGACAGGGTACATCAGACAGCAAAGAAGCAGCCAAACCAAGGACGGAATCCAGATTTTGACCACTAACCGCGGTGTACGATCCTGTTGTAGAGTATTTGATCGAGGAGATGTAACACCCCCAATTATGCTCATAACTTCCGCCGAGAACAGATTTGCCCAGGTGCGGCAAAACTCGGTTGTGTTTAGTTGCATTGCAGCTTGAGACAGAATATCGAGCAATGTTGGATTGGTGCCAGAAACGGAAGCGGGAGTGCGGTAGCCGTGGTAGAGTTCAGAAATGGTGCCATTGTCACATTTTTGGAGGCGAACATTTTGCACGGTGCCGTTGAACCAGGTATATTCAACATCAAGTGCCTGGTACCGACAACTAATGACAATGTTCAGAAGCAATTCAGTGCCCTTGGAAAAGTTGGAATCGTCGCCCAACTCGCTGTCAGCTCGTAGAGCACTTGTGGGAACTCTTCCTGCAACCGCTACCCATACCTCGTTGACAAGTTTGTCATCCGGCAGTAGAGGGATAGAAGTGTTCGATTTGCCGGTGTTGAAATCGTACGCACGCGTATTGTAAGGAATGCCCAGAGCTTCGTCCTCAAAGAACGCAATCCTATGCAAGAGTCAGAAAAGAAAGAGGCTTAGACTGATGGGATGGCTTACTGTAGGTTCGGACTGAGTTTGGAGGCTAAAGGCGGAATGTCTGGATCGTCTGTCGTCGTCGAATCGTTGGCAATGACGGCTGTCTTGCCTAGGACTCCATAGAAATAAGGACTGCAGTAGAATCCACTATAGGCATCATTCGTTCCCCAAACACCAAATTGACATTTGTCCGTGATTGGTTTGCAGGAAGTCGAGATTCCAATAGTTGAGGCGCGGTAATCGACAAACGGGGATAATGTAGTCGACTTTGGAATCAGCATTGCGGTGTCTCCCAACGCCGAACCTCGCGCGGGAGCCAGCCGAATCTCGGAAGTTTCAGATGTATTGTGCCGTAGATAGAACATCTCGTTCTGCTCCTGTAAATATGCGTTGGGATCTGATGCGGATAAGCCGATGTTACGCGAGCATGGATAGCCAGCGTTATCAGTGCGGTTAATTTGCAAACATCTCTCAGAAAGCCCGCGACCTGACTCCCCCAGCTGTTTTGACACCGAGACATCATCTAAATTGATAGTGCTTGTTGTATAATGCAGGACGGTATCTGCAACCAACACAGAGCAAGAGAGAAACAGTACCAAGTAAAATACACGCCCGGCTCGAGTCAGAACTGGTGAAATAGGTGCGTGTTTTGGGATCTTCCGTTGTCGGAAATGGCGGTATGTGAAGTAGTCCCACAACGCATCCAACGATGAAATGCAAAGTCCAACCAGCAAGCTGAGCTGATAGGGATTTGGCAGTTTTGTTGCTTCCACCTCTAAAGACATCAACAACAAAGACCGTGTGGCTCTCCAGGTCCAGAGCGTCATCAAAGGTCCAGCAAGCAAGCCGGCCACTTGTGAGGCTCGAGAGGAAATAAAAACCACCCATGCTAATAGATCCATATTAATTAGTGTGCATCTATGGCGATTTCGAGGGGCCTCTCACTTGCGGGGATGCTCAGCAGTACGTGTGTCGGTCGTCGCATATCTCTTGCCCCTTGCACTTCTGAAAACAGGCTGCGTTCGGACTGCACTCTATATTTGATCACAAGGACCACAAATATAATTGGGATAACGAGCATCGGCAACAAAATCAAGATCAAGGATAACCAAATTTCTTTGAGCACTTTTCGTTTGTAACTGGTCCGGCCTGAAATATGATGAGGTTGCGAAGGTGAAATAGTACTAGTAGTCGTAGGTCTCGGAAATCCATCTGCGCCTTCCTCTTCGCCGGAAACCTCAGACCTATGATCTGCATCACACACTGGGGAACACTGGTGTGGTGTATAGGGATATTTGTGACGAGTACTTCCTCGATCAACTTCCTGAGTATCCGTCACACTGGTAGAAGCCGTTTCCGCACTTGGGCTTGTGAATCGACATCGTATCATCGGATATTCTTGATCTTCGTCAGGCTCGTTTCGAAGGTTTTCTGCTGATTGGATCAGTTTTAATGGTCTTTCATTGCCAGTGAAACGGTTGAAGATCGGCAAGGAAAATCTTTTCCAAGCAATGCGGCTGGAAGGCTCCATATCCATAATCTTTTCCTCCAAGAAACCAGAGAAAAGTGCACTTGATCCACGACAACGCTAAATTCTTCAAGTTTTGCTGTGGGGGGGGAACATGCATGATGGGCACGCAATATGACCTACATTAAATACTAGTATTTAGGTACAGGTTTCTTTCCCGCCTAGTATTCAGGCAACCGTTGTCGGCGCACAATTGAAGAATGCCAAAACTCTAGTAGCGCCTTTGAAAGAGGCAACCATCTAATTAGCAGTTCGGCACTTCGCGGTTGGCTCTGCATGCAACGTCTAGGGTGACGAGTATTTGCCACTTTGATAGAGGGCGCGAACCAAGCTCTTCAAGTTTTTAGGGGCCCAGGAAGGAGCCATGCGTGTCTCAGGCTGAGTCCTCTCCCAGTGGTCCCCCTTATAGCCTTTACTATGTAGCTTGATGCCGAAAGCCAATCCCACCGCACACCCATCCCCCTCTATAAGCCCCTTAGAGACACACTTCCTCGTTCATTGCACGGCAAACACTGCTGGGCACTGAATACCTACTACAAGACTGCGGACCAACGACGGTCGGCGCAGATGTTTAAAGGAGGATGGGACTGCAGTGCGGGTGGGGTGGCTTTTTTACACCACTAAAATACCGCAGGCTGATTTGGATGCCTTGCGAGATGTATGCAAGTAGGCGTTCGACGTAAGGCGGACTGGGGAAGGGAGGGGGTGGCATCTTGGCATTTAGGTTACTGGGTTTGTTCCTCACGAATCTAGAGCATTTTCCGCTGTAGATTGTACTCATGGGTCTAGCACTAGTGATCCATCGCATATACCTTTTCCCCATCCGCCACCTAGGGCACTCGAGAGACAGGCTGGTGAAGTTTGATTAGTATAACTTGGGTGGGAGTAAGCGGTGACTAAAAATGGCTCGTGTCGAGTGAGCGCCTCCAGTCACTTCATTTTACGGAGGAGTGCACCAAAATTGACCCGTTAACGCTGCCGAGCCAAAGTTCTTCGGCGGAAATGCCAAGAAATCCCCGCGTGATGACCTATAATACCTAGGCTAATCTGTGAAGTGTCTCTGAACCCCCCTTGATTTATTTCCTTTCCGGAAGATTCGAATCTTTTCAAAGTTACGCAGGCCTACTGACAGAACAGCTGAGTGATCCGGTTTCGTACGTAGAAGGACTTAATACTACTAGTATTAGGATCTATGAGTCTGAGTGTACAACAAACCTTCACTAGTATTCCTAAATACTAAGCCCTACTCATCAGGTGCCTCCACCCGCTGTCCTCCGTCGAGCACAGCATTGTTAAACCGGCTCCAGCCTAGTTCCACTCCGGTTCTGGTCTGGGCTGGACTCGATTTAAGGGGTAGATAGGTGGGCTAGACTAATTTAACCCGATTCGAGATCGGTTTATAAATTTGAGAGATCAAAATTAAAATTCCGAGAAAAAGTGCTACCGACTGAGATCGAGAACTCTCTCTTTTATTATTTCGCGAGTAAAGTAAGTCGAATCGATTCGAATCGATCTGGAATCGGGTCCAGACCGGGCTATAATCGTGTCTGGTGCTTAAATCGCTGATCCGGCTGACTCGATTCGAACCAGTTCGAACCGATCTAACACCTATTGGGGAGGGCGACATGGTACCTAATAGTTATCCACAGTATAGTCAAGGTAGGATTTTTTGTCTCGGTATAACACCGTTATATATTTTTAAATACCTTGGTAATTTATAACAACCTCTACGACCAGCGTCCAGCCATCACGTTGATACTTATAAGAAATCGCGTTGTGAACTACGAATAGTACAAGGTTATTCTTGCCCGATTCCAGCCAGGCTCCAGACCAGATTAAATTGAATTAAGACCGATTCGAACAAGTTTAGAATCTAGCTGAGATGGAACTGGAATTAGTTGAAGACTATAGCTACTCGAGAGGCAAGATAATATATATAGACCTAATATATACTGTATTACTCCACTAGCTACTACTCTATATACTTATGTAGTATATAGGTAAGCTGCTTTTCGTAGAAAAATTGCAACTTGAGATTGATTGGAATTCTGGCTTCTTTCAGCATGTGTTAACGCATCACGAAATTCGCCGGATTCGGAAAGAGCTTTCTGTCCAATCGTAGCTTCCCTTATACTCTACTAATTTAAAATACACTTACTATCATACACGTGTCCTGTACATTATTTGCTCTTCACTTCTGTGATCAATTACAGATCGATTCCATATCTGATGTGGCTCTGATCCTGAATCATGGCCTCAATCTTGTGGCTTCGGTGCGTGATAAGTACACAATCGTAGTTCATCGGACTTAATATCAGCGTATCATTCCATAGTTAGGATTAATCCTGGTCCACATTTTGCTCCCCTCCCCTAGCGGCAGAATCATTATATCTGAATCAGTTAAAAAGGACATCATGTCTCCTCCATCGTTCTCCCCGCAGAGGGGAAACAAAAATAATATTACTAGCAAAAACAATCAACAGTCAGGATTCCCAAGTGGTCACCCACCTTAGTACTAACTGACCGGCATGTGGCTTAAGTACGGCTGAGCGAACGGGAAGCCCTGTTTTCCACATCCTATGGTCGATTGCGAAGGCTTTTCTAGGATTATAACCCTATATACTACGTGGTCGGTTTTGTAGCTTGAATTGTCCTTACGCGTACAGTGGATTTTCCTCTCCCTCATTATGAGAATGGCTATCGATAATAGAGAAACTTCTGCGATATCGAAGAAGGCTCTTCCATGGTAGAGAAGATGCTTCTCTAGTGGAGAAGGTTCTGTTTGTATTTAGTGGGTGCGGCGCCGCGAGGCTGTGGAAAGGTTTCAGCAACTCGGATTTTCAGTTTCACTCTGTCCACCTTCCTCACCTCAAGTCACCAACAGTTGACCTATTATGCTGTGTAATAAGCGTGACAACATGGTCCTATTTTGTCCAGGTGACAGAAGTCATATATACATGTATTTTCTGAGCGGAATCCCTCGCATGTCCTTATAAGAACGAGCTGTGTGGCCTAAAGGCGAGGTGCTAGTATTCGACGATCTCCCACGTACTCGGTACAGGAAGTCTGTCGTCCCCCGAAGACGTACCTACTACGGCCCACTGAACGATCTTACCCACTATCTTACTTTGAGTATCTTGAATGCAAATTACCCCAAGCCAGGAAGGGATCATAATGGCTTCTACTTGGTTAGTACTAGTAGTACTACATAGATAGATAGTATAAGTATGTGGAATGGACTGAACCCTACCGAGTAATTACTACTATGTACTAGCACGGAGTGACTCCGCCATCCACAGCCTCGGCATTGCGACCGCAATATGGCTGTCCAAAAAGCCAGCATCGAAATCTCTTCCATTGCATCACTCGTGATACTACGTAGTATCGACGATAAGATCTTGCAGGAGGTTTCCAAAGCAATGGCACCTTCGGTCGAACAATTCTCAAGCACATCGTGGAGGCCGAGATTATTCGGTATGTACCTCGTACCAACGCCCTTCATCAATCTGCGAGTCTACTAAGCTAATCTTGGCTCGCTCCCTCGACACAAATATGCGCAGACAACAAGGTGTTATTCTGTACCGGCGGGTCCGGGAGCATCTGCTCGGGCCAAGTGCGAGCTCTTGTCGCGCTGGGCGCCAACGCCTGCATCGTCGGGCGTAATCACGACAAGGCCAAAAACGTTGCCGCTGACATTGCACTCGTGCGGCCTGGTAGCATCGTGCTGGGTCTCGGAGGGGTGGATGTGAGGAATCATGAAAGTGTCAAGGAGGCGGTTGAGACTTGCGTGCAACGCTTGGGGGGCATTGATTTTGTCATGTGGGTTGTTGCAATTGCCTCTTTACCCTTCAACATCATCTCTGTGTGATTCTGGATCCATCCTCGCTAGCGGCACTGACTAAGAATAATACACCCTGGCACAGAGCTGGAGCAGCAGGTAACTTTGTCTCGACCATCGACGACCTATCAGCGAACGCGTTCAAGGCAGTGGTCGACATTGACCTCGTGGGCTCTTTCATAACGGCAAAGTTGACTCTGCCGCGCCTCGTCGCTTCCGCAGAACGGGCAAGGACAAACAAGGATTTGGGTAAGTGTTGACTAACACTGATGAAGAATGGCGCAGAGACATGTTCTGAATATTCTTCCATTCGTCTAGACTCGTCGAGCCTGACTGGCGGCCGCATCATTTTCGTGAGCTCAACAAACTACCAGTGTGCTCGAATCGCACAGGCCCACGTCTGCGCGGCCAAGGCCGGCGTCAATGCCCTCTCGGACTGCATCTCTCTCGAGTACGGGCCGAGAGGAGTCACGTCCAATGTGATAGCGCCGGGCCTGATTGACGACACCGAGGGCGCCAGGCGCTTGACGGACCCGACTCTCCGAAACGACCTTATCAGGAGCGTCCCCGTGCAGCGGCTGGGGTTGATCAAGGACATTTCAGACGCCACTATCTTCCTGTTTGCCGATACTGGAAGTTTTGTCAATGGCGCGACCATCGACGTCGACGGTGGCGCCTGGCGCATCAGGGCTGCGGGCGCAGGCCCCAACTACCCAAGCTTGCCCTCTCGAGCGCACCAAGTGAAACTTGGCCGGGGCTCGAGGTTGTAGATGCTACCCATCATGTCCGTACTGGCCTGCACCATGGGCTGGCTGGCTGCTTTGCAACGATCTGACTCTGAAGACTACATAATAGCACTTAAGAACCATGTTCTAGCTATAACAGTAGTTGAAAAGCCATGAAAGTCGGGCCGATGCGAGATAAAATGCACCTCCAAATCAATAAGAGTAGGATATTTTAGTTCGCCTTGAGAACCCCCCGCCGATATGTGCTATCTGCATAGCAGCATTGCTAGCAACGTGGGATTGGAAAGAAGCCCTCCGTCCGTACGTACCAGGAAAAAGGGGCAGCTCACAGGGTGTTTATTATTCATTCCAGGATAGAGTTTTGCTCGGTTTTGCTAGAGATACAAGAAAATCTGTCGCCTACAGTCTAACACTTTCGAGCTTGCTCATGGTCTCTCCCAGCGCGTAGTCACAGTCGGCTTTCTTGCTCCGGACCTTCCTCGCCTGCGCTGGCGTGACCCATTTAGCCTCCACCGCAGGGTTATAGCCCAGGCCGCTGAGACGGGCGATTTCCTCGTCGGACACGGCGCGGTCGGTGTTGGCTTTGCCGTCGGCCCGAGTGTACACGGTGACGACGCAGGCTCCTCCGAGGCCCAGGTTGTGTTGCAGGGCGTACTTGGTGTTGTTGACCAGGCGGCCGTTGTTGGCCCATCCGCGAAGTTGCCAGGTCAGTTCGGTGCACTGAGCCAGTCCCGTGGCTCCCAGTGGATGTCCCTTTGAGATCAGGCCTCCAGAAGGATTGATGATCGGGCCCTTCCCCCCGTAGGTGATGTCGCCGTTTCGAACCATCAAGTGAGCTTTACCCTCGTCGCAAAAGCCCAGTCCTTCCAGCGTAATTAGCTCGTTAGTGGAGAAGCAGTCGTGCAACTCGCACACTTTGACGTCCTTGGGCCCAATACCGGCGTCCGCATATGCCGCTTTGGCTGCGCGTCCCGTGGTAGTAAACCCTATTAGCTCCATCGCGCTACCAGAGTACAGATTTGGAGTGTCGGTTTTGAGGCTTTGTCCAGCGATGAGGATTGCGTGTGATTTGAGCTCTGGTCGAAGGTCGAGAAATCTCTGTGACACGACCACGGCCGCCGCGGCTCCATCTGAAGTGGGTGAGCATTGAAGCTTGGTGATAGGGTAATGGATCATTGGCGAGTCCATAATTTGCTTAAGCGTATAGACATCTCGGAACTGTGCATACGGATTCCGCGAGGAGTGTTCATGCGAGATACGGGCGATCTCTCCAAAGTCTTCAGCAGAAGCGCCATATCTAAGAAAGGGTAAAACAGTCAGAACATGTAAACAAAGTCTGGAGATAGCGATCAATCACTTACTTCTCCATGTACTCTCTGCCGGCATTTCCGAACATCTGTGGGTTCTTCGGTGACTCGGCTTCACCTCTGGTCTTGTTCATTAATTTCACGCTGAGGTCTTGAGGATTAGGACCATCCGAAGAACCGCCGCCGAGAGCACCAGGCTTCATCTGCTCGAATCCAATGACCAGGACACAGTCGTAGATGCCGCCTTTCACAAAGTTCCGCGCCATGTGAAGCCCTGTCGAGCCTGTGGCACAGGCGTTGTTTGTGTTGTAGATGGGAATGTCCGACATGCCGAATTGGTAGAAAGCTCGCTGCCCACTGCAGCTAGGCAATGTGCAGAAGCAGCCGACGCCTGCCTCGACATCGTCGTAAGTCACATTGGCGTCCAGCATGGCCTTGACTCCGGCTTCGAAGGCAAGCTCGGTGTATGCGCGGAGTCGCCGGGGTTTGAGGAAGGCACTCATGCCAACCCCCAGAACGTAAGCATTTCCGGCCATGGTGTACAAATGTGACAGGCGAAGTAGGACTGGGCTTCAGGACGAAAGTTGGTCGACAAAGATGACAGGTTGTAGTGTAGGGGAGCATCCTACGTTATAAAACATACCGACCTCCCCAAATCCACCCAAGTACGAGGACCGAGGTATGCTCACTCGCTTACTCTCAAACCCCGCACTCCAGCTATCCTGAATCTGCTACAGCTTATTGGAGGGTGAGAACTAGGTACATTTTGCAGTGATGTGTGCCTCGAAACTCGGCGAACATGCCTCGGCCCGAGAACCCGCTGCCTGTACAAGTAGGACCAAACACCCAGGCTTGCGAAGGATAGATGAATAAATCAAACACATTCTCTATCCCTGTGTTGACGGCGGATAGTGGTGAATAATGCCATAAGTTCAGAAGACAACGTATGGGTTTTAGCAGTCCTGAAGGCTTTGCGCAGGTATTGCCGATGTCAACGCTAGGACCTATCGTAGAGGTGAACGATGTCGTGCTGGTAGATTACTAACCAAAGCCTGTAAGGCTAGAAGGGTCTGTAACGGGTTCCCAGATCACCACGAGGTGTATGGCTCTTGCAATAAATACCCGTTGCCCCTGCTGAAGTGAACACTTGTCTTTACCATATCACCAAGTATAGTTTCCCACATCCAGATACCCATCCCTATACAACATTTTCGACAAACATCAGCTTGGTTTTGATCGGGACAACTCCAACCAGCCAAATGATTTACTTCCATCTGTAGGGCCATCGAGATGTTGTTTAGCCAATCCATGTCAAGGGGCGAACGCTACAGTAGGTCGCTGCCGTGCCTCGTGTTGCCCCTCGAGGTGTGAACCAGTAGCAGATCCCCTAGGAGTCACGAATCTCAGCTCCGTTTCTGCTGGACCCTTTCGTTGCACTCGTAGGATACGCCGTAGCCATGCCGAAAAACCTTGGCCACTGCTCTGGCCTGTGCCCGAAGCTCGAAATAGACTCGTCATAGTTCGGACAGTTTGAGTTGCGAGCTTATCTAATTCCCCTGAAGGCGTGACAGCTTCCACAAGTCCTCTCTCCTCAATGATGCCGGTGTCATAGTTCACAGTACTATGGATGTCGAATCCGATATGCCTTCTATCCTCGTCGTCGGTGTAGTGACCAAACAAGAATCTGTCGCCCTCAATAAGGATGCGAGCCTCCATGATGTCTTTCGATGGGGTGCGCCTTCTGTCTGCAATGTCAAGATAATCCCTTTGAAGAAAGTAGGACTTGTGGCACATTGCCATTAGATCCGCCATACTGTAACATTGGCGAGGTAGAAGTCGTTTTTGGATGGGGTAGGCGAACGGCATTGCAACACTCCAAGCACTTAGAAAGACCATGATACCGATATAGGCCGATAGTGAAAAGCCAAAGAAAACTTTCCCACCCTGATCCTCAAGCTGGAGGAGGCCACCGATGAATATTGGGAAGAGCGGGGAGAGGCTATTCAAGATTGAGAATGCCGCGACTTTATAGTGGCCCTTCTCGATTGCCGTGATAGGTACCTGGAATGGAGATGTGGTGATGTATGCCAGTAGAACGGTATCCGCAGCGGGCCCCGCTTTGCCAAACATGTTGATAAATGGTTGCATGAATCGCATGTTCAGGTCCACCCACTCAACAATCGTGGCCGTGAAGACACCAGCCAGATACACTGGGGCTGAACGGAACAGTAATGCATACACGACAAGCTTTGATTCTGGATCCGTAGGATCAATGGGCGGCAAGTGTAATGTATAATTGCCAGCAGAGACCGACATATTTGATGGGATGCTCAAGTCTTTTCGAAGATGGAATCCATGGAAACCTATGCCATTGACCAGTCCGTAGATGGCAAGAGCGAATCCTGCCCAGACCAGGACTACCGAAATAAAGACCCAACCCTTTCCACACCCGGGGCTATGTCGGTAGGGATAGTGCTCGCAGTCTGGCCATGTTCCTTGGTTGCAGTGTGGTTGTGTGTCGTCGGCACGGTGCTTGGCGCAATCGTCGACCGGGCTAGGTCCTTTTTTAACTCCAATCAACCGATCATACCAGCTGGGTTCGAACGACGTTGGTGCGCGAGCTGTCGTTCGGTGAGCACTTGTCCATACAAATGAATCCACACAATGTACCTGCTTGCTTCCACGTTGTGCCAATGCCATACACCAAAACAAATCTCTCAGGCGGCCCAGGAATGGGCTTTTCCCAGTAACCCAGTCGAAATCGATGATTCTTCGACAGGACTTGCTTTGCGTTGCGGTTGTGGAGCAATTCAAGGGATGAGAAGTATTCTGCAACATCACAATGTGCAAACAAAGCACAGTAATCAGCAATGGTAACAGGGTCCCACCTGAGACCAGTCGACTTTCGGCGATTGAGGTAAGCGACCCAAAGCACATAACCAGTCATGATAATATGTCCGATGATGAGGAAGAGAGCTGGCCATACACGAAGTGTTAGAGTCCAACCTGTAGTTTGAATTTCTTGCTCGCCGATCTGTTTAATGGCAGGACCGCTGGCTAGCAGCGCGACCTTCAAGCTAACGATGAATCCAACCATAAGTTGACAAAGCAGGGAGATGATCGGGGTCGTTCCTCGGGTGACCGAGATGTCCTGCCATGGAAAGAAAGCTCCGCTAACACTTTTGTTGGCATCCTGTCCAGAGCTCGCCTGCTCGCCCTGGTCCGCCATTGCCACAAAGGGCTTCATTCTGATATATTCGCGAACAAGGTGGCGAAACAAAATGACGTTGAGAGTACCCAATGCAGAGGGGAAGTAGCGGGATATCATGCGAACATTTTCGCTCGACAAGTGGTATTGCCCATTGGTCCCAGCTGCGAGCCAGAGTGCCGCAATTGCACCGGCCGTGCCAAGGTATAATACAGCCAAGAAGAGCGTCGAATACCATTTCAAAATGGGTGGCCAGAAGTTCAGTGGCGCCAAACGCCTGTCACTGACGTCTGGAATGGCAGTCAATTCGACTATCCAAAGCCAAAAATTAGCCAAAAATTTCAAAGACACAAGGATGAATGGATAGCTAACCGGAGGGAGGCCTTGGCAAGTTGGGTCGATCTTCAACCAAGTTATTGTTTCGAGAGAGAAAGACAATTCCGGGGTCAGCCGATACGTCGGTGTTATTTGGCAAGAGGGGCACTTGAGAACGGCTGCCAAGTTTGGAATAAGGAGAAGGCTCGCGCGAGGACGTGGACGGATATGAGGCTGGACCAGGCCGCAGCTCCGGTCTCGAGGGTAGCTCCCAGGGACCATCCATTGTTCAGAGGGCTGTAAAACAGACGTCGATGGCAGAGTCTTGCTACACATGTAACAAAAATTGGGAATATGAAAGATTGAAGCGAGGAGCGATCGATGGGGCCTTTAGGGTTCTAGAAAGACCTCTGTGAGAGGGAAAGCCGATTTCCTAGACCGAGTCCCGGGAGGGAGGAGGTTTCTTGACAAGGAAGGTCCCTGCAAAAGGAAGGTTATCTGACAAACACCGGCGTGAGCTCGCCTAATGGAACATGGTCTGGAAGCAAGCCACATGCATGAATAGCCTCAGCCTGATGGAAGGTATTCTCGTAATAGATTGCAAAAGGGTCGACGACAGAGCGCGCTTTACGATGAAGTTGAGCGAGCTGATGCCGCGCAGACTCGTGCATTGGGCTGCTTGGTCCGCCTTCGGTGAAAATCGCGATCTGAGTCCCTGCTTCTTTTAAGGAACTTTTGAGATCAGGCTGAAGATACGTCATTGTGCAGTGCGGCTGAAGAGACTGCACTCGGCGCTATTAGTGTATGGCTTTCAGAAATTAGGGTGGAGCAAATCTCCGTTGCCTGCTAAAGAGCATTTGAAAGGCCAACTGTGGGCTGGTCGCACTGTGAGAAATGATTCGAAGAGGACATCAAAGTCGATTTGCCAAAATACGGAGTGCCTTATCTTTTGATCGTAATAACCTGGTCCAAGGGACGCCTTTTTATCGTGCTTTTCTGGCTAGATTATTGGCTCCCTGCTCCTACTTGTAGCTGGCAGCGTATCTGGACAGCATATGCTCTTCAACCGTGAATGCTTTGCCCTGGGAACCATCAAGAGGTTTGATGATACAATCTGCATTGCCGTCCAAGAAGAAAGGTATAGAGTATCTGTCCGTCCCAGAAGTGTTGATAACTCGGTGTATGTTACTTTTGTATGTGCCGCTCGTCCAGGCTTCTAGCATGTCTCCGACATTGACCACATATGCGTGTTCTTGAGGTGGCACGTCGATCCATTCTTTGGTGAATTGGTTCAAGACCTGCAGACCGGAATGGCCATCTTGGAGCAATAGGGTGATGGCTCCGAAGTCTGTATGCGCACCAGCGCCCACCAAAGTTGTATCGTCGGATTTGGGGTGCGGAGGGTAATGGAGAAGACGGATTGCAGCAATTGGATCTCGACAGAAATCTTTGAACACGCTTGTATCGAAATTGTTCAGACCTCGGGCCAAGATCTGCATGAGCTGAAACGAAAGGTCAGACAAAGCTCGGTGATATTCTAGCAAGGGCTGTTTAAATTCCAGCTCTGGGATTTGATTAGGCCAGATGTTTGCTTCTTGAAAAGGTCTGAATGGGGGCTTGTTGCCAGGGATCTCGCGGCCAACAAAGTATCCCTCGAGAGGTGTCAGCTTGAAACTTGAAACTGATGAGGTCGACATAGGACCGCAATATACCTCTTTCAAGTCGGGCTTCTTGCCGTCCTCCAACGTCTGGGTACCAATAATCTCGTACCCACGCCCTGGTTTTCCACCGAGACCGCGCTTCTCTTCCTCTGGTAGACGGAACAGCGCCTTCGCCGCAGCAAAGGCTCGCTCTTGGAGTGATTCTCGAATGCCGTGTCCAGTGATCTGGAAGAAACCGCTGGTCGTGCAAGCAGCACGAATTTGTGCCACAATATTCTCAGCCTCAGAAGAATCTGGGTCGTTAAGATAGGCTGTCAGGTCAACGGTTGGGATTGTGAACGCAGACTGTCCGTTTCCGTAGGTGATAGCCATAGTGAACTGCAGAAACACAGATCACGGCACTCGTCCTGAGAAGCAAAACTGAGGTGGAAAATTGAGATAGATGCAACATTGATGGAAAAGGTACCTAGGTACGAGGTAGTCGTACAAGCCACTTGAGAATCCAAAAGCTTGGCTGATCGGAAGACTCCGTTATCTCGTTAGTAGCACTCCGTAAATGGAAAGGCCATGGAATGAGTAAGCAGGTTGATTGGCTGCCGTTGGTGCGTTATCGCACGAAATGGTCATCGGCATACGCCTAACCTGCCCTTCCCGGCCGGCTGCTTCCAAAAATATCAAGTACGCCGAGACCCTAATGGAATATTCACAATGTCAGACAAAATACATAAACATTACAATACCACTCAGCATGAAAGCAAAGATTCTCCCCCACTCTTCAGACTCTCCTTTCCCCTTGATACTAATAAGAAGGCAACGGTTGGCCTTCTTTTCCACACAGCTGTTTGATCAAGATACATTAAAGCCGCCTATGGTCATATGAGATGACGAATATTTCCCCCTTCTTTCTCTCAAGGGCTGCATGGTGCCCATCATGTCGAGTTACAAAGACCAGCCTCTGCGGCAGATGGCAACCGCGCTCAAGGCCGCAACAAGATGGAGCCACACCGTTGATTATAGGTTGATTCATAATCATCACTTCCACTTCATGCCATTCCATCTCTCAAACCCGGAGGTGTCCAGGTGGAACATATCCAGGATCCTTCCCACAGTCTGGTTCACGACATCGTCTAGTGTCTCAGGCTTTGTGTAAAAGGCCAGAACTGGCGGGAATATAATGGCCCCATTGCGGCTCAGGCTTGTCATATTCTCTAGTTGAATGGTACTCAAGGGAGTCTCGCGTACAACAAGGACAAGGCGTCGTCGTTCCTTCAAGACGACATCGGCTGCTCGAGAAATGAGATCATCTGCGTACCCTATCCGGACGGCTGCCAAAGACTTCATGCTGCATGGTACAATAACCATACAGTCTGTTTCGAATGAACCGCTTGATATGGGTGCTGATACGTCTTTTATCGAATAGTTGTGCGTTGCCAGCGCTCGTATGTCCGACGGAGTGTATTTGTCTGTTTCGTATTTGAGTGTTGCTTCTGCCCACCTGCTCATGATCAAATGTGTTTCGACGCCCAATTTGCGAAGAGCTTCGAGGGCCCGAGCTCCTATGATAGAGCCTGTGGCACCCGTCATGCCCACGATTATCCTCCGTTTCCTGGGTTGCGGATCTCCTCGGTTAGGATTGTCGTGCAAAAGCGATGGACCGGACAAGAAGTTGCGTACTTGTCCAGAAGGTGATGATTTAGAACATACTCCAGGATTGGGGTGAAACCGTCCGACCGAGAAACGCAGTATGGGATCACAAAAGGATTCTACTCTACTTGCCATAGTAGCGTTGAAAAGCATTTTTCGGTCAGCTGGAAAAGCTCTGGAAGAGACACAATTCGCGAAGGAAAATGTCGCCGTGATAACAAAAGAAGCGAAACCGGACTATGTAGTAGAAATCCGGAAACTGCATGCTGAGACATGGCATCGACAGTGCCTACGCAAACCCTCTCGGACCTCGCTGCTTTCATCCTTGTTTTCGTTGCCGCATACCCGTTGAGGATCTCTGTTAGCTGTCGCCCTTCAAATAAATGACCTGCGCATCAGCGAGCTTATGCTGGACTAAGGATCACTAAACAGTGCGAAATGCGAAAAGAGATAACAGAGACTTGTGCAAGGGCCAGCTTCACCGTTCCCCCACATGATGTACATGCATCATTCGAACGGTCACATGGCCGATGGTCCATGAGGAATCCATTGGCATCAGGACTTCGCAAAAGCTGTGGTGCTAGAGTTTCCTAGTAGTTCGCACTCTTAAAGCCATCCTGGATGCCGCTCCTCTCTCTCTCCGTTCGTGTTCTTTTTATCTACTTTTCTTGAAGCACTAAGCATGATGGCCACAACCCTCACAGCCCAGCTGCCTCGACAGAGATTGACGGCCTCTTCGAGATCTCAGATACCGAGCAGTTTGATCAGCCTTCGGCGATACAGCTCCATCAACACTGCACCTCATTTGAACTTTCGAAGCTATGTGGAAGCGCTTCGCAAAGATGGTGACCTAGCAGACGTGTACGACGAAGTGGATCCTGATCTAGAGCTGTCTGCCATTACTCGTCGTGCTTTGGAAACTTGCGACAAAGCACCCCTTTTCCACAATGTGAAGGGTGCTCGTGATGGCCTATTCAGAGTAACGGGCGCTCCTGCTTCGCTACGGAAGAAGGAGACCGAGCAATTTGCACGACTGGCGAGACATGTTGGTCTGGAACCGACGGCCACAATGTCAGAAATCTTCGACAAGATTCTCGACGCCAACAAGTTGAAGCCGATCCCACCCGTTCAGGTTGCCGAGAGCCCCTGCAAAGAGAATAAGCTCTTTGGGGATGACATTGATCTCAACAGAATGCCAGTTCCTCAAATGCACAGGTTCGACGGCGGCAAGTATCTGCAGACATACGGGATGCATGTTTTGCAGACTCCGGATAAGAAATGAGCCAACTGGTCTATTTCGCGGGCCATGGTTCACGATAAGACGCGTCTGAGCGGCCTCGTCATGCCTCCCCAGCACATTGGACGGATCTTTTCCCAATGGCAGAAGAAAGCAGAGGATATTCCATGGGCAATGGCACTTGGAGTAACACCGGCAGCAATCCTAGCATCTGGTATCGCGGTCCCTGAAGAAGTATCCGAAGCTGATTATGTCGGTGCAATGAGTGGTGTCCCATTGGAGGTGGTCAAATGCGAGACAAACGATTTATGCGTCCCGGCCAACTCGGAGATTGTAATGGAGGGAACAATGTCTATTTCGGAAAAGGGCCCAGAAAGACCTTTTGGAGAAATTCACGGTTACACCTTTATCGAACCTCCAAAAGAAATGCCTTTGTTCACAGTCAAAGCTGTAACTTACAGGAACGACGCTATCCTTCCAATATCTGTGCCCGCTGATGAGACTGTAAGGACTCTCTCTGTCATCAATCGCAGACGTGCCATGGCTTACCTTTTTGTCTATAGCATACTCTCGCAGGCGCGTTCGTTGGTGCTGTGATTCGACAACGACTACAAGAGGCGGGTCTCCTAGTCAAAGAGGTTTTCACGCCTTATGAGACCCAGACACCATGGGCAGTGGTGCAGATCGACGGCAAACAACTTCGTGCCATGAAGACCAACCCGAAGGAACTTTGCAATCGCATCGGAGATACCATTTTCTCCGACAAGGCCGGCATGTTTGAGCATCACATCCTGGTCGTGTCGGACGACATCGACATCTACAACTTCAAAGACGTCATGTGGGCCTACGCAACCAGATTCCGGCCAGGGGTGGATGATTTCTACTTCCACAATACCCTCGGCTTCCCCTTGGTGCCCTATCAGTCTCAGGGCGAAGGACCAGCGGAAGTTGCTACCAAGATAGTGTCCAACTGTCTCTTGCCGGTCGAATACACGAGTGGGCCGAATTGGGAGGTCGGTGACTTTGAGCATGGCTTTCCCGAGCATATCAAACAGAAGGTGCTTGCGAATTGGTCCAAGCTAGGTTTCTAAGAATTGCTGGTGGTGTAACAGATGCTGAAACAGGAGACTCCAACGAATCATCGAATAGCCAAAACAGCTAGATGTCCATTTTCAAAACTGCCTTTCCGCCTTGTTATTACAATCTCCCACGCGCACGGTCTAACCCGTTACCCGAAATATTCGGTTGTATGTTCAGTCAATCAAAGATCCCCGACGGTCCAGTGTCGGCGCAATAATTGGTATGAGGTAGACTAAGCCCAGCTAGTTGGAGTTGTCCGATGCAACATCAATGCATCCCGTCCAGGCAATTTCTGTGACGTTAGCTTTCGGTAGGCACTCCAATTCCACGTCTGAGATTCGCATATGCCAAAAAGGCCTGAATATTCCTAAACGAAAAGATGGCAAATCTTGGAGGCCTGTGGGATGGGTGCTGTCCGTGGTTGGGGTGAAATGAGCTTCGGCTTTAAGGGTGGAGACGCAGACACCGCTACATCCACGCCGACTGGTTCGACTGCTTGGTGCCTGCCGCATTAGGCAATCGGTACCCTGGCCTTGTATATAGCCGCTTCCTATGTGCAGACACGATACGTTTCCTGGCATGGATGGGGGGTCCTCTGAAATGTGCAAGGCAACGAGTCCTGGCTTATGGAGTGCACTAATGCGGTATGTTAGGTTTGTGAACAGACACGGGCCCATTGGAAGGGTGCGGAACCAGGGTGGAAGGATTATTCAGTATAGGGGCTTGAGAAGAATAAGGTCCAGCGGAACGCAGACGCAAGAGTATATGAGTACGATACATGAAGACATCAATGAATCCAGACTCGCCATATAACAACGACCACAAATACTTCCGTTGTATTTCGTTCTCTCCTCTCATACCAAACATGATTTCCAGCATCCCAGCCCCTCTTGCTGGCCGTGTGGCTATCATCACTGAAGCATCTCGGGGAATAGGAGCAGCAGTGGCGATCGACTTTGCACGAAGGGGTTGTTCACATATTGCCATCACGTATTTGGGTAATATTGACGCCGCGAAGAAAGTGCTCTCATCCATTAACGAAATATCCTCCGATATCAAAACAGCGCTTATCAGAGCAGACGTCACCTCGGAAATGTTTGGACAGGACGTCGTCAAAGCAGCTCTCAGCTCTCTTGCCGTGAACCACATTGACATAGTGGTGTCCAATGCAGCTTTGTCGGACACGAAGACACTGCAGAGCATGGAGACGCATACCAAGGAGGCGTTCGACCAGTTCATGACTGCGAACGTCTGGAGTCCGTTTCAATTGTCGCTCGCTGCCATTCCACACATGGGGAGAGGAGGAAGGATCATCACAATCTCCAGCGTGGCCAGCAGGCGTCCAAATGTGAGTTTACCCCTAACAAGCCATTTCGGTTCCTGGTTTGACCCCATGGCTAGCTTTGACCGAGGAAAGTGGCATACATCTTATTCTTCCCTCTTCAGGTGTTTTAACTTCAAACTGACTGGTGTTCTCGGCTTCATGATTTTAGGTCAACCCCATGGTGATCTTGGGCGCAACAAAGGCAGCATCGGACTCCATCACACGAGCCCTTGCGGCAGCCTATCCACGTCGAACAGGGATTACGATCAACAGCGTCGCCGTCGGTCCAACAAACGCTGACGCCTTGCGTATGGGCATGGCAAAACTACCTAAGGAATGGACAGAAGCGTTGTATGTAAGAGTAACGGCCGAAAGACGCATTGCTGAGGTGGATGATGTTACCGGTGTTGTGAGTTGGTTGGCGGGACCGGATAGCAAATGGGTGAATGGCAACTTCGTTCCTTGTAGTGGAGGCAGTATGCTGGAGCTACAAGGATGATTTGGGCTCAGTTAGAAAGTCATGTCAATTGCGTTGCATCCTTGCCAGAAGGTGGTTTTGCACGTTACTTTTCATGGCTAAGAAAGAGAGGCTTAGATGCTGCTGTTAAGCCGGAGAAGAGGTCTTTCTGTGGGTCCACCTTCCGGTCCGTTACATTACCGCCAACGTCTTGCTAAACAGAGAAACTCTGTCTCGTACTTAAGCCTCTCATTGTTGCAGCCGTGACTTCCTCCCTAGTGCTTTTGTCCAGAGTTTGAACTTCCAACTCTCAAGCATGTGCCCGTCTGCGTACCGACCATCTTCCATAACGTTCTCCGCCCATTCGATCTTCGTATCGATCGTCGCTTTCGCAATCCACCATGTCTGCGTTATAAAGAGTCCAGAGGACAATGAATGGTTTGCATTGCGAGCACGCTCTCGTTGTTGAGCGACTTTCTCGGCCGGGTCCTGACATTTTACCTCAAAATAACGAAACCTGGCTGGTGCGAGGGCAAAAATAAGCCTAGATGCCAGGATAATGCACGAAAGGTAAGTTCCGTGTAGCTGGACATGCTGCAGAATTTTGGAACACGGTCGGCAATCAAGGTAGTCGAAGGTATCATATGCATTTGTATTGTCGAAGAGGCCGATTTCCGCTCTATACTTCCGGTACCAGCTTACGAGGACTCCCCGAAAGCGGAGAGTATGATCTATGAGGTCTGCAATAGTAGGCTCTAGGACCGGATGCTCCGAGGAGATCAACTCTTCTGCAAATTTGAATATGTCCGGAAGCGACACGACGTGTGCTCAGAGCGACATTGTGAAATTTATTCTCCCGCTAAAGAGTCGAGAGGTCTGGATCGAAGAGCATAGGACTCTTTGCCAACCTTCTTCGGTCAGGAAGCATTGTGTGCCATTCATGAGGGCTTGGGTTACCTAAAGTCAATCCTAATCAGTGATTCCCATTCGGTGTTATAAATATTTCCTTGCTCAGTGCCACGAACCAAGGGACCAATATGTGCTAACAGGATCGCTTTGTCAAATGCCTCATCAAATCGATCTGGGCCTCGGTATTCGATAAGCTGGGCGACGCCTCCGGCCTGTTGCATCCATCCGAAGCTTCTGCCAGCGTCAAGCAGCTTGAATAAAAGCGTTAGTCGAGTAAATCCAACATCGCTGTTATGATAGGACAACACCATCATTACCTCGAATGTACCAAGTAATGCAGCGGCACAGAGAGTCTCCGTGGTCGTGGACTCCTCTCCTTCTCCCAGTGCCACTTGCAAGCTCTTCAGTACCCTGACATATAATCGGGCTACTGAAGTTCCTCCATCAACTGCTCCGTTTGAACAAAGACTCCATTTTAGTCCCTCGACAAGACAGTCAGCTGCATAGCTCAGGCTTTGGACATTCCCGTAGCGGCTAGGAATGGAAGCGAGCCAAGACGAAGGTCCGGGCGGGAGAGGAAAGACCCGGACGGCTTCAATGCCCTCCGTCGCAAAGTGTGACATTTTGGCGATGCCCAGATGGAGGCTCGTCAGTGGACATATGTTGAGGATTGAGAAGCCCGAAGAGATGTCCGAAGAGATGCCCGGACGCGAGTAGTCGTCCTGTACGAGGCTGTAAGGAGCTAGAGAGCACTGCCGTCCAGACATGATGCACTTTGGTGATTGACATTCCGTGCAGACGCAGTCATACCCTTGCGCCCTGTTTGTCGAGTCTGTTGTCGGAGAACCGAACCATGGATTTCGGCTTCATCTGGGCCTGAGGGCGAGGCGCAATTCATGAAAAGTGGCAGTTGCCTGAGGTTATATTTTCCGTAGTTACCCCTTCGCCTTCTTGCAACAGCTACTTCTTTCATAGCTTGTTTTCGGATCAGCGTTCATATATTTTTGCTTTGTGGAACCTTGGAAGTACTGGAATTCACAAACTCGAATTGCTTGTGTGGCATTTTGGGCGTTGTAGGATGGGGGAGCAATTAACTCCTTCGATCTAGAATTCTAGGCGATGTCAGTGGTCTTTAGGAGAGAAGAACCTTCCCGGAACGAGGCTTCATGTCCATGGCAGGAACCCAAGTCGGTTAATGGAACTACCCAATCGAAAAGCTGTTTGTAGAATATTCACCATCCTTGACTTTCAACTGCCGGAATCTTTCCAGGACCCTAACTCTGACAACTCGAGCTTCCTGATCAGTAATCATGCAACTCTTCCTGTGCCCGTCGTACTCGTACATCGAACTTGAAGGTGATGCTGCCACAAACCCCCTTGAACCATACCATAAGATAGAGCTGTAAAGAGTGAGCTTAACACATCCAAGCTGAGAAATAGAAGAATTCCATGAAAGTAGGCTGGTATCCTCCCCCATCGAATCCTACCCTGCTACTTAGTCTCGCATTCCAAAGTTGATGTCACCAATCGCATATGCCTCAAACGGCGGCTTCTCCCGCAACGGTCACACCGGGCGGATAAGGTCACATCGTAAAGTGAGATCCGGCTGCGCGGAGTGTAAGGCGCGGAAGATCAAGGTAGGGGAAAGAGGCCCGCCGTCGAATCTCAGCCGGGGCTGACCTTTTTTGCAAGTGTGACGAAGGACGGCCGCAATGTTCTCTGTGCAAGAGATATTCTACATCCTGCATATACCGAGTCTCAGGAACAGCTCTAGGCTCTTTATTGCATGCGACAACTTTGTGTTTACAAATGGTAGAGGGCCCCTATGAGTTACTCAGCCAAAGCGCGGATTTGCAGCTAGAAGAGCTAGAGTTGCTCTACTGCTGGACTATGTTTACAAGTCATGGTTTTGGCGACAAGCTAATAGATGTCAAGGCATGGCAGCTCGAGATTCCTCAGGTCGCCTGCAACCATCCGTTCTTGATGCATGGGATCCTGGCTGTTTCCGCCCTGCACAAGTCACGTGCCGAACCGGAGACCAGTCAGCAGTACCTTGTTCGCACTGTCCACCACCAGAACATAGCGCTTCCATTCTACCGCAATATTATCGATGATTTCAGAAAGGAGATGACGGAAGCGAACTGTCACGCCGTGATGGCCTTTGCCAGCCTGATCATTGCGTTCGCCTTTGCCGACCTCGACGCTGTCCCGGCAAGCGCATGTGGCGTAGCTTCACGATCCACCATCCCAGAATGGATCCATCTCCTCCGTGGCGGTCGCAAGGTTCTCCAAGTCATCAAGTCCTGGATCATCAAGGGTCCTATGGCCTTCCACCTCCGACAGGCAGAAGGGGACATCAATCTCTCTCGCAACCCTGACGATGCGAGGCTCGCTGCCCTCGAGGTCCTTTTCGAGGGGCAAGACTCATCACATGAGCTTCCGGATAGCGAAAGAGAAGTCTATCGCACAACCCTGAGACTTCTGCGCCAAAGTTTCGCGATATCTCTATCACCGGACCAACCTTTGGGGATCAAGTTCTCCATGTTCTTGTGGATTGAACGCTTCCCGCAGGAATATCTCGAGCTCCTGGACCTGCGGAAACCCGAGGCAGCTATTCTCCTGCCCCATTTCTGCCTTCTGCTGGAACGAGGCGCTGCCTCTTGTTGGTACATGGTGGGCGCCGCCGGGCAGCTGGTCACAGCTCTGTACAACGCACTAGGCGACAATTGGAGGGTGTGGATGGCCTGGCCTCTTCAGCAGATCAACCCTGGCTAATAAGTGGACAATGGGAAACAAATTGGTCTCACATACCTACCTGCACACCACCTGGGTCATCCACGGAGTTTTGGCCTTCAACAACAACTCTTTTTCCTAGGACTCGCGTCATCGAGAACTGGATAGGCCGTGTTTGGGGTTTATTTATGGAGTCTGACTGGGATTGCCGGATTTGCAAATATTGTTTGAAACGATTCGCGAAGCAGAAAGATTATTACGGGATGCGAAATGCGAAATGCGAAGTCCGAGGTGCATTTGACACAGGGGTGGATCTGAAATGCGGAGCACGGGAAGGAACTTGTCCAGTCGAGTAGTGTAACAGCAATACGTATCGTAGAATGAAATGACAACGCTTCCCAACAAGACCAGTGGAAATAGGGGTTAACAGACAAGGCTCTTCTCCGTGCAGTTTCGGCGGCTGAGCGAAAAAGGGGCAGGGCGGACTCATTTACGATCACCACTTTGCCATGGACAATAGTCAGCGCCCTGGAGAGAAAATTCAGCTAAGAAAATGCCACACACACCCACTTCTGTCGCTTATACCCATCATGATGTCCAGTTCGCTATTGTTCAACAGTGCACGCATGGCGGGTGGAGTGGTCAGCACCTCTTCGAGATGTCCTCTACCTAACTAATCTCCGCGTTCTCCCACTTGAGGTCGTCAGCACGTAGTCGACGCTACCATTATCGCCCCCCGGGGACAATTAGTTCTCACCGGGTTGACGACAGATACTTGTGTCGCTTGTCTTATTTCCGTCGCTGGGTAAGTCGGGAAGGGGGGCCCTTGGCTGTTCGCTGTGTACTGGGTACTCGGATGTAGATAGTATATAATCAGCCCCACTACATCGAACATGACCAGGGCACTGATGTACTCATCCGGTTAGTCTGGGACGCTTTGCTGCTTCCAACCTATCAATCCATCATCTCTGATTAGACTTCTCCCTCATCAGGAAATCTTGGGTAACTCTGTGGTGTAATGGTGCAAAGTTTGTAGCTTTCCAAGACTACGTAAATTGCATTTTTCATCCACTAGGCGGGGTCATGCTAGACACAATATCCAGTTTCAGCTATCGTATGTGGGAAAGCCCGCGTCAGAACGCAAGGGAGAATCGGTGCCCTCTGTGAGAACGATGGGCGCAAGTTGTCCTGGTCGAGGAGTAACGACAACTGAAGTTTCATAAAGATGTCCTCGCACCAGAGTTTTGGGACCCTCTTTGGTTCAGTCTCTGAGGGCATTATCAGCGTATTATTGAGTAGATATCCCTGTGCAACAAGTCTTACTGCACCCGCCAGTTCGTACCATGGCATATACGACAATTGCGGAGCTTGTAGAGCGCAGCAAGTAAGTATACTCTTCGTATTTCGCCGTCCATCACATTAACCAGAGCACAGGGAAACCGCCAAAACCCACAAGCCCATAATGTCTGGCAACGAGCGACGAACCAAAGGTATTAAGATGAGCGTGATCTTTGTTGGTACGTTGTGTCATTTCTGGAAGCTTCATCTCTCCATCCACCTCTTTCAGCGCTCAGGAGGAAGTGAAAAAGGCAGTTACTAATACGCCCCGTCAGTGGCATGCGTCGACCCTCGCTCCACCCCAGAACACATCTTCGACCTCAAGCCTGCAGATGAGGGATTTTAAGCATTTGCGCTGGCTTCTGATCTACGGGCATGGTGTGACATTGAAGCTACTGTTATTGCGCCGTTGTGGGCGGTCCAACAGAGGTCATAGTGCACCGAAGCGCGGCGGGAAACGTGCGCGGTGCAATTGCAGACATCTGCGCCTTGGATGTGCTTGTCAGGCCGGAAGAGATCATGGTGATCCATCACACCGACTGTGGCTGTCTCCGGTATACAAATGGCAGCATGCGCCAGGAGATCATTGCTCGCATCGGACCCGAAAATGCGGGCGTAATCAACAAGATGGACTTTGGACCAATTTCAGAGTAGGCCCTATCGCCAATCTCTTGGTTGAGCGTAACACGCTGATCGCTTGCTGGAAAACAGTGTCGAACAAAGCACAAAGGACGACATTGCGTGGCTGAAACAATCACCACTCGTGCGAAAGGAGCTCGCGGACAAAGCACAAGGATATGTATATGATGTAGTGACGGGCGAATTACGTCGTGTAGCATGAGTCGGAGAGTTTAGGACTTCAAAATTGAACGCTAGTAGGCTGACATCGAGCTGAAGGTAGTCTCTAGTGCGATCAAATGATATTAATATACATAGGGTATTCAACATCGTCCAGAAATAATATCCGCCTACAACGCCTTGCCGACTTCCGTCATGGTGACTATGGCATTGAATTCTTCATCTCTGGAGAAGGGCTGACATATCAGACAATCAGTGTCCGCGAACGGGCCTGAGCATCCCTTCATCCAATTGAAAGATTACCGCTCTCCTGTTCCGAAGCAAAGAGAACTGACTTCTCTCGATGCACGTCCAAACGATATATTAGGGATGAATCACGAAGACTTCCTTTCCCAACCTCTTTCCATCACAAACATGGGAATATCACTGACAGATATCGAAGACCCCTGGGGTGGTTATTGAGATTTATCCGAACGAACCCCTGCGTGTTCTTTGTTGCTTGAGGAGTGCTTCAGCTCCTCGGATTGGCGTCGCAATTCTTGGGATAGCTCCCTCGCAAGCTCGATGTTTTCTTCCAGAGTGTGATGGCGGATGGGGTCGTCCTCGTCGTCCTCGGCGTCAAGTGCATCCTCATCCCGCGGGTTCCGCCCAAGGCTCTCTTCCAGAGTGTGGTGGAGACGGTCCTCTCGATTCTCGCTCGATGGTGGAGTTTCTTCTTCATCTCCAAATGGGTCGGAGGGTGTTGATGAGTGTCGTCGATTGGAAGGACGGGCTGGACCTTTGCCCTTGAACACAGAGAGAAATTTTCCCCACATTACTGCAGTCGGTTTAAAACATTCGCTGATACGACTTTTATTTTCTTTTTGTCAATGTGACAAGGTGAGAGATTCGGCATGGAGAACCATGTCGCTTTATACACAACTTCTTGACATAGGAAATGTCGCCTACGGCCTGGAAGTGAATAACTGATCATGAGACGTCGAGTGGTACATGCCCTGTAGCCTTACATTGTGAAGGCTCATCTTTTCGATGTTAGACCAAACTCGTGAAAGATGTATGTTCCATCACGCCACTTGTCACATGGTAGAGCACGTGCAGTAGGAGCCTGGTGACGGTAGAGCGGCAAAGCGGCAGAGGGGCAACTATAACAAGTAGGTCGCACCCTGGAAGAATTAATAGGCGTTTCTCCTATGTTTTCTTTCAACAATACAAAGATTGAAGACGGTCCATACTAAAGGGCGGAAGTACGGATGCGCTAAAAACACGAATACGGCACGACTGATACCACGTGTGATGTCGTTGCAATTTCCCGCATAGGCCTTGTTAGCGCGTCAATCCCGCGGATATCGTGGCTCTTGGCTGCTTAACACCATTGATATACAAGTCGAGTTGGGCATGGGGCTTGCCTATTCACCCTATTCCTGCAAGGACTGTTTTGATACGTAGATCGAATGCAATCCTACTGGATACAAGTCTATTTCAGAACAGACTCACCCCAGGAAGGCGTGAAAAAAGCCAGTTCCAAGTCCAATGCAGCAAGGAGGCAGGAAATCTGTATCAGTGGTGCTAGGGATAGTCAAGAGTCGGGAGATCCAGGGCTTTTGACGTCGATTCAAGTCATGGCTCAGGCCAAAATGCAGGATGTTCAGGTGTGGAAACGGAAATGGATATCAGAGAGTTCAACATTCGCCGCTGAGCATTGTGGTATTCGACAGGCATGTCTGCAATCTCCTGAGGTTTTCGGAAGGACGTAGACTTGGACATATTGATGTAGGGAAATTGGTTGCGATAGCCATCCCGGTCAACGAATGATCATGAGCTAGTTCGAGTTTCATAATTGCCTTCCCTTGTTCTGATGGGCCTTCTACTCGAAAAAGAGGTCCCTTTCAAAATCAAAGTTGAAAAGATATTCCACGTCAAGCGAAGGATCGATCCAGATATTTGCTGCTGAGCCGTCTTGCCCGTTTTGCTCTGATATGTCTTCGGCGTGGGGAAGGGCATTGCAAATGGTCTGGGCAGTTCCGGACTGCTTCATTATTTCCAGTGACCTATTCTCGCGCACAGCTCTGATAGCACCTTCGACGATCTTTGCAACTTCGCCCGCAGTGTAGTGGATATTCTTGACTTCCCGCAAAACAATCAAGCAAGCATCGAGTTGCTGCAGACTCCTAGCCCGTATTGCTTCGCTTGTCGAACGGGCGTCCAGCAAATGGACACTGACCGCCGCACAGATAGTCGCGACTCCAAGAGCAGGGATTACACTTGTCAGACCAGCATCGTGCAGATCTTTGTGGATGCGAGTCATGTCATCGGCAGCTCTTCTCATCGCTCTCGCATGGGCTTGATATCTGCAAAGCTCCTCGTCCAGATAAAGGTCGGGCGTCTCTTCCATACACTTTGTCCATTTCTTGATGGGAACTTCGGGCTTGTGCAGCATTATGGCAGCCATCAAGTAGCTCAACTTGACCATTGAGACGGTGAGGAGTACTCGTTTCGCGTCGAAATCATCTGAAAAACGCCACAGGTCAAAAGGCGCTTGATGTTTCCAGTCTTGCAATTCCGAGTCCATTTGCCATACTCTGGAATCTTGGGCTCCCGGAGTAATGTTTCGTCGATCAACAGTATGCAACAGGCGCAAAACCCGATGAATGATAAGACAAAGCTTTACCTTCTCAATACAGGCTGCTTCAAGCATATGTTGCGAAGATGCATCTCGCCCGCTGCTGCCAAAGTCCGCATGATCCAGCATGAGTTGATCCAGAGCCATTATGCGCGGTGGCTTTCCCATTGAAAGGCAGACATCGGCTTCCTTCATCACCAACGTCCACCAAAGGCGTCTCTTCAGGGGCGAATCGGCATTATTAGCTGTCTTTTGAAGAGCAATGGAGTACGCTTGGGTGAGAGCAATTCCCGTCCAATGCATTCCATCTTTCGGATCGTTGTTGCTCGACCAGCTAATGAACAACAAGGCCGCCTGACAGGTAGTCATACGATCAGGCTCCACCTCCATGTCAAGGAGTGCCTGAACCGCGTTAGCATATTCCCTCGGGGGATTTTTCTAGTGACCGACCTTTGCCTTAGAGTAAAAGTTATTTCTTGCGGCCGCCTTGCTCTCGTATCCATATCTCTTGATCTCATCCAGTTCCACGGCAGCAAGGCCCGCTCCAATCAACGTATGGTAGAGCAGGAGAGATATTTTGGTTGGAGACTCTCCACTGATGGTGGAAAGCACATCGGGCACATCAACCAGGGGAAGAAGTGGATGGACGAACTCGGCAAATCGCTGAAAGATGATTTTTTCAAAATCTGGGGGTGGGAAGTCGAAGCATTTCTTCGCGCAGAGGTATTGCCAATCCTCGGCCTGTAGGGTATCGGGGAACGGTTTGATGAAAGGGGGCAGGTTAATGTCTGTAGCTAGTTTTGCAAGGCACGAGAGTGCAGGAGCAGTGATCTCCGGGTTGAGGTTTTGCCGAGGCGTGTCGTGAAAAGCGAACGCTGGGCTCGAAAGGATATCGAAGGCACCACGGTCATCATGCTGGGTCGGCGCATCCACTTCTGGATTCGCATGAAAATGCCGATGGGATGAGATGGAGGAGTCGGGCGTTGGAGGGGAGGGTTGGACGGTCTCGTGTCTTCTAGGCCTCCCATCAGTAAGCCGTCCCGACAACACAACCTATTCGAAGACATACGGTGGCCGTCTCTTTCTTCGCCCTAGCTCACAGGTAACCCCATCAAGCCGACAGTTTGTGCAAGAGGCTGGCTTCTGCGCTACGATATCGCAACGGACCTTTCGCCGACGGCACTCGAGGCATGCTTGTGAGGAACGTTTCTTTGGAGGTTTGTTTCTGATGAAGCGATATTTCGACCCGGTGGGAGGGGACAGGGTTTCGGTGTCGGGCTGGGTCGTGCTCATATTTGATGAGAAGCGAGTTTGGCTGCTGTGGCTGCTGCTGAGAGGTCAATGGCATCAAACATGAATCGCAAAGGAGTCGTCCTCCGTAACATTTTTGGCGTGATCCGAGTCGTGATCAATTCGAGGCCAAAGCTCATTAACCGCAGTTGACGAGCTCAGGATGTGCTGCGCCTGCAGGACCGCCTCCATCCGCCCGCCAAATGTCGCCTGCAGGGTCCGCGGCCCTTCGTCGAACGGGAACAAACAACCCCGAGTAGAGTCTTGCAGGCTGGCGAGTGGGTTCTTTCCCCGCAAAGTTGGGGAGAAGTGGGGCGTTCCTTAAACGAGAATCGACCCCCGCAATCTCGGCTCCTCGGCTATCCAAAAGCAGCTTAGCTTTGTTCGCCCTGAGAATTGCAGTCCACCATCCCGAGGTTCTATTCTTCGGTGGATCGCTCCGACGACCGACAGCAAGCCTTGACCAGGTATGGTGAAAGCTCCTATCCCTTGTCAGGGGCTCTTCGTCCAGGAGTCTCGTGCGCATCCTGCCCACTGAAGGCGCCAGTGCGGTCCTGTTCACCATGTCCATCATAACACGCAAGAACTTCACTTCCAATTTCCACCATGACACATATCCAGCCTTGCAAGAACGACTGAAAAATGTAGACTTGTCAAACAAGGCAGTTTTCATCACAGGATCCGGGACGGGCATTGGAGCAGCGACCGCATTATCCTTCGCGAGAACGGGTGTAAAGGCTGTCTTTCTGTGCGGTCGTACGCCGTCAACTCTGGAGCAGACACAGCAACGAATATCAAAGGAATGTCCAAATGTCATCGTTGGCAAATTTGTCTTCGATGTCAGCGAGGGACTCAAAAAGGCCCAGCAGGTCTTTGCAGAAGCGTCCAAGATATCTGGGCGTCCGCTTGACATCCTCGTGAACAACGCTGGCTATATTGCCTCGATGCCAACGACATCATCTCCGGACAGCAACTGGGACTTCGATAGATACTGGCGACATTTCGAAGTCAACGTAAAGGGACCATTGGCTTTAGCCACCGCATTCCTTGAACATGCATCAGAGCAGCCAACAATTCTGAACATCACTTCTGGGGCCGCCGTGATTGATTTCGTTGCTGGGCTTTCTGGATACGGGGCAAGCAAACTCGCAGCTTTCAAGATGTTCAGCTACCTCTACCACGAGCAAGTCAAGCGTGGCCTCAAAGTGTTCCATGTTCATCCAGGAGTCGTTGCTACTGCAATGGCAAAAGAAGGGAATTCGGTATGCGATGACACTGGTACGAGAAACATACCCCCAAGCATCCTCGGCTTGACTGACCTGTCCAGCCGAACTTGCCGCAGACTTCACTGTCTGGGTGAACACCTCTGAAGCTTCGTTTCTCCAGAATCGACTGTTATACGTTAACTGGGACATCGAAGAGTTGTTGGCAAAGCGTGAGACTATCGTAGCACAGGATCTCTTAACTCCTGGTGTAAGAGGGTGGGATTCGACGGCTATGTAATTAATACCTAGAACTGCCCACACCCATGACACCGATATACTCGTCCTCCTTTGGTCTTCTCACAATTTCCCCGTCCTTCTTCTTGGTCTGAACGCCACCAATGCTTCCACTTGTCTTGAATCCCATGTAGCCCTTGACTTTGTCCGAGCACTTGGCAAGCACGTCCTCCTTGACGGACAACGAGTAATTCTCTTGCTGTCTCATCCAAGGTCGCGTGAAGAAAACCAGAATGACCGGTCGCTCACTCCCGCTGTCTGCTGGCATCTTGTTCGCGCCCGTCGCATGCCACAGTCTACTTTCAAAAACCATACAAGTCCCCGCAGGACCAGCTGCTGCCACAGTATCAACTGGATCGTACGGGTCGTCCGGCGCCCAGTTGCCTTTGTGGCTACCCGGCATGACCAGAGTTCCGCCATTCTCTGGGGTGACATCTTCGAGGAAATACATCAAATTCATACCAACGGCAACGGATCTGATTGGTGGCTGAATCGTAATTTGATCAGTATGCATGTGCATCGGGGTGTTGCCCGGTCGAGCAATATTCGCAGTGTATGAGAACAAGATAGCGTCATCTCCAAGAAAGTCCGGAACCATGTCTTTAATGGTCTTGTTGTTCTCCAGCAAATCGATAAACTCCTTGCCCTTATTCGGCAAGCACCAGACACGTTGATTCGGTTTCTTCTCACCGCCGTCAAAGAATCCAATGCCGGCATCGGCCTCGCCCTTGGCCTGGTCCATGAGCCGTTTCCTCAACACTCGGACTTCTTCTGGAGTGAGGGCATTCTTGACAAAGCCATATCCCCATACATCAAGATCTCGCTTGACCTGCTCAATGTCCTCGGTAGGTTTTGGCAAATCTTTCAGATCCAGCCGGTCAAGCTTAGGATGGACGGCGTTGAATGGGGTTAGGGCATCGACAAACTTGACTCCGACCCGCGTGGGCCCAGTGAGCAGGAAGATATGACCCCAGTTGAGAGCATAGCGAGCGTCCATCAGGCCATCTACGAATCTTTTGATCATGATAGCGGTGATGTAGACCTGAGCGTCCAGATCTTCAGGCAATTCCCCAGTTATGAAACTTAGGGTCGCAGGGTTTGGCCGAGCATCGATTAGCAACGGGGGATGATTTGGTCCGAGAGTAAGTGAAAGCCTGGCTGCAACGAGAGACATGTTATCAAGCCTGGACTTGATCAGATCCACGGCTCGGTCATAGTCCGCCTTTGGCACGTCTTTCGAAAACTTGGAAAGATTGACATGCTTGTCAAGATCGGCTACTTTTCCCTTGATCTTTAGCGAAACAGACTGCGTCTCCGTAGATGTTTGGGTTGCCATGGTAGGTTATGTAACTGTGAGCTGATGAAGTTTAGAGGTGAGGGCCCGGGAATGAAATACCTCTTATCTGAAACGCCGACGCAAAGGGAAGTCAGATCCTCTCACAAGGCTCATTCAGCCTTTCGGTCTTCTTTTTGATCCGAAAACCCCTCTGCAGCAACAAAATCCTCATTGAGTAAGCCTCGGGATCACTGTGGTTCTAGACCTCTGCGTCCCATCGGATCTATTCCGACCCTTGAATCTGGTCTCCGCATTCTTGCTCTTCAAGAACCGAGGACGAGCAACCTGGGGAAGAAGAGACCCTGCAGGACTCTGGCGATGCTGCTATTTCGGTTCTTGGCTACCGACAGTTTGTTACTTGGGCGAACATTATATTGCAACTATAGCAACGTATTAAGGAAGCCTTGTAATGCTGCACGGTACTGTCTTAGTTTGGACGTTTCAACTTTGGATCTCAGCCTTCGGAAACTGCCTGCCGAGATAATTGTACGAAGTATTGCCCGTCCTCGCAATATTGGCATTATAACCCAACCCCAACCATTCCTTCATTTCTTCACTCAGCGTCTCCTGTAGTTCATGGGGCAATTTTGCCGTCCAGTTAACTTGTTGTCGAAGGAAAGGCTTGGTGTAATATCCAAACATCAATGCCCGGTCGTTATCTTTTGTAATGTTGGCACCGGAGGTGTGCCAGACTCGGCCATCCATCAAGATGATGCTCCCTGCTTTCGCCTCAAAGGGTTGGAGCAACTTGTCGGCGTCTGATGGAATGTCCTGCCGCGACTCGTACTTGTTCGATCCCGGTATATACAGGGTTGCGCCGTTATCACCATACACGTCAGTCAGACACCAGATAACGTTGAGTGCCCAAACTTCCTTCCATGGTTCTGGCACTACGATGCTTTGATCGCTGTGAAGCGCCATAGATTGACTGCCAGGTCTAGCAATGTTCGCCGTGAAATTCGAGATCAAGAAATTGTCTCCAAGGACCGATTTCACCATATCGATTGCCACTGGGTGCACAATGAGGTCTCGAAAGATCTGGTCCAGTTCAAGCAGATAGAAGACTCGAACATTGGCTTGATTGGGATCGAGGCGAGGAATGTATGTCGCGTCTCCACGACTTTCGCCAGCCTCTTTGGCTTTCCATAACCTGGCAAGCACCTTCTCTGTTTCTTCCTTGCTCAGAACATTGGAGATGACGGCCCAGCCTTCTGCGCGCAGATGGTCTCGCGCCGTCCTGTATAATTCTTCACGAGATGACGGTCCGTTGGCGTCCGCCATGGCTGCTTGAGGATCTGTTTTAGTGTCTTGAAATGCGAAGTGTTTGTCAGTCGTGTGAATTACATTTAATGGGCCAGACCCTGGCCATCGCCTCGGATAACTAAAAGCAGAGAAGTGGAGATGCACGATCTTTTTGCTTCGTATTTTTCCATCATCCCCGACAGAGAGTGTGTGGGGGATGGTCGAAGTTCCGGCTATGACCTAAGATTTAACCTTTTCGAACGTGATTCCAAATTGTTGGGTTAGAACCAGATTCCAAGGAAGACACATGCGTGTTGAACTAGAGGTTGGGAAATTACGTGATCCAGCCCAGCCACCCCGTATTGTCTATATAGTCTACCGTAGTCCCCGTGTTGGGGAACAGGGGACAACCTTTGATCAATTCACAGTGTGATCCAGTTTTGCCCATGCTCTAACCCGAAATATAGACGGATTCACGGCGTGGCTGCTCGCCGTGTTCACTGGGTTGCCTCAAGGGGTCCTTTCGATAGATAATTGGCTCAATGTTATAGCAAGCGCTTACGGCTGATCTCCTCATACGATCCTTTGTTCCTGGCGGATGCTGTCTCGGGGATCTCGCGTGAGAGCATCGCACTCGTCTTGGCTATACATAACTGTTGACCATGGAAACTTACTTTTTGTCGACGCGATAGCCACGAAAGTCAAAATGGTCAACGACGGGACATCCTCGGCTCTGGTTGCCGATATCCTGGTGCTGGTGAAAAACAACGTTGTTTTATTCCTTGTGCTTTTAGTTCTTTCACGCTGCATCTATCATCGCTACTTCCACCCACTTTCCAAATACCCCGGCCCGTTGGCGTGCTCCTGTACTCGTCTTTGGAAAGCATGGAGTGTGTACAACGGTCACACGGAACTTGACTTTATCGACTTGCACAGAAAATATGGAAGTATTGTGCGGGTTGCGCCCAATGAGCTTTCCTTCGCATCACCAAAAGCCGCGCACGATATTCTTGCCCCTGGAAATGGCTTCACGAAGACCGAATTCTACAAAGCCTTTCCCCCGAAACATGCACCAGATATCTTCACAGAGACCCGGGAATGGAAACATGCCGCTATGAAACGTGTGGCTGTGGTCCCGTATAGCCTAGCCAGCGTGCAGAAGATGAGCCCATGGATCGAAGACGTGCAAAATGAATTTATTGCTAAAATCGGCGAGTATGCGGACTCCGGGAGAGTTTGTGATCTGGGTGACCTGCTCCATTATTTTGCCTTTGATGTGAGTAGACCTCCTTTCCGAAGAGGTATGACTGATATTTTGCAGGTAATCGGAGAGTTTGCATTTTCACAGCGCTACGGTTTTGTGGCACAAGAGAGAGACATCGGAGGTACCATTAAATTAATTGATAACGTGCAATGGTATGACGGCATCGTCGGCCAGGTCCCTGAGCTACGACATGTGCTACGAGAAAGCCCCGTGTTCCAATATCTCTTGACATTGTTGAGTCCTCCGCAGGTCACTCAAATGGCTTTGGGTGAAATTGCGAAAAGAAAAAAGAACAAGACTGATGGATTCTTCCTCGAGCCTGAACGGCGAGATCTGCTGGGCCAACTGATGGAAGGCAGTGCTAGAGACCCAGGGAAATTCTCGGAGATGGATGTCTTCTCCGTCGCTCATGGTGCGATGTAAGTAATCCTCGCAAGGCTATATTTTCATCTAACATTCTTGACAGAGGTGCTGGTGCTGATTCTACTGCGTCTACAATGCAATCATTCTTTCATTTCATCCTATCCAATCCGGAAATACATCGCAAACTGAGCGAAGAGATTCGTGGAGCCCATCTATCGCCCAATGTCACATGGGCAGAAGCACAAGATTTGCCGTATTTCCAGGCGTGTCTGTTGGAGGCCATGCGATTGAGGCCAGCCGTTGGACTGAGCATTCCTCGATACGTTCCAAAGGGAGGTGCGATGATTGACGGCACGAACTACCCAGGAGGAATCGTGGCATCAATAAACGGCTGGGCAGTTCATCGTGATGCTCTTTTCGGCGACAACGTCGACCAGTTTCGGCCCGAAAGATGGCTTTCCGGCGATGTCAGGGATATGAAGAAGCATATGTATCAGGTAAGACATCCATTCCAAGACTACAATCCTTGCAGGCGGCAAGTAACATTAGTATTTTAGTTTGGGGGCGGCGGACATCTTTGCATTGGACGGAACCTCGCACAATTTGAGATGAACAAAATCATTCCACAACTTCTGGAGAACTTTGATTTTGAGCTTGTGTATCCTGGAAGGCCGGTGAAGTCCCACTCAACGTTCTTTGTGGTCCAGAGCGGTCTGGAGGTCTTTGTTAGGCGGAGAAAATAGGCATAGCTAGTGGGTTAAACCGGAGATAGACGGATTTTTGGCTCTGCTTTACGAGTAAACAACCAGGCAGTCGCCAGCCAATAAGTTCTGGGGGCGGATCGAGCCCAGGCTGACCGATGCCAGTCGCAGCATCCTTTCCGCATCGTTTGGGATAGCCGGATATCCTCGGCCTCTCCGCATTCTAAACCTAGCTCTCTGGAGCATTAAAAGCAAATGATGGATTTCTGCTTGACCAGTAACTGGATTTTCTGAGTCGTGAAAGACATAGTGACTTTGGTTAATCCCTCTTCGTCGAACAAAAATGGGCTCCCTTGGTGTCGATTACACTCGCTATCAAGACATCCCCGAAACAAAGGCCGACTTAGCCTGGGCAGACCTCATCACAATCGACCTTTCGCGATACGACGAGCCTGGGGGGAAACGGGCGCTGGCCGCTCAACTAAAGCACGCCATCTCCACAGTAGGGTTCTTTTACGTGACGAACTTCGGCCTCTCGGAGGAAGAGGTGAACGAACAATTCGCACTGGCCAAGGCCATATTTGACCTCCCAGATGAAGAGAAGCAGAAGTGTCGAGTTGGCAAGGACGGCCTCGGGTTCTTTGGATGGAAGCCAAGGGGCAGCAGAAAGCAGCAGCACGGGCTCGTCGACAATCTCGAGCTCTACGATGACCCCAAATGGTGCGACTCCTACAGGGGCCTGCCGCGCCCGGCGCCGCTCGTCAGGGAAGCCTCAAAGGCCGAAAAGTTCCAACGACACATGGCGTTTTACGTGCTCAGACGCCTCTTGATCCTGTGCGCAATCATAATGGAACTGGATGACGAAGAGGCACTGTGGAAGCTGCACAACTATGATGCAAGATCCCAATGTCACCTCCGCTACATGCTTTACCATCCACGGACGAGGGAAGAGCTGGATATCATGAGGAAACACAACGTCGAGCACAACGTCTACGGCCACACGGATTTCGGTTCCCTCACGCTTTTGATGCGTCAGCCCGTCGCTGCATTGCAGGTCCGGCCCTATGGCGAAACTGAGTGGAAATGGGTGAAGCCGCTCAAGGGGAGCATCACCGTGAATGTCGCAGACACGCTTTCATTTCTCACGGGAGGGTATCTGGAGAGCTCAATACACAGAGTCGTCCTGCCCCCGGAGGACCAGAGAGATATTCCACGATACGGCGTGATCTATTTCGCAAACCCCGACGACGACATCCTACTGGAACCGGTCAAGAGTCCCCTCCTCGAAAGGGAGAAGGTCGAGGGCAATAACAACAGAGCTATGCCGCCGAACGGAGTTCGTGCCGCGGAATGGGTGAAGATACGGTTTGCGAGCATCGACGCGAACTACGCAAACAATAAGGATAACAAGGTCGTCGTGAAGAATGTCGAAGTGCCTAGTTACGCATGAGCGTCTCAGAGTTGTCGAGTCGAGGGACTGAAGTAATAGAGATCCTCTTGTCTAATTAATGGACCATGTATTTTGAGTCGAACTGTGTCACATATTTTCGAATCCGGGTGCATCCTACAACTCTTCAATCTCATCCACACTGCCTTCGGGGTCATCTGTCTGAGACTTCTGCTTGAACGCTGTTACCTTCTGACCGGAGCAGTAAATCAAGCGAACTGATCCACTCTCGAGAAGTGTACATTACGTGAACCCTCCACGTCCACGATCTCTTGCCTTCTTAAAACAACTTTCCTCGTGCTTGCTTTCCTCGGGTTCTTCGCTTCGAATACTTCGTCCAGTTCTTCGAGAGTCCTGCCCTTGGTCTCAACAAAGAAGAAATATATGAAGAGGAACTCGAAGCAATCCCAAAACACGAAAAAAACATAAAACCAGTACTTGATGTTCTTCAGAGCAACCGGCGCAGCAAAAGTGTTGACAAACGAAGCGAGACCAGCCGTGAATTGGAATAGCCACATTCCCTTGGCTCGCATTTCGTTCGACATGACCTCAGCAGGGTAGATAGGTTGCATACTGGTGTACGCGAACGCAAAGACCACACCAAAGATATAGATGAAGGCAATGCTCGCGTCAGATGAGCTTTTCGATCCGGTATTGACATAGCCAGCCGCAGTCCCGGCGGTAATAGATAGGCAGATGATCATGCCAAAGGTCGAGCCCAGCATCATTTTACGGCGACCGAAGACGTCGTGGAAGCGAGCTCCAGCAGCGGCGGCAATCCAACCAGTCAATGCATAAACTGCGTTGAGCAAGAGCACGGTGTTGGTATCCGTAACCCCGACGTTGGTAAGGAGAAGGGGCAGATAGTAAGAGATGACGCTGTTAAAGATCAGTAGGCGATCTCAGGCTCTGCAACTGATACTCACTTGTTTCCGGAGAACTGGCCAAACCAACTCCACGCGAGATTCAACATACTTCGATATCGTCTCGAGCGAGACTTGACCAGAATTCGAAGGTCAAAAAAATTGCTCCACGATGCCAGTGGAACATCGCGCAAATTGTGTTGGATTTCGTTGAGTTCAAGGTTGACGATGGGATGAGAAGCATCTCCATTTGCATGATATTTCACAACGAAATCTCGAGCTTCTTCAAGGCGATCGGTGGCAACCAAGAAACGAGGAGATTCTGGAAGAAACCAGACTGCGAAGCAAACGATTCCTGGGCAGAGGAGTTGAAGCCATAGAGGCAATCTCCAGTCTAGGTTGGATGTAAAATGAAGATGCGTCCCGTAGACAGCTGCAAGATTGTCAATGACCTCTCTCAGCCTCGACGCGAAACAGCTTACCAAAGGTGGCGATGATCGAACCCATATACCAGAGAGTATTGTATAAACCAGATACAGTACCACGGTACTAATCAAGGGATTAATGCATACGGTCTGTGGGTGGAGTCATCCTTACCAGAGGGGGAGCAATTTCGACGATATACATGGGTGCTGCAGTTGTCGCCCATGTGGAGAAGAATGACAGCAAGAAGCGGCCACCAATGAATATCGCCACTGAGAATGTCAGTGGGAGCTCAGATATTGTGGGATATGTTCACTTACATGTCTTAGCTGTGGCAGTGACGATTGTTCCGACTATCACACCTGCACAGCCGAGGAATATTGGCAGCTTTCTTCCTTTCCAGTCCGCCAACCAAACGAACAGAGCTCCAGTCATTTGGCCGACTTGGAAGATTGCGAAGACGATCCCAGTGCCTGCCTGTTCATTTTCCGACACGTTGTAGTAGTGGAGATAGTTGGGTAGAGCATTGATACTGCCCATGAGAGAGCCGTCGTAGCCTTTCACCTTGTTAGTTCGCTCCACACCAAGTTCGTGTACACAATACTAACCATTCATGGTGGAACAAAGATACACGACCAGACAGCAGCAGTAAAGGGCCACATGTCCACGTCCCCAGGGGTTAGGTGCATTCTGACCTAGGGCAGCTGCAAAGTCCGCATTGACGGCATTGATTTCCTGGTCTGTGACAGTCGCCTTTGAGTCTTCCACTTGATGGATTGTCTGCTTTTCCTACAACATTCGTAAGTCGCCGACTAACAATGGGAAAGGAGTATACTTGCATTGAGCGCCGCCATGGTGAAAGATGAACAGGACAGACTCGTCGTCTGAAACATACCTCTGAAAAGCCAGAATGACCTGCCGACTTATATTGTTTCTGAACGAAGACCAGGACTATCGACACCACAGGCAGTGAGGCAGTGGAGATCAGTTACCGTATTGGGCACGGACTGTCTGTTCCTCCGCTTCATTATAGGAAAAGCGTAGCCTGACCTCCGACAATTTTGTGAGGGGAAAAGACACCTCACCCCACGGGCAAGTGTTGATCTTTGGTTGCACGCGGCGAGTATGACGTTCGCTTAACCGTCTCTGGAGTGATGAAGGGTGTGAGGTTGCATGAGTAGTGGATATGGTTTGCCCCGGTCCTCTCCTTCATTTGTGGAAATTGTGTGGTCATGCTGCATGTCGGTCGAGGCAGGGCATTGGAAATCAACAAGTAGGAAGTCGTACATGACAGTGAAAGTCTGCGTTCCGTGGATTGTTTACTTACCTTTATTGATACCATGGTTAAGGCCACAAGTTGAACTGAAGTCGCTTGTGGCGCGACGTCGTCTGCCGTCCACTTGACTTGATACAACAGGGATTGTCCACCTATTTGCATGACGAAATTGAGTCTAGTGGCAAGTTCTCTCACTTCAGAAGCCTAAAATTGCAGGCTTTCGCCGTATTACCATGCACCGTGCAGCAACGGGACCGTGTCAGCGTCTGCATGCGCAGCCCGACTTGTTTTCTCTTCGGTTATCACAAAGCTAGATAGGCTGAGAAGTCGTAGGCAGATTTCGCCGTCAATGTGCGGTTTGCAATAGCTTGAAACCTTGCATAGTCCAGCCCATCAAGCTGCACCTGTCTGGAGTCAGTCAACCTAGATGGCATGTGTTTTGTCTCGGACGTACCTCAAACACAGCATTGCTGCGATCCGAACCACAATAGCAGCTCTTCATCGGACCTGGAACGAGTTCCCAATACACCCAACTGAGGCCAAGTTCCACAAATTTCTCGAAATTCCAAGCAAGATTGTTTTCCCGTACAGATGCAACCACTCACCACTCTTCTACAAACAGCTTTTTGTCGTATTGAGCAGCAAGAGCGGTAGCATTTGGCACCCACTGAGTCCAGTCACCATCGTAGCCATGTAAAGCGATCCAATCGATCTCGGGACAGGTAAACAGCCACGGTCTCCAGCTCCAGTTTTGGTAAATATTCCCGCTACCTCCAGCACCTCCGGTCGACACAGCGATGGGAGCAGAGCCGATATACTTTTTGACCTGCTTTGCGCGACCATAGAACCATGTTGGGCCCACACTGTCAAGCTGGGTGATGGCCTGAATCATCGGTTCGTTCTCGATATCGAATGCGGCTATTGCTTCTGTCAGCTGTGCCCGGGGCTTTCCAAAGTTTGGTGACTGATAGTTCATGATGTGAGCAATTCTGTTGTCGAAGGCGGCCACTGCCGTGGGATCTGTGTAGAACGAATTTCCAAGAGTAATGGGTGTTCCAGAGGCAGGGCCAAATCCCCCAAATTCGGTGCAATAGGCGTCACAAGCGTTTTGGCCAAATGCATTGCCATCATGGATGGATACGATAAATTTGATACCGCGAGTGTGGCCTTCCATGAAGAGATCATCAATGGCATCAAGGACAGTATCGTTAAAAATGCCCACTGTTTCTTCAAGGTTGGAAATGGTTACTGTGATGTTTGTGCCTTTGTAAGTTCCAGGAGATATGCCGTTGATCCAGATCCTAACAATACGCGCTCCATCCCGTTGCAAGCCATCGAGCCACACAGTTCGAGTAGCTTTGTCGAGCCCTGAATCAATGAGCGACGGCCAATTCCTCTGTTTACCTTAACCGACCATGGGCATAATAACTTGAAGTTCCCCAAAACATGTCGTCGCTGCCATTCGCTGAATTTGGCTGAGAGGAGCAAAGAGCGGACAAAGGGCTCAAAGCGAGCAAGGCGAGGGATATTAAACTGGCCATGGTGAAGTCGTGTTGACCACCCTTATTCGACTAGAGCATCTGAGGGACGGCGAATGTAGCTTCCAGAGGATGCTATCGATTGATATTGCTGCAGTCCTATTCCAACTCGGTAATGATCCTCATTTCCTGCTCCTTGTAATTATCTCCACAAAGTTCGTTCTTTCCCACATGATCCTGACTTACGAGCCGGGATGCCTGTGGGATCTGGTGACACGGCTGGCCGTCGCCTGCTCCATGGCGCTGATGCCAGAAATGGCTTGAATTAACGATAGTGCGAACCAGCCAGGCCTCCATTTCAAGCTTGAGCTATGAGGGTGCGTCATTCCAGGACATGCGATGTCGACCTGAGATTGTGGAGAGAGGACGTCTCTGATAGCCATCAAGCACCATTCCGAAAAGGACACGGGCCCAAAGTCACCGCTCCAGGAAAGGCAATTGGACTCCAGGAATTGGTAATATTTGCACGGTGTCGCTTGATTCGGATATCGGCAACGGGAAATGGATTTTGGTGGTAGTACGGGGCATGGGGAATACCGAATACAAAACTGCGGTTGTGCTTCCCTTTGTTCTCTGTAAATTGTGGCTTGCACTTCATGGCTCCTATGAAACATCGTTGTACGTTTGCGCACAGAGGCATGCTCTATGCTTCCAGCCGGATTCAAAAATAAGTGGCACAGTCAAGCACAGTCTGACAAAGTAGAGTACATTAATGCACTATTAGATCGAAGGTACCCTTCATCCACAACAAATATACTGTTTACCTTTCGTGATAGCGGTACTCCGTCTTTCATTCTACGGTGTTAGTTATATTCTGTGTAGCGGCTGCTTCGACATTATTGAGTAGTCTTGAAATATATATTTCGTGTTAGATTGTGCTACTTAATTTTGAATAAATCCCTTCCGCCTATGTGACTATCGTAGAGCAGTATCAAAGTCCGACCACTTTCTTCATCTCAACACCGTTTGTCCCTTCCGAGGTCGAGGACATCGAACAGCGATGGCGCGAGCGGCCAGAAAATTACCCGGCGGGAAAGCGGGTATTCCCTACCGCTTCGGATACCGTTGACGGCGGAATAAAGTCTCCCAAATTTATCAAACACAACTCTCTGGGCCAGATAAATTGGCTCGGTAGGTCGAAGATGACTCTAGCAGAGGTTTGAACCTGACTCTACTCACGACATAACTAGAATGCTTGACAAGTTGAAGCCTGAGCCTATCTTCATTTTCTGTGGACTGGGTTGATTTCAGAACATCACAGAGGAGTGGAAGGACCTCGATAAGTCAATGTGTATATTCCGCCTCTGGAAATCATCGGCTTCCGAGAACAACGCACCAACTGCGCGCCATAGCCGATAGAAACGTCCAAGGCTTTGTTCGCGTAAACTCTACACCGACATCTTCGTCCTTCCGTCAACTGGACAAATTACGAGCACCTATTCGATTTGTCCGCACAACCCCATGGGGACGTATTCTGGGGCTCCTCGTTCCGCCGCTTCCACTTCCAAGATATAAGAAGCCCTTCCTGCGCCTTCGTCAAGACAGATTCCAAGATTCCATTCTGCTTACTGAGAGATCACGTTTGAGTGGACAGGCCGCCCAGCTCTCTGATTTATCATGCATTCTAAGGTCATTGAGACATCCTTGGGTGTGGAGAAGGCTCACGATGAGCTGATCGATGACGAAGTCGCCGTCGAAAAGCTTGCAGCTTCAAAGACGTACGATTACTCGGGAGCAGCAGGCAAGACCGATCCTGCGGAAATTGCCCTGGTGAGGAAGCTTGACTGGCGGATCATGCCTATGCTTTGGGCAATGTATTTCATGAACTATGTGAGTAAACCTCCAGCGCAGTGCGCGCTCAGCTAACGTTTTGTGAAGCTGGATAAACAGGCAATTGCCTCAGCACGTCTCAACAAGTTAGAAGATGATATCGGCCTCACGGGTTCTGAATACAATACCTGCATTTCAATTCTCTTCGTTGGGTAAAACAGTGATTCGAGCTTTGGTGGTCAATTTTGCTGATTTGACCATAGATACCTGTTGATGCAGTTGCCCTCCAACATGCTCATGGCATCTAAACGGGTTCGACCATCGATCTACATGGGCTGTTGCATGGCTGTGTGGGCTGTGTGCTCGGCATGTACCGCTTTGGTGCAGAATTATCGTGGACTCGTGATCGCTCGCTTTTTTCTGGGAGTCGCTGAAGCACCTTGTGAGCTTTTCACCAATGAATTGAGGCACCATGCTGACCTTCACAGTCTACCCTGGTGCCCTATTCCTCCTGTCAATCTTCTACACACGAAAAGAGATCGCCACTCGTATTGCAATTCTGTATTCAGCCAACATTCTCTCCACCGCATTTTCTGGATTGATTGCGGCTGCCATATTTTCTACAATCGACGGGGCGCATGGAGTCGAAGGCTGGAGATGGTGAGATTCCCGAAACATCTGTTGCAACATTCACTAACTGGTGGATGAGGCTCTTCATCATTGAAGGAGTCGTCACGTTTGGCATTGCGCTGCTGTCCATGTGGGCCTTGCCCGACCATCCCTCTTCGACACGGTGGCTTTCGGAGGGAGAAATGGCAACAGCACAAGAGAGAATTGCCCGGGATACTGTTGAGAGAACAGAATCTCAAAGCTCTTTTCAGAATTTGAAAGTCGCATTTTCAGACCCGCGACTCTATCTTTTGGCTTTGATGCAAAACCTCCATCTCTCTGCCGCCGGCTTCAACAACTTCTTCCCTACAGTCGTCGGTACTCTCGGATTTGATCGCACAATCACGCTAGTTCTCACATGTCCGCCATTCGTATTCGCAGCAGTCTTTGGACCACTTCTTGCCCTCAGTTCCGGAAGATTCAATGAGCGGACATGGCACATCACTGCTGGAATGGCAATGGGGCTAGCGGGTTTTGTCATAGCAGCAGCGACTCTTAACACGGCTGCTCGGTATCTGGCCTGCTTCCTGTTCTCGGCTGGTGTTTATTCCGTCAATTCTTGCATCCTGGGATGGGTATCGGCGACGCTCGGACAAACGGCAGAAAAGAAAGCAATTTCCTTGTCGTTCGTCAACATTATGGCCAATGCATCTTATATCTACACTCCATACTTGTACCCGAGTTCTGATGGTCCGCGATACCTACCAGCCATGGGCGCCAATGCAGGCTTCGCGGCGGGGACCGTCATTTGTGCGTGGGGACTGAAAATCTGGCTAATGGCAGAAAACAAGCAATTGAGAGCTAATTTTGGTGATGGTGGACTTGCCTATGCCTACTGAAGCCGATTTTATGCGAGGACAGTGATGTCTCCCATAATGAGAGCTCATTATGTGTCAGTTTCGCCTGTTGATATCTCGTCCTCGCCTGTCAGTGGCACCAATTTGGTGCCTCTTTGCAGAATGGGAGGTAACTGGGCTCCGGGACGACCGAGTCTGACACGTGATGCCTCTTGGCTGCGTACGTAAAGATAACCAGGAATCTCAAGCTATTTCTCTAAGAATATGATAACGAAAGCGTGATAATTGAAAACACTCCACCTTCTTGGGCGGGAAATGGCTGGTTCTAGGTTGTTCAATGGCTGTGGCTTATAAGCCGATGTTCCGAAATTCTACCGTCGACAGTCCAAAGTTCATACGACCAAAAAATATATTCTAGATCTCCAATCCATTTCTATCCCTGTGCTTGAACTCCCCCCTGTGGTTGAATGGTAGACTTCCACTCGCCCGCGCACTATGTCGTCTAAGTCTATCGCTCCGATTGAAATAGGGTCGTTCACAGCCTCAACGCCTGAAAAGACGGAATTTATTGGCAGCGCAAGCGGAGTCTTTTTTGTCAACACCGTCTTTCGCGCCTTTGCTCGATCGGCTTACAGTTCCAAGGCGCTTTCTGTCCATGAGCAATCCACCCAGAATGACCCCGGATCGGTCGACAGCCGGCTTGTCGATCCAGAAACTCCCATGCAACCGGACCATGAGGCCCTGGGAATGAGGATCCTTATCGAGAACGAAACTGGGCCGAACTCGTATGGCGTCAAAGGCCATGGACTAGGTGTTGCGCCAGAGCAAGAGCCAGCCAAGGGGCTCCTCGTTTTGTACCTGAAGAACTGGCATCCTCTTGTCCCATTTCTACATGGGCCGACTCTCTATGAAACAATTCGCGCATTGTACGAGACCGATGGGCCAAGGAAGCTTTCACTGAGAAGCCGTTTATGCCATGCCATCATTTGTCAATGCGTGTTCAACATCGCAGCCCTTGACCAGCCAGAAGGCACTCTTGCTCTGGAATCACGACTGGACTCACCAGCAAAATTGCTCTCGCTCCTGGGATATGTTGCGAGCAACCATGATAATCTTTCATTGCAGGCCTTGCTCGCCGCCCAGCTCTACCTTGTTGCGACCATGTCTCTCCGAGCCGCGTCGACAATAGGAGGTACTCTGACGCGTGTGATGTTTCACGCAGGTTTCCACCGATGTGCTTTCCGATATCCACAATTATCACCTCACGAGTGCGATCTGCGGAAGAGGATTTTCTGGAGTGGCTACGTGCTGGACCGCTACTTGAGTCAAGCACTTGGTCATCCTCTGGGTATTCAAGATTCTGACCTGGATGTTTGCATCCCAGGGATGGACGAACTTCATAAGCCGGTCAAATCGAGCCAGCAAGTGTCATGTGCCAGTCGGGAGCCCGCTGAGGGAGTCCTGGCTCACCTACCTCGTGGCCATCGCGGACGAGAGTCACGCCCGGAAGAAGCTACGGGCTCAGAACAGGCTGGCGGTCCTGCGACTGGTTCTGATTTGGAGTCATCGGATGAGAATTCGCCAAATGATGTCAACATTTCACAGCCATCCCATGGTTCCCAGATACTGGGTCACTATGTGCTCTATTGCCGGCTGACAGGCCAAGCACTCGAGATATTCCACATCTCGCTTCAGAACCGGACAATAAATACAGAACGAATGATGGAGCTTCAGTCCAATGTTCACGCGTGGTGGAACGGTCTTCCTCAGGAGCTACAGGATGAGTACACCGGAGATGAGGTAAAGCTTGCCTCAACCTTTACCTTCTTCTTTTCAATACTGTATAATCATCTTTTGCTTCTCAGCAACCGTCCATTCCTGTCTCTTTCGCCGAAGTCATTGGAATTCAAATCGAGTCTACAGACATGTATTGCGGCAAGCCGACAGATTATTACGACCTCGCGGCGTCGACACGAGCGGAGTTTGGTTGTATCGTGGCCTGGAATGCTGTCAGCGACATGGATGGCGGGCTTGGTTTTGGCATTCGCTTGCACTTTAAAACGATACCCATTCAGCAAAGCCCAAAGGTGAGCGGAGTCTGCGTACAGTTTGGAATATGAGCTGATTCAATGCAGGGAGATTCAGGAATCAATTCGTAGTCTCTCAGCAATGGCAAAGAGCTGGAATAACGCGAGACACTGTGCAGAGGCACTCCAGTCCCTCTTAGAGAATCTGACAAGCCAATATAACGGGAGGCTGAGGGGCCTGACCTCTCCTCCGTCGTCCTCTAGCGTGGGCGACCCAGGGACGGCAGTGCTAGCAGCGATCGGAGGACCAATAGAGCCAATTGCTCCGCAGCTCCCTTTAACTGAAATGAATGAACCTTCCAGGAAGAGGAAGAGGACCAGCCAGGGGCAACAACGACAGAACCGGCCACAAGGCGAGTCATCTGATGTAACAAATGGTCGCTCGAATCAATCTCAAACCATCAACCAAGAATTTGACGCCGACTCATACCAATTGCCGAGCCTGAACAGTGGAGCAATGCTCCCCATTCTTGAATACACAGGCCCGGATCTTGGCTTCAGCAATGGACAATATCCAACAATGGACGACTTTGAGTTCCTCGGTCTGCCGGTTTCGGATGATCTGTACCCAAACAATCCTGGTGCCTTTGGTAATATTGGCTGGGAGGCAATGGCCAATGGTTCCGGGAACATGCAAAGCTGGGCCGCTTGGGGCACCCCGAAGTTCTGAGCGAAAGATGATTTGCACTCTGTCATCTGATGACCCTCCGGCCCTGTTGTCTAGCTTGATCACATCCTCTCACCAGAGAAAAGTCTCTTGAAACTCTTTGGAGAACGAAAACTTACTGACTACGGATCCCCGCTCGGCTGTGGAGGCGGATGGTCGTCGATTTTGTGCATCCGTCATCTGGGGCGCAACAGAAGAGGCATCAGTAAAGTTTTTGGAATTTGGCACCCTCGCCACGGATACCTGGGCCATCTCTTCGTCCATTGGAGAAGGTGGACGTTGATCTTGCGCTTCATCCGGACTGTTTGTCAGGTGCGATTGCTGTTCTTGATTCTGCTCCAAGCTGGTCATCTCCATTAAAGGCGGACTTTCAATTTGTTCCTTCCACACAAGTACATCTTCGATGGTATATAGAGGAAACTGTTCCCAGAATGCGATGGCAGATTTCTTCTCCTCGGTGGTGCCCAGAGTCCCGACAGAGAGATGTTGTGGTATTCGATCTTGTACTTCGGGAGAAAAGGCTGCTGTCAGGCTATCTTGTGGGCAAGCCGAGAGAATTCGCCAGAGCACACGTTCGGTCTCCTTCAGTCGGATCTCAAGGGCTTCGATGTATCCTTTCGCAGGACCTCTATCGCCCGTGGGAAGTCAGCAGGGCCATTGTCCGCCACAACTCCCAACATCACGGCCATGCCGGAGTTACTGACCTCTTCTGGCTTCTCGGCCATGAGCAGGTCTGGACAAGACTTCTACAGCGGCTGCAAACGGGTCTTGATGTCGTCAGTGGCACGAGCAGCAGGAATTTATGGTAGCAACACACCTGTTGCCATCACACTAGAAAGTTTCGTCAATAATGATTGCAAGGAATCACCCATAAACGCACTGGACACGTCACAAAAGCCGACGACTGACCTTCTGTTTCCTTGCCCTACAGGCATAGCAAGCCGAGCGGCTCCTGGAGCCCGAAGCACTTTCGGAAGAGGTCTTGGGCTGAGGCATCGGCTAGCGCTGCGAAAAGGCCACAAGCGATCTTCTCGGGACTGGGGTTGGCGTTAAGCAGGTTACCTTGCTTTGAACGACCGGCGTCGGCATAAAATTGTTCTTCTGGTGTGGTTCATTTAACAGTTCCAAGGCCGCCAGGTGTGATTAGTCAAGTGCTGATTGAGTTGCGGTCAGAAAATTTGCCGATCGGACAATCTTTTTACCGTGCCGCTGGTTCAGGGGCGGGAATGAAGACAGGCATTCTGATATATGCCCTGGAGGATGTGAGAGGTCAAGCAGAGTATTGTCACCAGACTGTTTTCAGACACCAGCAGATTGCTTGATCATGTTCGACGACTTCGAGACATTCGATATCATCACACAGACATCTCCCGAGGTGACGATTCATGGTGTTAGGAGCAAAGACGGTGGCCTCAACCTCCCACCTCTCCTTCTTCTGCATGGTTTCCCACAGACTCACCATATCTGGGACGCTGTGGCTCGTCGGCTGCGCTCCCAGTTCGAGATTATTGCCCTCGACCTCCGCGGATATGGAGAGTCGTCTACACCCGCGGAGCTGGCAAGTTACGCAAAAAGCGCAATGGCACAAGATTGCGTCAAGGTGATGGAGGAGCTCGGATTTGATTCCTTCTTCATCTGTGCACATGATAGAGGGGCAAGAGTGGCGCATAAGTTGTGCGTTGACTATCCGCACAGAGTGAGAAAGGCAATTTTTCTGGACATATGTCCCACCCTGGCGATGTATGCATCAACAAACTTCGAATTTGCGAGATCTTACTTTCATTGGTTCTTCCTGATTCAGAAAGGACCATTTCCAGAAACCATGATATCTCAAAATCCCAGACGATTTGCAGAGTTGTTCATGGGTGGAAGACAAGCCAGTGGGCTGGGCATCTTCAAGCCGGAATGTTTCGATTATTATGTCCACAATTTAGGAGATCCGGCAATAGTGCATGCCATGTGCCAGGATTATCGAGCAAGTGCTTCCTTGGACATGGATGAGGCAAGGGAAGACCTCAAAAACAACAGACTCATTCAATGTCCGTTAATGGTGCTTTGGGGTCGTCATGGCGTCATTGAAAAATGTTTTGATGCAGTGTCTGCGTGGAAAATGGTCACAGCTGCAAATGTCTCTATCGAAGGGCACAGTATTGACTCGGGCCATTACATTCCGGAGCAAGCTCCCGACGAAGTTGTGAGGACAATCGAGAAGTTCTTCTTGTGAGCTCTCAGCAAACGATGCTGGCAAGTACGATCGCGCGCAGCCAGGAACGAACTGCTTTGCCCCTCAAGTTTGAAGAGATGAATCTCCACAAGTCCGAGACGATTGGAGTAAAGATGTTGCTTTTGACTCTGGAACTTCGGACGGCAGCTGAGCTCCAACTATGTTGGATGCACAGGTCGTGGGTCTGCCCTCCCACTTTCTGGACTCTCGATGGCTTTTGTCGCAAAATCTGACGGTATCAAGCCGGTTGAACCTCAAAATATATCTTGGAGTTTCCGGTTCGTAGCGTTCCTCGCAATACCTTTCTGCTTCGGTGATATGATCACAACTCTTCACACTGGAGCGGCCTCGATTTGTAGCGGCATAACTGTATTGCTAAGAGGGGAAATCCTGAGTGAAGCTTCCACAAAATGCATATCCTTCGGGATTGTACCTAAAAGCTTGAAGCTATGAAAACTTCATCGAAGGTTGTGCAGAAAGGCGGAATGCTGAAATTTATCTTGTCATTTGCGCCTCGCTCACGCCAGGCTGTAGTTTATTGTCGACGGATACATTCGTATCACTCGACGGCTGAAATCTGCTCTACACAATGCAAAAGTGTCCTCGAAGAACGACGCCATCGAGGAGTCTGTGCGGGAATGGCTGGATTCTTTCGACACAGCCTGCTTCAGGACCTTAAATAACCTCAAGCGCCTCTCCCTGCTGGAGACATGCTGGGCAACTTCGGCAAGCAGCCGGCGCGAGTTGACCCTCGGATGGATAGCACGACTAGACGAGACACAGGTAATCATTCTCCGCAGGAACAGCCGCCGGATGACTCTGGGACCTCCACGACCCTCCCCCGCCTTTTGCACGTCGACCGGCCTCCTCTCATTGCCCAATGGCAACGCCATGTGCAGTGTTCGAGGCGGATGTGGCGCGGACAAAGGCGGAGTAGCGACGCTCTATCTCAACTCGCCAGAATTTCCCATTGGACAAGCGGCATCTTCCTGCCTCCTTCAACGCAGCTTGCTCAAAACAAATCTTTAGATCGAGATTGGCTGCAGCGGGGGGATGCCGGCCGGTCGAGGCCCGGGCGAGGTTTGACGTGAGAGGGTATCAAGATGGTATATACGAAGGGATAGTCACCCCAGCATATGTAGCTGGTACTTCACCGCCTCGTTGGCATCAAGGAGGGCTTACCTCGAAAGATAATTGAACTCACAATCCCTTTGTTACAAAATAAACTTTGGAAAGTATAGAAGACATATCATTGATGCTCGTTTCCCATCATGGGCCTACTCGGCTCGGAAGTCGCTATACGCCTTTCGGTGGTCCTTTTCCCGGCTCTCATTATCTATTGGCTCCTCTATCCGTGGTACTTTTCGCCCTTGCGGAAAATCCCAGGTCCTTGGTACGCGGTCTACACAAAATGGTGGCTCGTCTACAAAACCTGGCGGGGAGTCCGTGCAAAGACCATTCACGATCTTCATCTCAAGTACGGCCCCTGGGTCCGTGTCGCACCGGACGAGATATCGACTTCGGACAGCAAGGCGATAGCGCCCATCTATGGCGTCAACTCCGAGTTCACCAAGACGGCATTCTACACGTACCAGCTGCGCGGCATACCTGAGCTCTTTACCATGTCAGACCGCAAGGCCCATGCCAAACGACGGCGCGAGTTGGCTCACCTGTTTTCCATGTCCACGATCACCGAGTACGAGGACATCATCGCAGGGAACGTCCTCGAATGTATGGACCTCATTGCTGCAGAAGGGAAGGCCGGCAAGGCCAGTAACCTCTACGACTGGTGGCATTATCTGTCCATGGACATCATCTGCGAACTCTCCTTCGGATTAGGGTTTGATATGCTTCACAAAGGAGCGGTCAATCCGTACATCCAGGACATGTACGGATCACTCACGATCGAGCCCATCCGGTGGCATTTTGGGTGGTTGAACCGATACGCAAGCTGGGCGCCGTTCAAAATTGTCCGGGACGCCGAGGCCTGTAGCGTCCGGGGCTTTGAAAGAGGCACCAAGATTGTGCAAGAATATAAACAGAAAGAGGACAAAGGCCAACGCAAAGATCTGCTGCAGAAGATGATTAACGCGAGAGATGAAAATGACCAACCTCTCCCAGAAAACGACTTGAACATCCAATCCACCAGTTTCATCCTCGCGGGCTCCCATACCACCTCTTCGTCACTGACCTGGATTGTCTGGCGCATCCTTTCGGACCCTGGTATCTATCGAAAGTTGAACGAGGAGCTCGACGAGGCTCTAGGGACCGAGGATCGTCGCGCTGTTCCTCCACATTCCAAGCTCGACGGGCTCGCTTACCTCAATTGCATCATCAAAGAAGGTCTACGGATTGACACCTCAGTGCCAGGCTCGACGCCTCGATACGTCCCTCCCGAGGGCGCGGTGCTTGGCGGCTACAACCTGCCCGGAGGCACCATCGTCTCGATCCAAGCATACACCACGCACCGACAACCCGACGTCTTTCCAGACCCCGACAGATTCTGGCCCGAGCGCTGGCCAGACGAGACACCGGAAATGCGACATCTCTACGTCCCCTTTGGGGCTGACGGCCCACGGAAATGCATCGGGATCCACCTGGCTTACATGGAGCTGCGCGTCATTCTTGCCGCATTGTTCCACCGGTTTGATCTTCGTTTCGCAGGACCGGTCTCGGACGAGAGCATGGACGTGCATGAGCTCTGGCTTGCCGCCCCGGCGGGACAGAACCTCAGCGTCATCGCCACGGAGAAGGAGTAGAAGGAAGATGGCAAGGATTGAATCTTTGGACAGCGAAAGTGGAATTTTTTTAAATGGGCGTTGGCGTTGGCGTTGACGTTGACTTGATTTAAATCGAAGCTCCAGATATGTCCGACGCTCTAAGAGGCTTACATCTGGGCGAGCAGGGAAGGTTTGGAAGGAACAAGTTATGAATAATCATCCGTGTCTCTTGGTATTTGACGTTGAAGGAATCGACGTCCAGAAGGACTTAGATGTAGGTTGTTGGCGTCGGCTTGTACGCAACACGCGCGTTCGCACAGGCACATATATATCAATACTGTTTGTACGGCGTCGTTGTCTTTGCTCTTTGCATGCCTTTTATTAGTTCTTTGGAAAGCGTTGAGGAAAGTCCTCTTCCCCAGCCAAGCCGGTTGTCCGCGCAAGGATATATCGAAATCGTCAGGGACGTTCGTATTCGAGGAGGAACGTTGCTCCGAAGTTTCGGCCAATGTATTCTGGAAGGCTAGCCGTTTGGGCCGCCTAGCGAGTGACCAGGGGCCCACCAGCCCGAGCCAGTGAATGATTTGTACCTAGCTGGCCCTGGAAGGTGCGTCAGATCTGCCAAGGGCTACTTGTCCCCGAGTCTGGTGGGCTGGTGGGCTTAAAGCCGGGGGAGGAAGATGGCAGCCCACGAGACAGATCGGCCCACTGGCGCGCCACCCACGACTTCGGCTTCCTTCATTCCCTCAAATTCCCGCTTCGAACAATCGTCATTTATATATATCTCCATCTCCCTCAGACTGCGTATGTCGTTGAATCCCTTGCACTCTTTCGCACAATATCACAACCATGGCGTCGATGGTGTGGGAAAGGTTATGGCTACGCCTCAAGCCCATCGTGTGGCCGCGCTGGACATGGAGATACATTCTTTCCTGCTGTGTCGCCACCTACGTTGCCTACTGCACTCTTTTCTCTGCTCCAGCCTTGTCATCGAGGCTGCCGCCGTACACTGGTCCTTATTCCGTTGGAGCAATTGACGTCGAGGTCCCCGTCGAGACGCGGTCCATTCACAATGCAATATTCAGAGACGGTGGCCATCCGGCCTTCGAGTTAGAAACTGTCTTGTTCACTCTTTATTATCCCTCGGACAAGGACGCTGTTTCTTCCAAACCACATCATTTCTGGGTCCCGAAACCGCTTAGAGTGACCGGCAAGGGATATGCTCGGGTCGCTCGCATCAGCAATTTCGTCACTAATGCAATGCTCACGTTTGGGTTGTGGGCGCTGGTGGGAAGCACCAAAATCCCAGCACATGTCGATGTACCTCTCCATCAATCCCCAGTCGTGCTCCAGTTGCCAGATTTCCAAGACTACCCTGTCACACATGAAAATGGATTTCCGGTCATGGTCTTCTCGCATGGAATGGCCAGCTCTCGAACTCAGTACACCCAATATGTCGGGGAGTTGGCAAGTCGCGGTGTTGTTGTGGCTGCTATCGAGCACCGGGATGGCAGTGGACCCGGTACTGTGATCATGAAGCACGGCGCAAAACCTCGGGTTTTACATCATTTCGACGTCCGCCACTTGAAGTAAGTCCATCTGCTACAACATTCCTCGCACTACCTGACTGGCAGCAGAAGTGACTCTCAGTTGGACGGGGACCGATTTAAACAAGCTCAGCTCGATTTCCGGCAAGCTGAAGTCGAGGAGACTGTTCGAACGCTGGAGCACATCAACAGGGGTGGAGGTGACGAAGTTTTTGTGGCGAATGCCCGATCTGAAGGCGAATATCTGCATCAGTGGGAAGGACGGCTAGCCCTGAACAATACCACCATGGGAGGACATTCATTTGGAGCCACCCTTGCAGTAAGTTAGATCTCGACATCGCTGGCGCCTTTCCCCTCTCTCTAACATTGCACAGCTCCAGACATTGAGGCAAGGTCCTTCCAAACTTCTCCCGTTTCAAGGTGCAGTCGCTCTTGATCCGTAAGTCATGTCCGTCTACTCCCATAGCATCTCCTGACCGCCGGCAGGGGTAAACAAAGCGGCCCCCTCAACCACGATGTTCAAGTTCCGACACTGATCCTCCATTCAAATTCATGGTCGAAAAGCCATTCCATCTTCTTCGGTAGACCGCATTTCGACGTGGTCAAGGACGTCGTCCAAGGTGTCCTGAAGAGAGGAAAGGATGCATGGTTCCTTACATCCTGTACGTGAATTTCTTCTCCACCCCCTGACGTCCACCCAGGTAAGGAAGTCACTGACCCCTCTTGCAGTGGGCACATCCCATCCGTCAGTCACGGATGCACCGCTGATCGAGCCATGGCTGCTTCGGTGGACAACGGGCTCCACGATCGATGCGCACGAGGGCGTCAATCAATACGTCAAAGTATCAGAGAGATTCCTGAGGTATCAGAGCACGGGGACAAAGCGAGGGATTTTGTCAGAATGTGTCACGCATCCCGAGTACAATGTGGAAGACAAGAACAGGACGGACTTTGGGGAGCCCATGCTAGAGGCGTTCCGCAAATACTGGCAAATCCACGTCGCGCCGTGCGGTCCGGAGGACGGAGAGGTATAAAAACGCAATTGATTGATCTTGACTACATTCTAAATCGGCACTGGGAGGGTCTTTGTTACGAGTATCCTGTAACGATTAGGGTTGGGTTTTGTGACGAATGGACGAATGAATGGATATAATGGCCCGTGACTGACGACTGTAGTTCCTTGGTGAGCCGGAGTAATCGAAGTGGCGTGATTGTTCCCCCAGCCACATGTCAACAAACACAATCCAGTACAATGAAATGTCACGCGTTGAAGACCAATCCGATTGGCCTTGGTTATTCATGTAATAACGTGACTTGTTCTTCTCCTATCGTTCTCCCGCTCTTCAAGCTTTCTTCTATCCTTCACTCCAGAACATGTCACGTACAATATGGTTAATGAAGACCTACCAAGTCGCTGAACCATCTACTTGTGGTCTAAAACTACTTGCTAATTACAATTTACCCAACTCTTTCCGGTTCTTCACGGCCTGATCATACTCGGCGTCGATATCATCCGTCCAGACCCATCGCATCCGGCCAATCACGCGCCTGTGAATCTCTGGCACGCATTGGTCAAAAGGCAGGTCCTTCATTATATCCGCCTGGGCCTGATAGACCTCGACGGCATCTCTGGATGTCCGCTGAACCTTTTGTGCGCGCGGCAGGCGCACAGCTTGGTACACATCAGCCCAGGCCTCGAGGCTATCTTGCCGGGAAGATGAAGTGCGAAAGTGGTCCTGCAGTGCTCGACCCAGGATATATCCGTCCTCAATGGCTTGGCCTGCTCCGGCGCCTTTATGGCCTGTCAGCTCGTGCGGAATTAGATGGTGTTTCAAAAAAAAAAAACTGACCTTGGTGAGGAGTCATGGCATGAGCAGCATCTCCCAGTAGCACAACCTTGCCTCCTAGATACACCCATTGATCCAGCGGCTTTCGATCGTTTATCAGCCATTTTGAGGGCTGCTCTGGCATCAACTGGATGACCTTCTGGACTCTCTCCTCAAACCCCTTGAACGCCTCAAAGACGTCCTCTTTCTTGCCGACGGCTGTCCAGCTTTCCCTGAGATCGCCCAGATTCTCCTCCTTCTCGGCAACGAACGCGACGATGTTGAGCGTCTTGTTGCGCGAGATGGGGAAGCAGAGAAAGTGCCGGTTCTTTCCTAGCCATGTCACTGAATACGTTTCAAACCCCCACCAGTCCTCGATCTCGGATATGGGCACCAATCCACGGTAGGCGATCCTCCCACTGTAATCGGGATTGTCACTCGTGAATTGTGCTCTGACGGCAGAATGTATGCCGTCGCAGCCAACCACCAAATTGGCCGTGGCAGTTGTCCCATCCTCAAATCCGATCAAGACCTCATCTCCTTGCTCCTGTAAGGCTGTGTCAGCTTGCCAACCCACACGGTGTGGATGGGACCATACCGTGACTTTCCGACACCGTTTATTGGTATGGAGCCTGGCCGCGTTCTTCTGCTTCACAATGTCGACCAACAGGTCGAGAAACTCGGCTCGATGCACCGGCAACTGCTTGACGTCTTCCGTGTCTACCGACGGCACTGTCACGACATCCGTGCCGTCGTCGAATTTGCGAAACGTGATCCAGATGCCGCTCCGTTTCCCTGCAATTTTTGATATAGTATCCCCAATGCCGATTTTATGCAGCAACTTTGCAGCATTGACGCCGATGCCAACGCCGGCGCCTATCTCCTTGTACTCCGGAGCTTGCTCGTAGACATCTATGTCGACTGCTGAGCCACAATGATGATGGAGGGAGAGGGCAGCACATAGCCCACCGATCCCGCCACCTATCACGGCGACCCTTAGCGGAGAGCGGTTGATTGCCGAAGACATTCTCGGCGTGTAGCAGGTCCAGGATTCCTACTCAGGCGTCTGGACTATTATTGGACGATGGGCTCGTTTCTCAGAGGGTGCATAAAGTCTTGGGTTTCTTGCAGGCTCAGGGATCACCTCAAACAAGCGGCGGGCACATCTCCAAATATAGTCCGCCAGTCAGCCTTTATCGGCACAAGAGCCAAGCGATGATGAGACTGATGGAAGCCGTGCTCGTACCTCCTCGGGAACAGAGTTCTGGGGTTTGGCCGAGACACGAAGCTTCCAATGAAACAAGAGTTTCTTAAGCCTGTGGAGAAAAGCTTGTGCAGGATCCGGATACAGAACCATTTCTCCCCAAGCCAAAGGTATGTTTGGACTGCATATTTGTTGCCCTCACGCCCAGAAACTACCATCATGCAGGCCAAGGCGCCTTGTACGGCCTGCAATGTGCTTCTTCTCCTCATAACACCCCATCTCAATGTGCCGAACGACGCAGCTTCACTAGCAAAGAGGTCAGGAGGTCGAGAAACAAACCCACTTCCCCACACGACCCTGCCATGTCAAAACCCAGCATCTGTAAGCACACATACAACTACCGAGCACACAGATCTCCACTCCCTTTACCTGCCTAGGCAGGTGCAAGTCTTTGACCGACCCCAGCTCCATATCTTTACCATGGCTGGGGACGAGAGGTCGTTGCCTTCTCGCTCAACATTCTCAACCTTGGTCAATCGCTGAAATTAGCACTATTGTTGTTTTCTTGCAGTCATTTTCTCGACCAGAATTCCACATACGACGCCATGGCGTCTCTCCCGGGCAAGGCAGAGGTCGTGCATATGGAGCAGGACAAGTCGTCGTCTGAAGGAGCTGCTGTCGACATTGCCGAGGCCAAACGAATTGATGAGGGAGAAGGGGCATCAGATCTCAAGCTCGACAAGCGTGGCCTTCCCCTTGTACCGCAACCATCAGATCGCAGAGATGATCCGCTTGTACGTGAGGGCGCTCGCCGGGGGGGCGCGATGGAGCAAATCCTTCCTGGAACTTCTGCTGATTGATTCTAGAACTGGTCACCGATGCTCAAATTGTTCGTCCTGTTGCAAGTCAGCTGGCTCGCTTTTCTGGGACCTATGGCTGGCGCGATCGTCAACCCGGCCTTTGTGCCACTGAGCAAGCAGTTCGACATCACTGTGGTCCAGGCCTCGTATGAGCTTACTGTGTATATTGTCTCTGCAGGCGTAGGGCCCCTGTTCACGGTGCCACTGGCCAATGTGTACGGCCGAAGACCTGTCTACATTCTGGGCAATCTTCTGGCCGCCGTCACCAACATCGCTGCAGGGTATTGCAACACGTGGACCGGGATAATGGTAACGCGCGTGTTCAACGGCATCGGTGCCGGCTCTCCGGGCGCCATAGGAGCTGCGACAGTCTGCGACATGTACTATCTGCACGAGCGTGGATTTTACATGGGCATCTTCACATTCCTTCTCACTAACGGGCCTCATGCCGCCTCTTTGTTCGGCGGCTTTATCGCCCAGAGTCTGGGTTGGAGGTGGTGCTTTTTGATTCCAGTAAGTCCGTGAATATGGTGGCGGTCTTGCACAGCTTTTCTAATGGATTTTTTTTTTTCTTTTTCGTAAACAGGGTTATATCCAGCTCGGCACGTTCGTCTTGACGCTTTTCTGCCTGCCAGAAACAATCTACTCTCGCCGGTCCAGCACCAATAGCCGACGGGAACGATCTTTCAAGGACCTCCTCCTCTTCAGACATTCTGGCTTGCAGGACCGCAGGCTCCATTTCGGCGACTTCCTCCGGCCGTTTTACATGCTGAAGTACCTGTCGATTGTGATTCCGGGCCTCTACTACATGACGGCTTTCGGGTTCGGGTCGGTGCTGTTCGCTGCGACAGGGTCGAGCTTGTTCCGCACTGTATACCACTTCGACGTCGCGCAGACGGGAATGCTGCTTAGCATCCCACTCCTCATCGGCTGTTTGCTGGGCGAAATGAGCGCAGGCTGGCTCACGGATTACATGGTCTACCGATACGCCAAACACCACGGTGGTAGACGGGAGCCAGAACCACGCATCAACGCGGTGGTCCTGGCGGTCTTGTGTCCGATCGGAATCATCATCGACGGCATCTGTCTGTCGCATTTCAAGACCGTGCCGTGGGTGGGCGCGGCGTTTGGCATGGGCATTGCGAACTTTGGCCTCCAGATCGCGACGACAGTTACCTACAGCTACTGCACAGACGTATGTGACCACCCCAGTGCCAATACTCCGGGATAAAACGGCTGACATTTTATGCGAAACAGTGTTACAAGCCCCAGAGTTCCGAAATATCCAGCATCCTCAACGTGTTCCGCAACGTCTTCTCCATGACCATCTCATTCTACGCGTAAGTAACCTCTTCCCGGACCTTCCCTTATCCTCTCTATCTCGCACCTAAAGGCGGTATATATACTGACGCCCGCGACCTCATCCACAAAACACAGGATCCCATTCGGCGAGAAGATCCAGTATCAGTACGCATGGCTGACTTTTGCCTTGATCCACGTCACATTCCTGGTGCCGATGGTTCTGCTCCGGTTCAAAGGCACACAGTGGAGGAACAGTGCGTGGCAGAAGCCTCCGACTTTCCACAACGATATCTAGCCAGCCCCGATCTCTATATCGCTTGCTTGATTGCTTCATCCATCCCCTATCGAGACCGAAAGCAGAAACAGACGGCCTAGCCTTGTCATTCAACCTCTCGGGCTGGTCTTCCCCTTTTGCTGCTGTAATAGGTGGAAGACCATGGACTGTCTACCTGTCCCGCTGATGGTTACACACAGGGTTCCGGAGCAGAATAGAGCGAGAGAGTTAGAATAGCCAGAAGCCAATCAAACGGAAGTCTGAGGAATGAAAGGAACACTGGGCAGCCTTGCAGCCTTGCAGCCTCGGGGGCGCAGAGGAAAATAAAGGAAGTTCTCTAACAACGTGAAGCAAAAAAAAAAAACCTGTCAAGACTTGCCATCATGTAGACATTCCCCCCTTCCCCTCTTTTCGTCCTCCCCTGACAAGACCTGGAGCCACGTCCTGCAGCGATGGGTTTTGTCCACCTCGATCACGCTAGTCCTGCAACAGCTCCTTTCGCTGATTGACTGTGATTTGTTGTCTGAAAACTGGTTTGGAAACAGGCGCTGGGGCTGGGGCTCACTGGATAGAAACGAACTGAGGTGAGAGTACTAGGTAAATGTGTCTCGTTGATTGATTTGAGCGATAAGTCACCCGGCGCTGGCAGGACCCACGCCCGTCACACACTCTCCCACGTACATACCCACGTCTCACAATTTGATGCTCTTGACCAGGTTCGTCTTTATGCCTGTCGCCTCACCGCCGTAGCCGCCGCGGCCTTCGCCTCCTTTATACACGGCTCTCATGGATCCCAACTTCTTCATCTTCTCGTCGAACTTCTTCCTCTTCTTGACGCGTGGGTTGCGGACCTCCTTCTTCCTCTTTGGCGCTAGCCCTTTGTTCTTCTCGATCGCGTACGTGATCTTTCTCTTGCCGTCCGGCCCGACCTGTTCTTCTTCGTGGACCTGGGCGCCTTGTCTGGCGGCTTCGGCGTAGGCTTCGGCCCTGGCTCGCTTCTCTGCTTTCTTCTTCTTGGAGTTTGTGACTAGCATGTCGTAGTACTCGTTGGCCTCGTCATTGATTCTCCGGCCGGCCTCGAGATCCTCGTCATCGATATCATCAAGTGCCTCCCTCTCGTTGGCGGCTACCCTCCCCCTCTGCTCCGCCTCGCGCATCAAGCGCTCCTGCTTGTCTCGGATGCGCTCTTTGTAGGGTAGATCGTCATCGCCTCCGGCCTGTCGCGACGCTGCGCCTCGTTTGTTTGCTTTCTGCGCGATCTGTGAGGTGTAGAATCTCAGACTCTTCTTCCGTCGAGCCTTCTCGGCAGCTTCCTCCTGAGTCAAAGGAGCCTCGTCTCCAAAGTCAGACTCTTCTTCCGTCGCTTTCTGCATTGAAGACGCTAGGAGTTCTTGCAGCTCGTTTCTCTTTGACTTCTTAACCTTCTTCGATTTGGCGCTCACAACTGGAGGTTCCGGAGAGTGTGATTCTGGCAATGACAGCTTCGTTTTTGTCTTCTTTATGACAGATGGTCGAGAAACCTCCGGAGCTAGATTCTGTGGTTTTATAGTTGGCGGTTTGGTCTCCGGTATTTCAAGGGCATCCATCGGGCGAAGCAATTCAGCTTCTTCCCACAACTGGCGACAGCGAAACAGATTGGACATTATGGGATGGTCTCGGAGTTCTCCCGGTGCCAACGCCAAGCCGGTCTTGGTGGAAGTGAGGAGCGCGAGGTACATCGCCACGGCCCCTAGATATGCCGACAAGGCTCGAAATTTTGTGGCTGTGACACCTCCATAGTTGCCTTGCTCCATCTCAGCTTCTTTTTTAATTGATTGGTAAGTCTCTTGCAATGAAAGAAAATCCTTTTTGAGCGGCTCGAATTCGGGGTATCTCGATTTCAGAATTTTGATGCGTTCGTCGACGGTCGCACTCTCAGAGATCTGGAGTTCAGGCAGTTTCTCCACTGCCGGCCGCTTCTCTTGCGTTTGCAAACTGTCAGCGACCCATGCGCTTTCATCCAACCCAAAGTCAGCCTCAGTCATGCCCTTGAGCTGTTTCAGCTGCAGCCTCCTGGCCTCTTGTTCTTCTTCCAATGCATCAGCTTCGGTCTCGATCACATCGGCACTGTAGTAGTCGGCCTTGGATGATCCCCAATAGCCTTCTCCTTCCTCTTCCTCGTCTTCTTCAGCCTGGCCGGTCGCACCCTCGTCGACTTCGGACTCATCTTCAGTAGTCTGCTCCTGATAGACCTCCTCATCAGACGGTTCCAAGTCTCGCTCTTGCTCTTGCAACTTCCTTCTCCTCTTTGCGCTGGGCTCCTCATCCAGGAGAACTTTGTCTCGTCCTGCAAAGAACTCATCTTCCGAGTCATTGAAGGTTTCGTCGGCGTCGTAACGATCATTTGGTGGACGCCGTGCGGAGGTTTCGACCACACGCACAGCCTTTCTCTTTTTAGACATTTTGAGAGGCTGCCACAGAAGATTTTCTTTTCGCAGATCAGTAGCTGAATCTGGGTTGTTTTTCATAGGCGGATGTGGTCAACAGTTGAAGATGGAAACTTTTTTTCTGGGGAGCGCAGGCTTGGCATACGCAACCGTGAGCAAAGTGAGCTAAATTGACGCTGGCAAGGCTGAGCAAGGCTGAGCTCACCTAAGCGCTCACCCGACCACGCTGCTTTTATGACTACACCACCCTACCGAGGGAGGCGTGGAACTGATTGTTGCCTCGTTGCTTTCCATCGTCTGCAAAATAGTCGCGCACAGATGCGTTACGTGCCAAGGGGCAAGAAAAAGGAACTTGGACCTTCATGGCTCAACTTGCAAATCTTCTATATCTCGAAAAGCATCTGCCGCAAAACTGGTGGACTCGTACACTCAAAGCCACTACCGGAACACGTCTTAGAGTGATTCAAAAATCAAAGCTGATCCTGCCAGAGGAAAAGCTTTGTCGCGTATGCAAAAATGTCGAATGGGAGTATCTTTTGTTAGGTAGCGCTGATACAGGCTTCAAGAAGGCTTATGCAGAGACAGTATGTCTCGGATCTCGTTCAGCAGTTGAACAACGAGCCGCATCCTTGTGCCCGTTTTGCGGTGAGATCGTTACCACGTTACTCACCGATATTGACCAAAGATACCAAAGCACCCAAACTTTCGAAGGCTGTGTACATTTGGATGTCAACGAAACTGAGACCCAACAGGCAGCCCCGGGCAACCACAAGTCATACTGCCTCAACGTCTCGGTTCGGCCGATGGAAAACTTGAAGAGCCATGACATTGGTGTCGTGTCCAACGATGAAGACACGCCTTTAGCGCAACGAGGCTTCGCCTCTAGAATCATGTTTTCCCTAGTCGACAATAACATGTCTGCATATAGATCCGTCCCACAGCATGTTGATTACACGAAATGCCAAAAGTGGCTCAAAAACTGCCTTCAGGAGCATGAATCTTGCAATACTGCGGAACCCGGTGATCGAAACAGCCCGATCAAGCTCATCGACGTGGTGGCGCGGCGTGTGGTAAAGTTTTCCAGGAAAAATGACATTAAATATGCGACCTTAAGCTATGTCTGTGGTCCTAGCTATTCCGTCTTCATTCTGCAAAGCAGTCCGGACTGGACATACGATGCGACTGGGAATCGTCGTCACCCTCTGCCAGCCGGAATTCCCGCAACAATCGAAGATGCGATGACCGTTACTCAAAACCTGGATCTAAACTATCTCTGGGTTGATTCGATCTGTATTGCACAAGATGATGAGGATGAGAAACGAGCCCAAATCGATCTCATGTTCAACATTTATAGCGACGCCACTCTTTGCATCGTGTCTGCGGCGGGCAAAGACTCTCACACACCGCTACCCGGAGTCTCTGTTCCCCGAGCACTTCAACCAATGCGAAAAGTGAAAATCAAGGATGGGATGGACGTAGGCGTACCATTTCCCGCTTTGGGCTCCGTTCTGTCGACGTGCCGCTACATGGGCCGTGCCTGGACGTATCAAGAACTTCTCCTATCGAAGCGGATTCTCTTCTTTACCACGGCAGAGGTTTTCTACTATTGCGCCTTGTCGACCCACCACGAGTCCCGGCTCGAGCAACCAGGAGGGCATCCAGAAGCCCAGACTTGGGCCAGCCTTGCTCCCGAGTCGAACTCCCACCTGATCGGCAATGCCGTGGCAATGCGCAAGACCACGGATCCAGCGGATCTTTGTCGCCTGTTCGCAGCGGCCGCCCAGGAGTATAGTTCGAGAAGGCTGACGTACCAGGAAGATACCATCAGGGCGTTCCGGGGCGTGCTGTCAATGTTTTGCCAGCTACTGAACGGTCCAGCGACAAGTGCATGCCCGGACTGCATGGTCTTGAACAGCCTCACTTGGAGGGACCCACGCACAAACACTTCCTCTTCCCATTTAGCAAAGCGTCGAATGTGCTCTGATTCACCCCAGACCGCAGTATTGCCGTCATGGGTCTGGTGTAGCTTCGACGGGCCGGTGAAGATGACTTCCATTCCATACTGTTACTCTCAATCTGTGTGCAATATCTTCGCCTTTGCAAATAAGACCAATGAATTGGCGATGCTCTTTCCGAAGATCGCTGCCGGAGAATGCTGCACCTGTAGCCATCCAGAGCACAAGATCAAAGTTCGTAACCCCATGCCATTGCCTGTCAAGACGAAAGCCATCACCTTCCCCATCCTTGCCGAAGGGGACGACGAACTCATCCCCGGCCAAGCAGACCTCTCGACCTCTGAGGGGGTGACTCTCGGTCCCTGCGACTTCCGCGGACAATGCTCGCTGGACCAGCTACACGGATCGACTGTCACTCTCATGCAATTATTCTCTGAGGTCGAAACCAAACCAGCTCCACACGTGACCGCGCTCGTCCTCAGGACTTGTAGGCTGCAGGAGAGCGTCGACACCGTCTTGGGTTCGCCCGAGCTTCAAGGCAACATCACCAGCCTCCTGTCGCCTGTCCGCAAGATTCCTCAGATTGCAACAGAGCCTCCGATACCAGACGTCGCGGCCCACAAGACGTTTGGACGGAGCCTAGTCAGCTTCGGCTGCCCTGAGTCTCTTCAAATCCAAGCTGGGACGGTGCCGGCACTTGAGAACGTCCTGGTCGGAACCAGGATTGGAATGGCATATGTTGGCTGCAAGCAGTGGATTCGGTTACAGCCGAAGGACTCTGTGGTGTTTTTAATCTGATATGGGGGCTTGGTTACTCACTTGCCACCCGTAGAGCTCTTCGGAACAACCTATTTGGATAGCGGGTTAGACTTTTTGAAAGACTGAAGTAAAAGACTGGATCTCATGGATGTCGGGTCACTCTGTTCCCGAAGGAGGGTTGAGTCCAGCATCAGCATGAATCTACCGAATACCGTATGACATGGTAGCACAAGCGAGGCTGGTGAAAATGAGCAGGTAGATGTCTAGCTTCACAATTAACGTGGCAATAGGCGCTTGTTCACTCAAGATATATTTTCGGCAACTGTTACGCCGAGCAAAAAGAGAATTGAGGTCGCCGTCGAAGGGGAAGTCGAAATATGCTTCCGGTGGGCCTATTGACCCCCTGAATACGAAGGATTTTCGACTCATTCGGCGAGAGCTCCTCCACCAATATTTTTTCTTTCCCCGGCGCGTCATCTTTTAGCGTTGCCTGAAGCTGTGAACGCGGTCAATTGGACTGACCGGGACCTCCATGAACACTAGCTGCCGACTTGCCCAATATTTGCGGTCTTCGTAATGATCTTGTAACGCTGAACTTTCCTTGGGAAGGGACGACATCACTCGGACTGTGTGTGATGTCTTTGGACCTGTGGTCCCAAGCAACCCTGCCGATCATCCTCACAACCCTCGGCCTCCTCGTCCTGTCGACGCTGCTTGTTACCAAAATGCTTTTCTCAACAAAGAACCACTTCCCCGTCGAGGGCCTCACGGCCATCGTGACCGGCGGCTCCCAGGGCCTGGGTCTGGCCATCGCGCAAGAACTCTCCGCCCGGGGCGCCAACGTGGCCATCGTCGCGCAGAACGTCCCGAAGCTCGAAGCGGCCGTCAAGACACTGCAGAACCGCGCCAAAACGGTACAGAAGCAAAAATTCCTCCATTTGTCCTACGACCTGCGGGCGCCGGAGTCCGCGCCCAGAATCTTGGAGGAAGTCAAGACGTGGAACAATGGGGAAGCGCCGGACTTGATCTTCTGCTGCGCGGGACACTGCTACCCGTCATTCTTCGCCGACGCGCCGGTCGACCAGCTCAAGGACCAGATGGATACGGTCTACTGGAGCAGCGCATGGACGGCCCACGCGGCAATCAACATGTGGAAGACGCCCTCATCGTCACGAAAAGCCGCGAACAACAACGAGAACAAGTCCGCACTTCCAAAACCGACCCGCCACATCATATTCACATGCTCCACCTTGGCCTTCTTCCCCGTCGCAGGCTACAGTCCCTACTCGCCGTGCAAAGCGGCCATGCGCGCCCTGGCCGATACGCTGAATCAAGAGGTGGAAGTGTACAACGGATCGCGCCAGAACCCCTCTTTAGGACCCGTCCCGGACGCAGACATGAAAGTCCACATCCTGTTCCCCATGGGCATCATGTCCCCGGGGCTGGAGAATGAAAACAAGATCAAGCCGTCCTTGACGCTGCAGCTCGAAAAGGACGACAAACCACAACAACCCGAAGAGATTGCAAAGATCACTCTCCAACGTCTCGGGGCGGGCGACTTCATGATCAGCACAATGTTCCTGGGCCACTTGATGCGTGGGTGCGGGATGAGCGGCAGCGTGCGCATGAACGTGATGGACGTCTTTTGGAACTGGCTGGGCTCTATCATTATCATCTTCGTGGCTCCCGATTTCGTCGCAAAGTGCAGGAACTGGGGCAAGCAGAAGGGCATGAATGCCACCACCACAAATGTCAGCTGAAGGTTTGGAGATTTATCTGCGGCAGGTCTTCATCCCGGCATACTCCTACTCGTTCTCCTCCTCAGTAACTACTGTATCATCAATTTCCAGCATGGCGCCAAGAGAAGACACCAATTCCTCCTTTGTCCAGTCGCGGTCAAAATCCTGGCTCAGAAACATGCGGGCCGCACGCTCCGCGCTCTGTAACTCCTCTATCTCATCCTCCTTCAAGGCCGAACATATCGCCACGAGATCATCCCCGCTTTGTGCCAATCGAGCTATTTCGACGGCTCGCTCGACGATTTCTGCCGGGACACCATTCATAGCCGCGCATTGGACGCCGTAGGACACATCACTTCGGCCCGAGCGGAGATTAAACAAATAGGTAACCTGACTAGTATGATCTTTACCAGCGCAGGGACTGTCCCTTTCATCAACTCGGACCTCCATGTGCGCAAAGGAGATGTTTCTGGCATGGTTGAACATACCCAACTCGAAGATTTCGTGAAAGTGGGTGGCAACCAGCGTCTTCGGCGCTTGATGTCCCAGGGAAAGCAGGTGGTGGAAGACTCCCGCGGCAAGGCCGGCACCGTCGAATGTGTCTGTTCCTTTCCCGAATTCGTCGATCACGACCAAGCTTCGTCTGGTGCATGAGTTCAAGGCAATGGCAATCTGTTGCATCTCAATCATGAAGGCCGATTGAGCTTTGGACACGGTCTCGCGGGCTGTGATACGGGTGAGGATCTTGTCGGTAATACCAATGGTCGCGGAGTCAGCAGGGAGGAATGAACCCATCTGGGCCATGTAGACTGCCAGAGCAACCTGCTTCTGATAGACAGATTTGCCTGAATAGTTGGGCCCCGTCAACAATATCATGCTTGGCCCCGCGGAGTCAGTTTGTCCATTTCCGCCCACGAGAAAGGTGTCGTTTGCAACGAATGATGGCACGGTCATCTCCCGCAACAGATGTCTCCCTCCCTTGATCTCGATAATGTTGTCCTCTGTAATCGTGGGCCGACTCAACTGATATTGATGCGCGACGTGGGCAAAGGCCAATGAGCAGTCCAGCTCACCGCAGAGATCAGACGCGGCAATGAGAAGGTCTTCGTCCCGCAGCACGTTCTGCGCTAAGTCGTGCGCAATTTCGATCTCCATGTCGCAGATTGTAGAGTATAGGTCGCCGAGCTCATGGTCCATTTCGTGCATCGTGGCGTCCTTGTAGTAGACTTGGGCTGGCGTGGTGAACATGAGCTGCCATCCCAATTCTTGCCCGTCACACACGGCCTGGCCGGTTGCCGGGTCCCTGGGCAGGGCGAGATGGAAGCCCAGATGTGGCAGATAGGTGACGTTCAATTCCATATTGAGGTCCTGGGGGATCGTCAGTTGGATGTCGCGGGCCTTTTCGTTCAGGATATCCTCCATTCCGTCGTAGACGTCTTTCGCCTGATCCAGTTCTTCGTTCACGCCTCTTTTCACCACTGTGCGACGCTGGTCGATGGATGACTCGCGGTCCACGATCTCGTTCACCATGCGCCCAACCCTCTTCAGACTGTGTCGGTCTAGGACCTCTGCCGCACGAACGCACAATGGGAGGTGCTCCGCTCCGATGACCTCTCTGAGGGTGTCTCCAACATCGATGGCATGGTAGCAGAAACCTAGAAGAGACTCCCACACACTGCTTTTGAATGCATTTTGCTTCGTCTTTCCACCCTCGATTCCCTTGCGAAGGAGAGTAGTGGTGTTCCGCATGTTTTTGATCCGACTGAGGCTCTTGCTGAGCTGTTCACGCGTTGATTGATTCTCCGGCCTGACAAAAATGGAAATGAAGTCGAGCCGGGTATTGATCAGCACTACGTCCATCGACGGCCTGAGAAATGCTTGCCGTAGCCGTACCTTGCCCTGTGGAGTTCGCGCATGGTGCTGGAACAGGCCGTAGATTGACAGGGATTCCTTTGCGCCCGACGCGCCGGGCCCCTGGTTGAAGGCATTGGGATGAGATTCTGGCTGGATGATTTGCAACGAGACAAGGGTGTCACTGTTAACGAGCATAGTGCCGCGGAGATTGAACATCTCAAGCCGGGTAATGTGGAAGGTTTGGTTGGCATCTGGATCTCCTGGCAGATAGGCCGCTGTTCGTCTTCGCTGCAAACAGGAGATGATGGCACCCGCACAGCCAATGCTGACTTTGTTCTCGAGATCCAACCACGATGATATTTGCATCATCTTGCCTCGTCTCTTTGTCAGGCCAAGCTCTTCAGGTTGCAGCCTTTCGTCATAGGTCATCGAGTCACCCGGGACGAGAAACTGAGTGGCAAGATCCTCACCGAACGAACAGAGGCCGACTAACCTATTCAGGGCATCTTCGTAATCGAAATCAGGTGTTGGCCGGATCTCAACTTGGTAAGGGAGAGGTTGGTGGCCGTCATCTATCTTCCGTCACAAGTCAGATTCATCGTGATCATGGCGCATGCTTACCGCCGTCCACCAGGGATACATTTCGGCGTAGTCGAGTATCAGCGGAGTCTGATATGCTGTCGGAGCGAACAGAAAGAATGACTATAGTCGGTTGAAGGTCCAATTTCACTGCAGAAGCATTGAGTTGGTGGTCAATATGAGAGTCGATGGGCTCCCACATTTGTCAACGACGTCTTCAGCACCGCCAATGACCTCTTCCATGCACAAAAGCCTCTCCTCGCCCGCAATGTAATACGCACATCCTATTTTACCCTTTTCCTTGATGTCGACGGCCATGATCACCTGCTCCAGGAAGTCGTCATCTCGGGATGCTACGGCGTGACCTTCGCTCGCCGCCGCGGAGAGTATGGAATGGACAGGCCTTGGGTGGCCTTGAGAGGTAACTTGAGACGGAGTGGTAGACGACGTTCTTTGGTGTCGTGAATGTCGAGCGGATTGGCTGCTCTGTCGATTGAAGTGAGGTCGAGATGTGCTTCTGTGTGGTCGTCCTCCGGCTCGACCACCGCGGGCTCGCTCCCGACAAGACGAATCCCTCCTCGGCGCTGAAGAGGAGAGCATTCTCAGAACGGTCAGCAGATAAGCACCCACAGGAAATTGCAGATGAGAGAGAAACTGGAACATGAAGAACTGTGTGCGAGGTGGCGATGCTCCGAGTGATGCAGCTTGTGGTTCTTCCAGGGTCAACTTGAGTTGGGAACTTGGCAGCCGTCGACCTTGCCTCACGGCGGAGTCAGATAATTTGCATTTATAATCTCGTCTCTGTACATTTGCTGTGTCTATTTGGTCATATGCACATAGAAGGGTTGATCAATCAACTCTGCACTTCAGCATCTTGCCAACCTCCCACAATGCGTCCGCCCTCTGCCCTCTTGACTCGACACCACATCCCGACTTCTTTGTCAGTGATGAATTGCCACAGCACGAAAGGCCAGCTTTTGTGGCACGGCAGAGGCTCATAAAATTCACGTGCAATTTCATAGACCTTCGGTAATTGGGTCCAAGGGATGGCCGGGAAATCATGGTGTTCGTTGTGATACCCGACATTGTAAGTGAGGACGTTGAGTGGGCCGTAATAAGAATACGTCTCTGGAATAGGCACATCTTTCGGAACCTTTCCATTCTCGAGAGTAGATTTGGCGAAGACATAATGCTCTGAGATGAAGTGAGCAGCGCATGGGTGTAGAGAACCAGCCAGGAATGAGCTCGTGAGCAGATAAGAGAAAGCTTTCCAGCCCAATGATCGGATGATCAGGATATCGAAGACGATTTGAGCTCCAATATTGCAATAGTGGATTGGGCCAAAGGGTATCTTGTACACCATCATCGGCCGAATTGCGTAAAATATCAGCTGAAATGTGCAGAAAAACGCCTTGCCGAGAACCGAGTCCAGGAAGATCGCCTCAAGTGCTGTAGGGAGGTCCGTGTCTACACCATCCACGCCCAACGATTTATGATGAGTCAAATGATACTGTCGGAATCCGGCCGAGTAGGGTATCCCGATGGGAAGATTTGCGAAGATGGCGAAGAGTCTGTTGTAGATGCCTGTCCGGAAAGCCAAATTATGACTGATCTCGTGGATAGCGAGGAAGAGATTCTGGTTCGCGGTGGCGCCAATTATGTATGCCGTAAGGAAGAACTGCCATGAGAAAAAGGCAGAGTCTTTGAGGAGGTAGGCGCAGAGGATCTGTAGCAGAACGACGAGGAGGACCACATATTTCGTTAGCGGTTCTGGGCCGCACAGTTGCAAGATTTCCTTGTGTGATTTTATGATGGCTTGTCGCCGGGTGCGGTGAGGCTCCTCCGTGTATGTCCAAAAAAACTTGTCTTCTGCAAACCGTTTCTTGTGGCCCAGCTCTTCCGTTGCACCTCTATCGTCAACCTTCGCAGTGTTTGACAAATTTGTCTGACGGGCCCTGCTCATGGACTGTGTCTCTGTGGCGGTCGACATACTAGTGCTCGGCGACTTTGAGCTCGGCGGATCTGGAAACGGTGGTAGACAAGCGACAAGAGCTGAACATGAGATCGCCGAGGAGCAGCTCCAAACTCCAAAGTCAAAAGCCCGCTTCAAGTGGATTGAACCTGGTCGATATTATGCCACCCCTTCAGCTAGACCAGATATGGTTAGTGTTCCCATCACCTGTTCAAACAGCGGTATCGACAGACCAATTCGGCCAATAGTCAACTTTTCTGCACTAATAGTATTAATAGACCCTTCTCTTCTTTTCAATTAACAAGCGATTCACCAAGGACCCTTCGTCCAACACATCTATACTCAACATTCTCGCAACGGGCAGGACAGCACATTGGACACTCTACCGCTAGCTTGTCAGAATTACCACTGTCACCGCAGGAATAACAGTACCATAGAACCCACCTGCGACATTCGTGGGACTTGCGGTCAATGTTCCCGAGATCTACCATCAACCCTCCGAGCTTGGCACGATTTTCATGCCAATATCTACATCCTTCGGGATCAGACACCAACATTCTCGGGGTTCTGGCGTAGACTGCTTTCAATTCGTACTGAGAGCACGTCTCGGGGTTGGAGACCAACACTCGTTGCTGGTGATTTTTGAAGTCTTCGGCTGCCAGATGTCCCCAATGCGGACTTCTACACAACAGAAGCTCTAAGTGTAGCTTCAGTCTCGTAAATCTCAATCCATGCTTCTCAGCTGTGGCCAATTCTAATGGAAATACGTGCGCTGCAGTCAGGGTCGGTATTTGAGCTTGATCTGCAAATAACTTCTCCTCAGCAACGCCCAAAACCTGCTGGAAACTTGAGATGAGTTCTTAGTGGGCTAAACGCCAGCTTTCCAGGTCCTGCAAGAGCTCATACCCAGCGTCAAGAATGTTGCGTCTCACCATCTTGTCGGCGTATAGCAGTGATAACAGGTACTCTGCATGATAATGTAATGTAGGCACCAACCACACGGACCAACCGAACCCGGCGTGGGTCATTTTAAAACTCGGTTGCCGGGGATGCGATGGTTCGCCCCCATCTACATTGGACGGACCTGGGTTGCTCGCTCGCAAAGCTGCTTCGAGTTCTCTGTTGCATTGGGGAGAAGGACCTGTCAGCGATGCGGTCGATGTGAGAGGATCTCCGTCAACTAGCCTCTTAGATCGATGCAGCGCAACTCTGGCGCTGTCGGACTGAGTATGGCGCTGGTAGCCCACATGTGGCATCCCGGGATGGTTCGCAAGAGGTTCGGCCCCACACCACAATCCTTCTGTATGTGTATCTCCATCGAGTGTCTCTTGGGCCCGAATCAAACGTCTAGGGTCGATAGCACCCTGAAGATATCGGTCGCCGTCAAGGGGTACAGTCGTCAGCGATTCTTCTGGAGTTGAAGACCCAGGTCTTCGGATCATATTTGCGGGACCTGCGTCGATAGATGTGTTGTTAGGCAAGCTCCGAGTGGCTGCGTAGCTGGACTATTGCTGCTGTGGAGGCAACATCCCGCTCACTCTCGATGTCCCATAAAATTGACAGAGGGGTCGCCCTTGTTGTGAGACTCGATCTTGAAACTATATGGGAGGAACTGACGCGAAGATCTGGATTTGGGGACAAATCCAGGATTTCTTGCAACAAAACATTGAATACCGTCGATAGAGATAGGTTTGTCTTGACATGATAAATTTGACCGTCGTGGATTTTCGTATAACTTGCGGGCCGCCTCACGCATGACAGCTCCTGGCACTTTGTTCTTCAAACCCCAAGCCCGAAACTGAGTCGTGTACTGGTGAATACTGCTATCCTCAACGATCCGACTTTGATTGATTAGATGATTAACGCACCTGGCATGAAAGTCATTGTTCTTCTCCATATACCTAGCTACATCCTGCATGGAAAATTTGCGATTGATGTAGAGATCCTCCAGGACGCCCCGGATACCCTCCCAGGCATCTGACGTTATGGCTATTGCCCGTCCACAATTGCCAGGCTGGTAATGCCGAAAATTCATAGTGTGCTCTGGTGAATATAGCGCTTTGGATATTTCGCAGGATCTGGGGGTTAATGTAACGACGATAAATCAAAAAGATGAGACAGAAAACCATCGCCCTCAGATTTGTTAATGGCACCGGTTTCTTGGGAGATACCATGCCTGCACGCAGGACCTTGCTGAAGCAGGATGTTGTGGCGATTCTCAACCAATCAGTCACAATGATAATTGCCGTATTTGGTTAGGCTACAACCGCCTGAGGCTGGCCAGCCGCCCGGTAACTATGAGATCAACAAGCAAGGGGCGCTGTCGCTTCACGAGGCCAAACGACGGAAGACGACAATAAGGGCGGTGAATGGTGAGTACATTACACTCAGCCTGGGATGTGATTAGCTAAGCCAATCCAGGCAGAGTAAGTAGCTAAGGTCTATTACCGCCAACAACATCCAAGCATACCAAAAATGGTCGGTTCGAGATCACTAGAAGAGCAATAAAGCCTATCCGATACGACGCTGGCTGTTGGAGGACGGCGATAGCACGCTTGTTGCAAGATGCTCAGCACTGTGAGAATGGACTTGGACCTCGTCATCACACGGCCAAAGTGCATATGGAGAATGCTTTGAAGGAATAAGAAAGCCTCCTTGGCGCTTCAGAAGTGTTTGCGATGGGGAAGGGGATGTGTGGTCAATCATCGGATTCTCAGTCATACCTTTTTCCAACCTGGATCGAGCTCCCGAAGACGACAAGCGGGATGACAACCATCCAAAAGTTTAGGCGGCATGAAAATATTGGTGGGTAGCACGGGGAACAATGAGCCATGATCTCCTAATCACCGCGCTACGGTTCTGTAGCCCTGTTGAAAACGCCAGTGCCAAGGTTACAAGGAGATTTAAGCAGCAGCGCAAGGGCAGGGAATCTACCAGGTTCCCTGAAATCTGTCTGAAACCAGGTGCCTAGCCAAGGGGCAAGCGTAGGCGTTTTTTTGAGGGGAGGGCTAGATTTGGTGCCCATGGCGCGTGGCTCGGGGAGTGCTCAAGGAGCCCTTCGATGATGATCGGTTAGTGGCTCAGTTAAAGCTCAGCTTAAAGCATTCTTCGCTCACCCTCTAACATCAAATCGTCCTACGGTTTCTGAGGGCAGATGGTCGGAGTAGGCCTAATCTTCAAACTTCCCATGATGCTCGACTCCCGGTAACCTATGCCGACTTCTGACATGAACCCTCTCTGATTCTTCAGAAAGAATTGACCTATGGCATGCATTTTGGAATCCATTAGCTGATGTCGGAAGAAGTGTTGAGTAATCTTGAGATATCATTAAATCGCATTAATATGCTCCGACGTCTCTAAAGTCTGACATATTAGTACCATTTCAACCCCGCAATCGAATGGGTGTCAGCATTCGATACGCACTCGTAGCGTGGCTCACCTACAAAAGTTGTGTGGGGATGCGTATTCGCTTCTGTCACCCACCCCGTGCCCGCAAAGCGACCCCCAGAGGCCGGTCTTCGGGAGCAATTCGTATGCGAAGCATCTACCGATTCAATGAGCCGAGGCTGCGTTTTATATATGAGTAAATGTCCTGCAAAGTGCGGTAAGTCATATAACAATACATCAGAGCATTGCCTACTCAAGCACCTTCCATGACTTCGAACGGGTCCATGAACAACGGGACCGATCATCCTCCCAGAGATGACGATGGCAACGATGACCACCACTACCACCACTACCGCCACTGGGACTCTGACTGTTTCTACTCATCCTCCCGTTGAGATCTCGAAATATCCCAAACTGGACGCTTCACAGGCCGGTCATCTGCGACACTTCCATAATCTTGTCTCGCAACCTGACGGCGAGTGGCATCACTTTGGCACCCTCGAGGCCCAGCAGGAATGGGATGATGCGTACAGGTACCAGTTGGCGACGATGGCCTACGCCACTGGTGTCGCTCATTACCATCGTCTTCCGGCCATGAGAAGTGCGTTCAAAGCGCTCTTGCGACGGATCATACACAAGATGCTTCGCCGAGAGGTTTGGGGATATTGGTTCAACACAAGCCATGGGGGAAACCTTCTCGATCCGGACCTGAAAGAACTCCGGAAACCCTGGGCGGATCCGGTCATCAAGGAAAACATCATGTACTCAGGCCACTTGTTGTTGATGACCAGCCTGTACGCTATGCTCTTCGACGACGACGAATTCGAAAAGGAAGGCAGCTTGACCTTCCACTGGAGTCCTTTGTTCTGGGGCTTGGGCAGAGAGGATTTCACGTACGACAATCGCAGCTTGCAGGAGGTAATTTTCCAGCAGATGGAGGAGAATGATTGGGTAGGCGTGTGCTGTGAACCGAATGCGGTGTTTGTGGTGTGCAATCAGTTTCCGGTGAGCCCAGTCTCCAGAGATTCCGTCCCCAGGCGGCATAGACTGACCATCGATAAGATCATTGCCATGAGATACAATGACAGCCGCGATGGTACAAACAACGTGAACGAAGTCCTGAAAAAGTACGAAGCATCCCTCATTCGCAAAGGCATGATCACCGATAGCGGCCTGTACCCGAGCTTCTTTGCCCTGAAGCAGCGCCAGGCTATTCCCGCAAGGCAAGGAGCTCATACCGCTTGGTGAGTACTTCATGGTCAGGAGGTGTATGACAACACTGATAGGAAAAGGGCAAATGCATACATGAACACCTGGAACTCTGAAAAGGTGCATTCGCTGTATGACAGCCAGGTCCTTGGATTCTTGACCAACGTCGACGGGAAAACTCGTCTTCAGCCTACCCGAGTAGCTCTTGGATTCCGGAAACTGGTACTGGAGCATAGGGAGGATCCTCAGAGCCCGGAGACCCTGCGCAGGGCCCGCGAGATCTCTTCTCAATTCACTAACCCGGTATTCCCTTTCGAAACAATAAGCTGGAACTGCTTTACCCAGATGTTGTCGGAGCTAGGAAAAGAAAAAGAGCTCAACGATCTCCTCGAATACATCGACTCGCACCTCAATCCGACATGGGAGAATGGCGGCCTGTTCTATCCGCGCAACGACGAGCTCTTTGACGAGGAGCACCATATGATTCACATGGAGCCTCACTCAGGCAACTCTGGCATCGGGTACTCTCGACTGAATGTCAAGGATGGGCAGAAGAAGATGTGGGAACAGCCATGGACGCACGAGATCCTCGCCCAGCGACCGTGGGTGGATGAATTGACCTTCGCGGACGGCGTGGACTTCCTGAGAGGGATCTGGGACAACGAAGCGCGTGCCATAGTGGTTACCCTGCAGAGTTGGACCGGAAACCCACGAGAAGTAACGTTTACGGTCAAAAATCTGCCTCAAGGAGACTGGGCAGTCTATGTTAACGGCGCGCTGAAGCAGACAACAACAGTGCGCGAGACTGAGGGTGTTGGTGTGACTGTGAATGTCGGCCAGGGTGAGGTTGACATTGTGGTGGGATCTCTCTAGGCTTGTGGTGCGAATGTCCAAAATGGTGAGCTAAATCAAGCTAAGTATTCGAGTTGTTCGTTTAATATATCAAATAGAGTACTAGTCGTCTTAATATCTTCCGATTTGATCTTGACGGTGAAATTAGTACCTAACAAGTAGGGGGGCGAACGCAGACGCGCCGAGGAGTTCGATCCACTTTTCTGGTTGGGACGCTGGTGGTGCCATTGTCAGACAATGCCAAGGTCGCTGCCAATTTTCCCAAGAGTAAAAGAAACGCGACGTCCATCCAAACGCTCAGTTTCCCTTACTTCCGCCGTGACTCTGCTCTCTCTTGCCGACGACTCCAAGGTGGCATGATGCTACGGAGCATAGTACTAGTACTCGATGATGCTAGAGCTCTCCCCGGGGCTACTGAGACATCTATCGTACGAACAAGTTGCGATCATGGATGCAAACTCAGGATCTCAAGGTCCTACTGGTAGTAGTTGTACTTGTAAGTGCAGAATATGTCATGCCATTGTCATGCATTCCATCAGAGAGTTCCGATACATTTATGGTAAGATAATGTCGTTGAGAAATTTCCATTTCATCAAACAACTCTTAATCTACTCGAGAAAACAGAGTTTCTCTCGAAATGCTAGCACATTTCACCACGGTTCAATACTTCTGTAGCATTGTCTGCCCTAGTTAGTCATGCATCTCATTCCAACTATCTTGATCGCCGCCATCCTGACCGGCCTGCTCAAACTAAGCAACGCCGCATCCTGTGGCAGAGGCAATGTCCATGGCAAGTGCCAGCAAGCGGTGTGTTCAGCAGGTACTTCTTTGATCACATCCGGGCTCTCACAGACCTGTCCCAGTAGCCCCTCGGGCTTACACTGCTGTCTCCCCGTGAATCCAATCATTACATATATCTCAGCTGTTTATGCTGCTGCAGTGAAATACAAGGCCCAGGCGCTCCTGTCTTTGGCGGATGAAAATCAGCTCGTCATGGAATGGCTACGACACAAGGACTACAACAACTTGGACTGGGACCTTATGGTCGGGACCATCGACAAGGCCTGGATCACTTACGGGACGAAATTGGGCTTGCCATACGGTACAGCTTTCCCAGACCCGTTTTTCAATGGCGTCAACGAACACTCAGCCCACCTTGGAGCGGCAATGGATGCGATCTACCGCCAAGATATATCATCATGGGGCATGTCTGAAATTGCCGGCTGGGCTGGTGACCTTTACCAGTTCTACGACGATTGGCAAGACGCCACTATCCGGCATCCGAAAAAATACCCACCCTCCGACAGGGAATCGGGCTACAAATTCTGCAAAGATTGGCTGGCCAACAAACCCGACACCTCACATTTCACTATCAGAGACCTCGAAGAAGATATCGACGCGTTCAGTATTGTGCTTTCGCTGAAAGAAGACCCAAGCTCTAGGATAGATGTCGTCGCCAAAGACTACTATTCCCCTCCTAAGGGAGCGGCTACTAAACGCGACAGATTCAAGGACTTCTTCGACGCTAGATTTGGTGGTGATCCGGCAACAGCAAGTGCGGAGGCAATGAGATACCTCACTACGCAGGATATTCTCATCAAAACCGCGAGACTTGGGGTCATCAAAGCAATCCAGCCTTCGAAGATCGACCAGAAGCAACTTCACAGGTTCTGTGACGGCTTCGCGGACGTGTTGGAAAGTTTGGCAGTCACTGGGCAACGGACGATTCCAAAATGCTCAGACGACGTGGGCACGGATCCGTTGAATTGTGGCCAATGCGGGAAAGTGGTAAGTCCAACTTAGCTATCATTCTTTGAACAATGTGACTTTTTCGAAACAACTGACAACGCTCAAGTGTGCTTCCGGAAGTTGCACAGACAGCGAGTGTGAGCCAGCTCCTCCGCTCCGCGAGCCGCCTTCCTGGTTTTTCTCCGCGGAAGAGTATAATTATGTCTTCGACTCAACGGAGCTGGTCCAGGAAGACTGGCCTTATTTCCTGACCGAGGATGGCCACCTCACAGCGAACACTAAGTGCGCCACCGTCAAAGCCACAGCCGACCTGACGACTCTCCCGGGTGACGAGAGCGTCATTCCAGCCAAAGCAGACCTTATGTTCCAATCTGGCAACCACATCTTTCCCGGAGTTTGCTGTCTCGAATACTACTCCAATGCGAATTGCGCAAAAACGACAGGACAGTACAAGGTCAGGTGCGACGATTTCAGCCTTTATGGACAAGGCGGCAGTGAGTTTGTGATTCGATCGTGGCGTGTCTCTGGCTGTGGTCCAGATCCACCCAAGTCTGGGGACGGGAAGTAGGAGGACAAGCTGTGGAGGTTCCATGCAGCGGCCGACCCATCCACGGTTAAAATAAACCCCCATCTCTGGGCCACAAGATCATAACAGTTATGGGTAGCAAAGCTAGACCCCGGCGGAGATGATGAAAAGAGTGCTAATGGGCAGGTTAACGCCACATGGAGCAATAGCACTCTCCCAAAAGCTGGGATTTGTGCGACCTTTCGAGATCCGCCGACCAAGGAGGGCTTCTTGAGTAATCGTTGATGTGAAAGGAAACCTGGGCGACGGGGTTTTCGCGTGATATACCACCTAGGTAGCTAGGTATGGACAAGTAGGAACAGAAGACGAGAGGAAAAACTACTTGTACAAAGGCACGCAACAAGAAGCTTGTATTTGGCTTGTTCAGATCACCTGAAGTTGCCTCGGCCCTCCTCTATCAACAGTCTCATTCCATGCCTCAACAGCACTTTGGCCCTGATGGCAGAGCAACGATATGTAGCCCTGTTGTCACCGACACCAAGCACCGGCAATTCGCAGTACACGTTTGTTTCCAAGTTCTTCAATTCAAATGGTTGAGATACGCATTTTCATCTTATCTATTGATAGGTATTGTACGTATCTGTGGTCCTGACGGAGGCGCTAGGACGAGTCAGAGCACGAGTTCAGCAAACCTGGTCTTTCCAGGGTTATCAGTGCACGACCCGAACATCTTCCCAACACAGGAGTTTTTCGCTTCTCGTCCGAATTGGCGTGCTTGATGAGGAGTCATCGGCCTTTCCTGAGCTGAACCTGCAGCTAACGAGCCTTGTGACTTGGCCATCCGCTGTCATGTGCGAGGGCAAACTGGTCTCTTTTTCCATTTCCCCGTTCAATACAAGCCAATCGTGATGTCGCCTCGAACTCGGGCTGTCAAATGGACCTCTGCCTCTAGGTCAAGTTTGATACCGACCATGAGCGCCGCGGGCTTGAGGTTGCCATTTTCATCGGTTGCGCCCTTGAGCAGACCGCCTAGACCGATGGAGCAAGTCAGTATGAGACAGAAAAAGAGAAGACCAAAAGAACCCCGGAGAGGTCAAGAAAAGTGGCTCGAGAATGGACAGGAGTGGTCAAGCGTGTAACGCGCTGGCGTGACATACCCGCTGGTTGCGATAGGTAATCCGAGGTGGGCGGTAGGGGTAATGCTGATGAGCCGTTGGTTGTAGCCAGCGCCTTCCGCTGGCCTGCTGCTTGTCCGTCTTCACTGCCGCTGGAGTAACCCTTATCCGCGGTGTTGCTGTATGCAGCTCTGGAACTTGGTCAGCCTCTGGGTCGTGCACACCCGCCAAGGAGATCTACATACGTTGCAGACATGTTGATTGCGTGAAAGATCAGGTGGATGAGAAGAGACTCAAGATCAACACGAGCGTGAATGGAGAAGTGTCCGGATTATTCAATAATAAAGCGATACTGGATGTCTTCGTTAGTCGTGCCAGACGACTCAGCGGTCTATGAGTTGAAGTGTTTGTTCTTGTTGTTGATGTGATGAGGATGAAAATGCATCTCAGCAAAGCGATGTCCTCTTCTCTTTTATGTTCCCAGCAAGGCCAATATTTTCGGTCTGAAACGCCGTCGATACTACGGGGAAAGTTGAGCTGCAGGGTCAGGGAGAAAGGGGGTTTCTGTGTCTGGAGTGTCGCTTCACACATTTCCAGAGATCTCCTAGCCCAAGCTTGCAGAAATTCAAGACTGCGGCGAGTAAGTAACTGTGGCCTGATGGCTTCGGGGAACTATCGAGGTGGGTTTGTGGTCCTAGAAACAAGAGGAGTCGCAAGGCTGAGACGAGCAACCTTTCTCTTGTTACAGCCTAAGCCGATTTGGACGTGAAACCACCCAGCCGAATCTGTTCCAGACTGAACCCCAGATCTGGCCACCTCTGAGTATCATAACGACTGTGGCATGACTTGATGCAAGAGCAAACCAGTGCGCCATCCCAGGCGCCAGGGACAATAATATGTAGGACAGCGATCTCCCACCATGGCAACTTCGCGTAGCCGGAGCAACAGACCACCCCAACCTCTCGCGAGCACAAATAGGGGAAGCTCGACTATTTCCACCTGAGATCCTATCGTACCAGGTACATACCACAACTCGGGAGGATAATCACGCCACTCAAGACCTGAAACCGACATAACAAGTACGGAGTACGGTCTCACGTGTTCCGTTGAAGCGAGCGCCCGAGAATGGTGCTCTCCGTGGTTGTCGCGCTCATAACATGCCCAGCAATGCTGGCGACAGCGGAAGCCATCCGCCAGGGCCAGGCAAAGGATAGGCGAGAGGAACACCGCGCTCGACGGTGCAACCTGGTCGCGACATGTGTGAAGGCATCGACCAGGAATCAAGAGATTGATGGTCGGCGGATCGTGCTGCGAGACCAGAAGGTACGCGAGGAGGGCTGCTCTCTCTTCAGAGAATAGTGTCGATGATTATGTGCATTGATTTTGCTGATGAAGATGGTTGCCTAGCTCTATATCGACAAGGTGGTCACGAGGTCGAAGAGTGTTGGTATTGATATTGATGATGATTTCGACGACGACGACGACGAAGACGCAGATAAACAACCACATGGACATCCTTTCGCTGGATATTTCCTCCCATATCCCGAGACAAAGTACGAAGGCCTCGTCTCGACCATCTGCGATACCCCGCCGATGTTGAACTGGATCTACGTCGATAAGGGTACGTACGAAGTCAAATACGGTCTACGGGTAGACGCCCAGCCCAACGTGACAGGGCCATGGGATTGCACCAGGCAAGACCGCCGGATGACTCTGGAGGGATGGGAGGGCTTTGTGGTCGTCGAGGAAGAGCCAGGCCTGTGGGCTCTGTATTTCGACCGTGACGATGATGGCCTGCGAGCAAAGGTTCCCAAGGGAACTAGGGTCTTGGAGGTCGAATTGTGGAGGAGAGAAAAGAGGTGGAAAAGGGATCCGGTATTGCGGCAACAGGAACAGGCAAAGCAAACTACCTGAAGTTGGAAAGATATTCAAGAATACTCTCAGGTAGGAAGGTACACGGGGAAGTCTGAGAATAGAAAAGCTATTACAGACCCCAGAAACCACATGCACCATTGTTTGCATTGCATAGTGCCAAAGAACTTCGTATTCGTAGATGTTCAGCTGTAAATGATTCTAGAACAAGTTCTGACGGATTGACGGATCGACAGATTGACCGTTGAAGCTCCAACAAGACCGCAGATTCCATTGCGGCCTGAATGTGTCACAGCAGAGGTGTGGGATTGCCAACAGTGTAAGAGGCACGCTGGCGTTGGGGGACTGGATGCGACATTCTGTGCTTCATAAGGGATATCATGAGCTCAGTGGCCTGACGGCATCAATTATCAATCCCCTGAACGAGGCCAGATTTTGAGACCCCACAACAAGTGTGAGAAGTAGACGCTATGTATCTTTGACGCGAACTGTTCGCTTCTGTTATAACGCTGATGATTCATAGGCCATCAGAGCAAAAATATCCAGCAAAAGGAAGATAATGCCATAGAAGAGTTCCCTCCTCCTGGTGGAAATCATCAATGGCATCCATACATCCTGGCAGTGTCGCAGCTTTCGACCCGGATAACGAGTAAGTTCCAATGGAGACAAAGAGAACGCTTAGAGAAACCCAGAACTGATCGTTCGACGTAGGATTGCGACGAAGCCACAAAGACCACCAAGCCTTGACGTCTCGCTGAACAGCCTTCTCGGACACCTAGAGAGTGTCGACAAGATCCTTGTGTATGCATTTGGTGCATTCGACCGATATTATATCTGCTGGCAGGACAGGCACGGGGAATATAGACAAGGTGAGAGGAAGATGGACAAAATCATTTCGCTTTGCCTCGCACAAGAACCCACCAATTTTAACTGGTCTTTTTTCTCTCTCTGGCAGAAAGACACGGCCTCCCTTGCGCGCTCGATGAATGGCTTTTCCCTCCCGACGGGACCAGCAGGGATCTCGAGACTCTTCAGGTCTCCCTTGGCCACAACGACGAATTCTTCGCCTTCGACCGGTACGAGCGGATATCGCACATCAACACCAACCTGCGAGAAAATGTGAACAGCAGCAGTATTCATCATAAATCCGTCCCACAAGCCGGGGCGGACATGGTTGACCAAAGAATGGCGTTTCGAAGAAAGTCACATACATTTTCGCACCCAGAGGACAATAGTAGCCGAGAGGACGACCAACAACAGCGCTTATCGATGCAACAGCGGCGGCAAGGACTCAAGAAGAGAATCAGACCACGGAGCATTGCAATCGCAGGAGTGCTGTCACTGAGGGCGTCGCACGAAAGGGACAAAAGCCATCAGGACCCGGCTTTGAAAGAAGCGTGGCCAGACGTGTCTAGTATGAATCAACGTCGACAACCCATGCTTCCGCTTCGACGACGTGTCACGTATTCAGACGCCGGAGTCCAGACGGATCCAGTGCAGGATGGACATCGTGAAGCTGCTGAGGACACTGCATTCCACAACATGGCATCACCAAAACCAAAGAGGTCTTGTGTCTCCTCCATTTCCTCATTTTCGTCCCTCCTTTCAGACAGCTCTTCAGAAACGGTGGATTCGGCCATCTCTCTTTCGAGCACCTCTTCTTCCGCATACTACTACTCGAAGAACCCCATCAGCATGGGGGCGATGAATCGGTACTTCAGAGAAAGCCAGTACCGACTTGGGGACGCTCTTATTAGAGCGCCGCCTGCTGGAATTGGTGCCCACTGAGTCGGTATCGAGAAGGGCGACAAGCAACCGGTCGTCTCCTAATTTTGGGCATCCAAAAAAAGACAGTCTCTTCTTCAGTCTAGGGATAGTACGGTCTGTCCACTCCAAGTAATCGCTTCCCACAGAGAGAGTGGCTCGGGATGGTCCCATGTACTGCCCCTGAGTCGTGCTAGGTTGCGGCTTGGATTACTTTCCGAAGGTGTTATCTCGTTCATCGGAGAGAGACCTGAGGATTCTGGCGATAATCGCAGCTGAAGATTCTGCCTGCGGGTTTTCGCCATGAGTGTACGCTTGCGGAAGGCGTTGGCAGGCATATATATACGACAAGTCTGATTCCGACCAGAAGAGAAGTCATAAATCCTGGAAAACCTACGAGTTATTCTGCGTAACGCTCTTGTCGAAGAGATCAGCACTCTCCAGTCCACCTCTGAGATCTAGGTCAGGTTCTGGATGGTTTCGGCGTGGAAATTGGGGACAATGAAAGAGAAAGTCAATGGCGTGGATGGCCTCCTAGACTTCTGACATATCTCTGATGAAGCGATAGGACGTTTCTTGTTCTCATTTCGTATTCTCTTTTTCTCCTTGCTCAACATCGATCGATGGTATCGAATCGATATATCGGCAAGGGTGGAACAAAATCGGGGCCATTCAAGAATGTGATAGGCCATTCGATTGGTGGTGTGGTTCGTCGTGGAAGACATGACGGGAAGTCTTGTACGAGAGGATGAATGGATCGAGGAGCAAGATGCGCAGATCAGCACTTGGTGCGAGAACCTTTGGCGGCTTGCAATCTGTCGCCTTTGACAAAATGAGACCTGCCTCGAAATCTCGTGATTTTCAAGTTAGATATTCTTCGGGAGGAATGCCTGCTTCATCTATATGCCTCATAAACTCCAGTGCTCCAAGTGCTACCAGGGCAATGGATAGTCCCTTGTGTTCATTGGTCAGCAACCCTCAGAGAAACGACCTTGTAAGAAGCCTCCCAGCTCAAACGCCTTCGCCATGAAGCATCAAAGGCAGCATGCAGAGCAAACGAAAATAAACCTACTTCACAATTAAGCTGGCACTGGGCACGAGCTTTAGATCCTTCAGACTCTCTCCAAAGTACTCCTGGTTGAAGACCTTTCTCGGGAAATTCTGTGTGAAGCTTTCGACGTCCCGACCAGTTTCTTCCCCTACAGCCGCCGCCACCTCGAACAAGGTTGTCTCGACAGGGAAGGTCTTCATAATGTTTCCAGTCGATGTTTGTAGCCTTAATCGTGTCTCCTTATACTCGGAGGCTGGCTTGGACGCTGCTGGTGCCGCTGGCGCCGCTGGCGGAGGGGCTGCTGCTGCGACCAGAGGCGCAGTCCCAGCGCGCTCGGCCTTTTCCCGCTCAGCTCGCAATCGTCGTTCTTCTTTATCGGCAGCGATCTTAGCTTGAATCCGCTTCTTTGCTTCAATGTCCTCCTGCCTCTCTCGCCTCTTCTTCTCGGCCTCCTTGATCTGCTCTTTGACCTTCAGTTGCTCCTTCAGGTCTTCCGTTTCCTTGGTCTTCTTCCGGTTGATCTGTTCATTGCGCTTTTTGTCGACCTTGTCTTGTTCGGATTGGATTGCTCGCTTGGCAGCTAGCTTCTCCCTCAATTCTGCAAGCTTTGCCTTTTTCTCTTCTTCAGTCAAGGGTGCAATTTCTTCAGTGGACTCCGAGAAGTCAGTATGGCCAGATTTCGATGCGTGGAACTCGGCCTGGGCGGTCCCTCTAAACTTCTTCCCACACTCATTGCACACAAGACTCTGTGCCTCTTCGGCTGCCTCTGCAGCCTTTGCCTCTTCTGCTGCGGCCTTCTCGGCTTTCAGTTCTTCTAATGACTTTGACGAGTTCGCATCGAGCCAGTCGATAGCGTCTGCCACTGTTGCGTTATTCAGCACGTGGTGAGGGGTGTGAAAGGATCAAGCCCACTTACAGCTGCCTGTATTCTTCAGTGCCATTTCACTGCGTTCCTTGTCGAAGCCCATCATGACCAACTGATCTAGGTCAGATGTCGCCATTTTATTTTCAATGTATTCTGTGGGGTCTCTTGAGCGGTTCTTTGGCCCGGGTCAGGCCGATGAGGGAGGAAGGTGGAGAGGAGAGGTTGCGGAGCCTGGATGAAAAGAGGATTCAAACACGTCTAGGCGGTGGCGGAAAATGATGGCTTCGGTGTGAAGGTCGTGCGCGGTGCAAGTGAAGACACGGTAGTCAGAGAATACAGAGCGATTGTCTTTTGAGGCACAAACAGTTGACTTGCTGGGTGCGGGGAGTTAGAGTGAATTTACGAAGTACGAAGTACCGAGTTAGGAGTAGGGTTAACGCGGGACACTTTAAATGTACTCGACAGGCGATTGCAGGTGGATTTACAGGCTAGTGAGGTTTAGTTTGTGGGCGTCAAGTATCAGCGTCATTACGCCCAGTGGGATGCTGGGTGATGCCCACTATCCGCCTAAGTGCCACCAAGCAACCTCTGCTTAACAAGTACAGGTGCCACTACTCCCTACTTGTTAGGTGACCCAGGCCCCTGAGCGGCTTTGGGGCCGTACTGACCATTAACCAGCTTCCAGCCTCTCCGAATCCAGTCCTCACTTCCTGCGCATCACTTGGTCGTCATGGGTCTCCCTGCGCTTCGCTAGACTACCAAGTCTTTGCTGAACAATCCACTCGGCATCTCTATCAATTTCAAACGTCCAACAATCCCTTACTGTTAAGTTCTCCTGTCTTGCTCTTCCCAAGCCCTCCGACCGTCGTTTCCGTCGCCGTAGGACTGCGCATCGCCTTCATCGACACTCCACCATGTCTGTAGACCTCCAGCCAGCCGAACTGGGCTTCCGACGTCAGTGCCCTCACTCTTCGAACACGGCATACACTCACACTTGAGCAGGCCCTTTCAATCGCGAAGTCACCGAGATCCTCAAGCTCACAAATGGCAACACCCAACCTGTCGCTTTCAAAGTATGTCAAACCCTCTGCCAATTGATGCTGCGCATGCTAACAGATGGCAAACAGGTTAAGACCACAGCCCCCAAACAGTGAGTTTTGTGGCAGAGAAATAAGGGGATAAATCACGATTCTCTAATACTGAACCAGATACTGTGTGCGACCGAATTCTGGCATCATCGCGCCCAATGAATCCGTCGATGTTCAAGGTGCGATTTAGGACGCTGTTTCACAATCCCTGCGGCTAACCTCTACAGTTCTCTTACAAGCAATGAAAGAAGAACCTCCACTTGACGCCAAATGCCGGGATAAGTTCCTCGTTCAATCCGTCCTCACTTCGGCCGATCAAGATCCCAATGTCACAACCCTTTGGCAAACCGTGGAGAAGACGGCCAAAAACACCATTCAAGAACGAAAGATCCGCGTCAACTTCCTCCCTGCCGCCGCAGCTACACCCAACGGCGTCTCTTCCCATGAAGAGCAACCTCCCGCCTACTCTTCCCCAACTCCGCAGTTCGGTTCTCCTGCTCAGCAATCCTCAACCAATGCATCAGCCGCAGAATCCGTAAAGACGTCAATGGCAAAGGCTGCGGAAGCGACTGGCCTCACCACCGCCGCTTCCACTGTTGCCAGCGCCGTCCCGACATCAAACGAGGACTTGAAGGAACAATTAGCAGCTGCAAAGACACAGATTCAAAAATTGACAAGCCAACTGCAAGATCCACAATTCCGGCAGAGAAAGGCACAGGAGACGAACGAGAAAGTCCAGGCGGTCGTACAACAGAGACACGAATCAGGGGTTCCGCTGCAGATCGTGGCTGCACTTTGTCTAATCAGCTTCCTGATTGCTTACCTCTTTTTCTAGAGGGAATCAATCTATCTTGGATATTGAGATTGTTTTGAAACAGTCAAGGAACACCTTTTGTGGTAGTAAGCCGCGCCACCCCGAGACGAAATGAGACGAGCAGCAGGTATCAGTGGAGTGTGGGAGTTGCGCGCAATGTGGGGGATTGTGCTGGGCGGTGGAAGTTCTCAATGTTTGCTCCCCGCAGTTTTTAAGACGGTCGGCAAGAGAAATCGAGTGTCGACATCTGGAGGAAAGTGTGTCTCACAGAGACAGGTAATGGAGCAAGGAGCATTCCGTACTGAGGTGTGTCTGGATTTTCGATGTAAGCCTAGAACAAGCAAGAGCAAGTCAACATTCAGGTTCCAGAAGAGCAAAAAAAAACGAGGACAGTACTGCAAATGTTATATCTGCTTTCTCTACCGCTGAACGATCAATTCAGGTATTTATATCGCCCCAGCAATTGCATCCTTCTTCGGGAGTGAAGCCAACAGTTTCTTCCGGTCTCGATGGTCTGCTTCGAAATTTGACAATTTCCCATGTGGCGAACGGGGGGATTCTAGAATTCCTCTATCTAACCACTGGAGAGATGCACTTTCAACTTTTGGTAGTTTGCTAGTTGCTGAGATGGGAGGTGCTTGCATCTCTGAATCACCGAGGTCAGATCATCTGTTCGGCTGTTCAAAAAAAAATAGGAAACCAATGTCAGATGCCCATCAATATCGAAATCCACCGACATACCGCATAACTTTTGATCACCCAGGATGGCTCCTCGACGGGTCCAGAAGACTGCGGAACGGTCAGCTCTCACCATATCCATATCCAAATTCTTGAGGAAATACCTTGAAATTGCATGCGCGCGGGCTTTTTCAACCTCCCCCATGAACGGAGGCATCATCTCGAAGTCATTGGTCTATATGTACCGCGGTGGATAAACCATTGGATCAGGATGAATTTGAGAACAGTCTGAGACTGATAGCTGAAGTACCCGGCTGCATCATACGTTGCGCAAAACACCACCCCTAGAATGGCACTTACTGCAAGAGACGATCGGAGTTAATACCACCCAGCGCCAGAACATCACTTGCCAGTAAGTTGACGAGAACTCCATCGTCATCGACTAAGCACAATGACCTTAAAGAGCAAAGCGAGGAATCGCTTCCAACCTTGTGTTTTGGGGTGGAGGAGATTCTGCAGGCAGTAACATGACGTACACATTGGTGCTGCGTCGGGGTGACGAAGACGAGAAGAACATGGCTAAGGGCTCCTTTTGTATCGAAATCCAGGGTGCCGTTCGACTTGCCAGCTGCTGAAGAGAACATGGGCCTCTACCTAGAGTGTCACGGTATCTTCAGCCTTGCCGACAATTACTCAAGAAGGGCAACGGGGAAAGGCGTATCCGCTGAGCCGCAAATACGTTAGTCAGGCATGCAAGAGCCTCGTCCACCTCAGGAAATAAGCCCTAGGTCGCGTTCACTCGAGGACTTGATCCCCTGAAGGATGTTGGTGTGGAAATTTGTAGCAAAAGCCGCGGGACGCTGGGGGTACGATGGTCATTGGCATCATTGCCCTGACTTGACCCATGGATTCTCGCAGATGGCATCTTAGGCGGGGGAAGCAATGAAGGCAACCAAATATGCCGCTGTCAAACTCAAGCGGATGACATACATTTAGGTTGACTGTTGCAATGTACGTAGTGATATGCATTCTTGTAGATAGAACAAGGATGATGCTATAGGCCAAGTCCTCGAGTCTTGATGGCTAAACTTCGGCTGCGGCGACCATGCCACAGAACGGACGGAGATCAACAGCTTTGACTTTACTTGACTTCAACCGGCCTTAGGATCCCTTTTATTTTCTTTCTTGCACCTCTCGCAATTCCCTTGCCCTCTCTCGCGACGATCGCCACCGTCTTCTACATCACCGCAACCATGTCGACCGAGATGGACGTAGACACGGCTCCTGCAGCCGAGTTCAAGAACGGCACCCCCTCCCCAACCGGCACCAAAAAGTCCTCCTCTGCCAACGCAGGCACCGAGGCGCGCACGGCTCAGAACGCCGTCGCGGTCCGCAGTATCGAAGGCTGGATCGTGATCGCCACGAACATCCATGAGGAAGCCACTGAGGAGGACATCCACGATCTCTTCGCCGAGTATGGAGACATTAAGAACTTGCATTTGAATCTGGACCGGAGGACTGGGTATGTCAAGGTATGAATTTGGTTTGCACCTGGACTAAAACGGGCGCATCTGGACCAGGAAGAGAGAGTGTGTGTGCGGGCGAGGGTGCAATAGGATGGCATGGCAATGGAACGACCAAAGGCGTGCAAGAGGCAGAAGACAAATGCAGCTAAACTAACTAACTGGGTGCCTTTGCCAGGGCTACGTTCTAATCGAATACCCTACCCAAGTCGAGGCGCAGGCCGCCATCAAGGCCCTGGACGGCGCAAAACTGCTCGACCAGACTATCTCAGTCGACTACGCCTTCGTCCGTCCGCCACCCAAGGATAAAGGCAGCCGTGCCAGTGGCGTCGCAACAAAGGGCCGTGGTGCCGGCGGCGGCAGAGGTGGAAGGAGTCGAAGCCGAAGCAAGTCCAGGAGCAAGAGCAGGAGCCGGAGTCGCGACAGGGACAGGCGGAGGGATCGCGATGAGGACAAGATGGACAGGGACTGAACACTGAAAGAAGGATATGAGAAAAAGACTACCGGTTATCTTCTTCTGTGGCCCAGAGAGCTCCTGCGACCATCCTCATCCTCATTCTCATAAAACTCGACAATTTTGATGAGAGGGCATTTCTCCGGGGCGCAGCCTTCAGTCGCTAGCTACCTCGTAGAGCGCTGAAAACTCCTGGCTCGGCTACGATTTCCAACCGGGTACCGCACATGAATCTGTGGTTTGGGCATATTGTGAATCAAGCAGCCCTGCAGCTTTGCCTACGTAAGAAGAGTTGGACACTGCCGATACTATATGATCGGCACCGTAGCATGACTTTCTTCAGGTTAGTGTTCCCTCTCTGTACCATTTCCTCGGTCGGCCGCTGACGATTTCGCTCAGTTTGCCAGTTCATCACAAATCATTAGTTCTTCCACACAGGCCTCGAGTTGCGACGTTCGCGTTGGACAGACAGCTCGCACGGAAAGGTCCGTCCAGAAAACAGGGTGTAAACAATCAAAACAAGTTCCATACTGAAACCAGGGACAGTTTCGCTACCCAGTAGCTCGCTGTCGCCAATCAGCCACAATTCACTATGATTACCAATGCAAACGGAATCCTCCCGAAAGCCATTAGGAGTGTTCCTATCCCAAGAGGCTTTTCCGCATCCTCGATAACTCATCCGATTCCACCAGTGTGCTCTGAATGCAAAAAGTACGTCGATGCTCATTTCAAAACGATCGCCTTCCCAACCGCAACCTTACCTCTGGAGGCCTTGAAATTACGGCTCTCGCAGACCTTGCTCTGCGCATCCTTTCTTCCCCAGGCAACCTCAAGTCCTCTCACAGAAGCTCTTCCTTCTCCTCCTCCTCTCCCTTCACTTCCTGCTCCGCCTTCTCTTCCTTCTCTTGCTGCGTCTTCTTCTCCGTTGGTTGAATCATCTCAACAATTTCCAAATCCACAATCGAATGCAAGCCCTTCTTGGCAAATGGACAGTTCGGTCTGCCGCAAGTGGAATACTTGGAAATGTTTGGACAGTGGTGAGCCAAGTAACAGTCGTGGCGTCGGCATTCTGCGCCTTGATTGCAGGGCATCGTCCGAGCTATGTTCCGCAATGCAAGATAAATGCCGTCCGAGATTTCCTCGTGATCAAATGTACATTGTGGATCGCTACAATTGTTTCGCATGTGGTGCTCATTGCACAACTGTCGATTGCCTACACGCAACCTGAAGGCGTCATGCTCAGAGGGTGTGTCACGCGGGAGCTTTAGATCAATGCGTTGCCCTGACTGGTTCAAAGCAATGGGAGAGCAGATAGGGCGTGCCAGAGGGCTTGGTTCGGGTTTCGTCAAAGCCTGACGTGTTAAAGCTGATGAAAAGTCGTTCGATTTGGTTGCAGCCGACAAAGCAGACGCGCTTGCTGGACGTGGCGATGGAGACGATGCTTGGGTTGGCGCTTTGGACAGCTCATTTTGAACCATATCATCCCATGACCCTTCAAACTGCCGAGGACTCTGTCTCGGTGGCGGGGCATGGATAGGACGATCTTGTCTCCGCCCTCCTTGCTTCTGTCTCCGATTGTAATTGTTGTTTGCTCTCCTCATCAATGCAGGCTCGTCATCCGCACCATGTCCAGGTAATATCTTCTCTTCACCCCATGGAACCGCGATGGCGGGTGGTGCGTAACTGTTAGTTGGCGCATTCTCCCACTGCTGTTCAGCGGCTTTTGACTGATGAGAAGAGTGTGAAGACGTGTCGAGCTTGACGACGCCCACGGAACTCGAGCCTTCAAATTTGTCCATATCGCCGTTCCGCTCAAGGTGTGTTTTTGCAGGCATTTTCGAGACTTGGGTAGAGGGCTTCTGCATATTCTCAATGGTCTGATTGGTAGGCTTTGGAGGGCTGGAGTGAAGGCCGACAGGAAGCGAGGGGGGGACGGGTTGTTCCAGGGGGTTTGGATTGCTAGGGTGATTTGACAGGGTCTGCACACTGGTGTTTTCATAATGCAGAGCCGGTAACGGTGGACCGGCTGTGCCGTTGATCTGCGGACTGATGGCGGCGAAAGAAGTGGCCTGCTGAGGCACGCTTTCAACAACAGAGAAGTCAATTGTATGGAATGGGAGATTGTAACCATTGTGAAGCCCTCCGCTCGGGCGAACGAGAGAGGTCTTTGATTTCGTATAGCCATCGTCGGCGTAAGTCTCAAGGATCTCATAGTATTCTGACTGGCCTTGCAGAGCTAGGAAAAGATGTCTACAATGGCAATTTTCGAGATACAATTCGTAGAAGTCTAGATGTTGTTCAGCAGCGGCCATCAAACAAAAAGGGCAGTCGACTTGGACTCACGCCTTATTTTCGCTTCGACGGCATAGTGACCGGAACCACAGTCGGAGATGGTGATGCCCGGCCCCAGTTTACCTGCCTCTTGGATGAAAGCCCACAGTTGATCAGGCTCGGGAAGCAAACCCGTGGTTGAGAGGTCGTCGGCCAGCTTTCCAACATCGATGAAAATGTGCACTATTACCGAAAGGTGGTCAGGCAGATCATTCTTGTGCTGTTCGCGGGCGAGAGCTTTGGCTTCAGTCACGAGAGTGTCTATGGCTAGTTTCGCCCCTTGTATTCCTGCTCTTACAAGGTTGGGTTTGAAAAAGTGGTGATTCCCGTCGACGAGGACCATGACATGTTGAACACTTGACTGTCATGATGGATCAGTAAACGACGCACCCGAAGTCAAGAAGAGAAGAGGACAAACCAATCGAGACTCGGCTTCAGTCGCTCGCTTGTGCCAGTGTCTTCGGGATTCAGTCTGATCTAGGAGATCATACTTGAGGTTTTCACACTCGGCTTCTTTTGCGCTAAGCAGCTGGAGTAGTTTCTGTGAAAGTCAGCCACCACAACGGTTGAAGAGGGAAAAAGCAACAGCACATGGAAGATAGCTTCGGTTTCGGTGACCTTAGCCTTGTATTCCCTCTCTAATGACTTCAGCGCAGCCGAGGGTTGGGCGGTGCCGTCTGCCATTGCGGCGGATCGGCTAGGTGCACGGAGAAGGAGTAAGGTTTGGGTTGGTTTGGTTGGGCAGCAGAGGAAACGCCCGAGAAGGGGGACGTTTCTCTTGCCCAAGTAATATCACGGATTAATACAGACGACAGGGATGCCAGAGATAGTGGGACAAGTTGAGAGATTTAAAATTGAATCGTGTGACCGGCGATCGCAAGAGCGCCAGCACCTCATCAACCAGGCATTGTTGCTCTTTCTTCTGCCTTCCCCCTCAAAGCCAGGGTGTAGACAAAGGAAGGGCACGAATGCACAAAGGACCAGACAAGGAGAGTTGAAAGTTTGCGGCATCAGAGGTAGAACGCGTCCAATTGAGTTGGACTCTAACAAACAGCAAGCTTAGATCAGGTACGCGCCCTTGTCCGGGGGCCTCGGAGGGCTCGCTTAGGCGCAGATCTGGCGGGGTTAGGGGCTAGCGGGTGGAAAGGGCGCTTCTCTTCCCACTAACTGCCTAACAAGTCTAGGTAGGCAAGCGAATTTGGGCCGCTCATCCAGGAAACAAAGTTGACCTGCTGATTGCGTGTGTCTTTACCAGGAGGCAATGTGGTAGCACAACTTTTAGGGAGACCGAAGACTAGGGGAACGGCCCGCAGAGTTGGGTAGCCAAAGGCACTGGGCTCCTTGCCAAAGAGAAGCCCAAGGTAACGAAAAGACAGCAGGGCGTAGGGAGGCACGCCCATTCAGACTGTAGCACGTATTATCGGTAGTGACAGCCGAAGAATTAGGGGCCTTAGAAGCCCTAAGTAAGGCGGGCTCTGGGCAGGAGGGTTTAGAGCACAGAGGGGAAACGGACAGCAGTCAGGACCGAGCCAATCAATTAACCATCTGCCAAGACACCTTAGCCCGCTTTGGGCAAGACTCCATGGTACACAAACTTACCTATTACGGGATCCACCTTCCGCATGACTGCCGCCAGACTCCACACCCGAACTTTGACCCTCACCCTCACCCTCGCCCTCACTTTTACTTTCACCTCCACTTCAGCCTGCCCAAGAAAGACGTGCAACTGCTCAGTCCCAAATAAACCATGTCTCTCCCACTCACACTCCCACTTTGATCTCTGCCACTTCCGCAACATGCAATTCCCACAAAATACAGCCCTCATAGTGGTGTGTTAGGCTCATATCAACGCACTCTGATCCTCTCTTGCTCCCGATGGAACCATTGTCATTGAAGCCTTTGGCGCGGCGCCTACTCAGGGCTGTCAAGATTTGTCAATTGAAGGACCGGAGAGAGGACCTCTGTGAGAGTCTTGTCCATGTTTCGGATCTCTATCATTGCCAGCCCCTGCGTAAGACTCGAAACTTTCACCGACAGTCTCTTTCTAGGTCTTGGACGGACGCGCTGAACCTGGCTCTGAGAGTCTCGCTGGAGCAGAGCACACCTCGGATGCAGCATCCGTGCCTCGTTGGGAGTGCTCTTTTGTCAGTCTACTTTGCGTCGTCTTTGGCTGTCATCTAAAGAGGGCCCAGTAGCAGCGAACTGTACTCGGCCAACATCTCGTTACTCTATCAGCCGATTGCCCTGTGGCCGGTAAGCATCTGTTGGCACGTCAATCCCTTTTTGGTCCTTATTATACTCGCTCTACAGACAAACTCGTTGACAGACTCGCACACCTATGGGAAATTGGGCGGCTCTGTCAAAACTATCAGCCTGGTCAGGGCTTCCTCTGACTCGTCTACATGCCGCTTTGAGCCTCCTTGGACGACTTCGTGGCCTCTCCCCCGAGCTGCCTGGGTTGAGTGCCATCAAACCGAGTCTCGCCCCTGGCGCTGTTCGTCCAGCCCCGGATTCTGTGTGGAATCAGATCCAGGCCATTGCGCAAGCTCCTGACCAAGCCATCATTCACATGGCAGTTTCCCATCACCACACCTTATGTGGTCACCTCCTGTTGATGGACCTCCACTTTGCATTGTTATATATCCGATTCAATCACGCGCGCGTTCTTCTAACCCTTCCAGCCCCCTTTGCCAGCGTCAGCTCATTCGTTTCGCTCACTGTTTTGGAAGGATTTTCCCTTCAGCCATTCCCTTCCATAGAGTCATTCATTTCGTTCTTGCACAATGCGTTTCGTGATTGCGGTGGCCGCTTTGGTGCCTGGAGTTGCTATTGCTGGACCTTTGACCACAATCAATCCTTGTCCGAATGCAACAAGCATATCCGCAACCCCAATCACCGTTACAATGCAGCATCAAACCGTGTCAACCTGTTCCACAACATCGACATGCTTCCGGGGATCTTGCATCGCCCGCTATTCCATGGAGACATTTGCCTACGTTAACACCATTATCCCAGCCGCATGGGACGGCACCTCGGCCATTACGACCACAGTTACTTCTACTGGTCAAACCGTTACAGTTTCTCGATTCCATTCGACAATCACTAAATTTGCGACTCCCACCTCAGCCGTCGTCAAGAATGGGACTACTTCTCGCGCTGCTCCCCAACCAGTGTATCTCACTATTGCAAAAGACTTTATGGTTCCATACAACAAGATCGGCCCATTGGCGATTCCAGGCTACGGCGGAAGTGGCCTCTGCCAGGGATGTAATGTGCAACAGGATGGAAGCCGTTCTCAAGTCGTCAACGTTATTGAGTGCAGGTCAGGTCTTGACAGAGCCAAGTGCATGGCATACGCGGAGACATGGATTTCCAAGCTGGCTCTTGCCGCTTCCTCTACAACATTGGTACCTCTTGCAACCAGATTCGTGGCTCCTTCAGCTGACACCTATACCTTTACATTCACTTTGACCTCTCCTAGCCACATAATCACTGCCGGAGTCGAGACCATCACTGTCGCTCCGAGTCCGTTCTTTCATCATGTCATCCGTCAATGCCACAGGCCTCGAGAAGTTGTCGATTTCACCATTGTCGTCACCAAAACAATCTCCTGGACGGTGCCCTGTAGCAGACAGCCGCCGCGGACCTCAAGTGTTGTTCCAATTCCCACTGGTCCTCATGCAATTCCAGGGGTCCGTCAACCGGGAAAAGGACCGGATCCTTCTCTCATCAATTTGGGAGGCGATGCGTACGACTGGGCTGACTGGGGAAGCGATGAAGTGAGCAACCCTAACCTTCCCCTTCCTCCGGACTGGGCTTACTGGACTGCAACTCACTCCGCTATTGGGTCCGAAACTTCGAGAGTGTTTCCGAGTTCGAGCTTCGGCTCGACCAGCGGCCCTACGAGCAACTCGTACATGACGAGCTCCAGTACATACAGCTCCTCTGGAACGAGTGGGACGAGCAGTTCTTTTGGCTCCTCTAGCTCAAGCCTTCCACAGTCGTCATCGACCAGCAATTCTCCCGGCAACTCTTCCTCCGCTTCTACCGCCAGCTGGGTTACTAGCAGCTTATCTAGCGGCAGCTCGGGGTCATCGATTGCCAGCGGCGTGTCCGTCACTATGGTCAGGACATCAAGTCTCTTGGGTGGACCTCTTCCTAGATCGACTTCAACTTCAATCTTTAGCTCTAGCTCTTCCACTGGTCTTAACCCAATGTCAACATCGAGTCCCTCAAGCTCAAGTTTTACAAGCGCACTGACTTCTGGCTCAACGTCAACCTCTACTATTGTTCCTAGTGGCCCGGCCACAAGCTCGTCCAGCAGCTCAAGCTTTTCCAGCGGCCCCATTTTTGGGTCCACTTCCAGTACTGGCTCGGAAACAATCAGTGCTTTGACAACCTCATCTACTACCACCAGTACTGGCTCAGGAACAACCAGCATTTTGATAACCTCATCTGCTACTTCCAGCTTCGGTGCCGGACCTGTATCTAGGTCGACCACAGACTCATCCAAAAATCTATCCTCAAGGCCCATCAGCTCTTCCAGTAGCTCCAGAGCCAATGTTTCCCCAATCAATTCATCTACGACTCGTCTATTAAGCACAGTCTCTGGGACTTCGTCAAGCTCATCTAACAGCATCTCTGGAATTACAACCTCAACAAGTGGCTCCTACAGTTTCAGTACTGGTGTTGTCTCTGCATCTACCACCACTTCGAGCATAAGTTCAATTGCCGGTCCAAACTCCTCTGGCAATAATTCCGGTCCATCAACTCCGATAAGCAGCTCATCTAGCACCAGCTCCATGACAGGTTCGAGTTCATCAGACACTGTGTTCTCGATATCAAGTTCATCGACCACGGCATCCTTGGGCTCTACCTCAACTAGCCGCTCTTCTGCCTTTAGCGTCGGCCCGATCAGAGGATCGACTTCCACTTCTGCCAGCACCACATCCAGCCTCGTTAACAGCATATCGACTTCCATGACTTCAATTTCAACCCCAACTGTTGTTGTGTCGATCGGAACAACGACTGGCTCCTGGGTTTCCTCTTTGTCAGCTATCACCATTTCTACCGGTTCCGCTCTCACATCTACCAGCACCTTCTTCACAACCTCTGCTCCTTCCTCTGCCACAATTGATAGCAGCAAGTCGTCGGCATCCATCACAACTTCAAGCGCAGCACTTGTCCCTGCCCCTCCCGCTACGAATCTCTTCCTTATCAGCACAAACTCGCCTCTGAAAACTCGCAAGCGATCTCTTCAGTATATAGGTTTCTCCAATGGTATCGGTACGCTACTCAACGATCCCGCACCAGCAGCCCAGTTCTTTTTGGATACTGCCGGCTACTTGCGAATTGGCTCATTCTACGTTGATGCAGACTTCAGTCAGCCATACCTTACCTTCTCATTGATTGCGACTATCAGTGGCAGCCTCTCCAAGTGGGCTATTGATCTCAATGGCATTCTGTTACTCCAAGTGCAGAATACAAATTTCTGTACTAATGAACAAGGCATTGTCTTCATTCTTTTCGGAGGCTCAACGCCATTCATTTGCTTTACGATTATTCTGGAAGCCACCCCTCTAACCTCCGGTAAGTAATCATGGATTGACCCGGGTCTTGAGGTCCTAACATATCTTCAGGTTCCACAAGCAGCAGCGCAACCTTGCTACCTTCCACGATCTCGCGAGTCGGGTCATCATCTACCGCTGCTAGTACCCAAGCAACAGGTAGCAGCATCAGCATCTCGACATTCTTCACCTTTAAAACATGGCCATTGTCGACCAGTTCTAGACAGGTTGGATCTTCGTCAACTATCAGTAGTGCCGCTAGTGTACCAGTTACCTCAAGCTCTGAGTCATTGTTTTCCACATTATCAACATACACATTCTCAAGGATATCAGTAAGTACTAATAATCTATCCACTACTTCTGAGGCTACCACATCGTCTGCAACCTCATCAAATACCAAACCTCAACATACAACGAGCTCGACGTCTTCAACAGCTTTCTCCGTTTCTCAATTTCCAACCTCAGGAAGCATGAGCACCCCATTATTCACCACGTCGGTATCAATGTCGCCTACTAGTTTTACAAATAAGACTTCATCCACAACAACACCGAGTACGGGGTTATCTACAACCTCCAACATTTCTCCTCAGTCAAGTTCGAACTCCTCAGGTGAGCCTGCGTCACCAACTTCATCTACAGAAGGGCAAACCTTAGCAGGTAGCGGGACAACAACTTCCGGCATCGTGGACGCAGTGGCAACCAGCACTAGTGCAATATCTGCTAGTACCACTGGAAACGTCACTACAACCAGTATTACTTTAGAGCCAACTACTACCACCTCATCTCAAGGCCCCTCTACTATCACAAGCTCTTCTAGAACGACAACTACTTATAAGATTCCCGCATCTTCTGCCTCTAGCACGACGTTTGGAGTGGAGACATCTTCGAGCACTTCGGGCCCTGACATCACATCAACTGCCGTATCTACGGCCTGGGCAACAACGGCTGCTGTAGACACCTCCTCGCCAGCCGCGGAACCTACGACATCAAGCTCGACCTCGTGTTCAGAAGTGGAACCGTCCTCTACAAGCCTCACGAGAACAACGACTTTTTCCCCTGAGTCCTCGTCGATGATCCGCACTAAGGACCCTGAGTCAACGACCACATCCTCACCCGAGACCACGAGCACTACTAGTATGGGGACAAGTAGCATATCCTCTCAGACAGCATCTTCCACGACTACAAGCGAACTAAAGACCACTCCTCTGGCGCCTCCCCTGACCAGCGGCAGCGCTATCTCTGAGATGGTGGACATGAGTGGTATCAACGCAGCTTCCACCAGCACAATCACGGCCGAAGCAGACTCTACAACTTCAGGCGCCAGTATCCGCGGGCCAGAGACTTCGGAGACCACTATCAAGACGAGTAGCCTTTATACGACTTCGGAGGGACAGCTCTTTATAAGCAGCCCCTTAACGACAAGTCCTGAGTCAATGCCTAGCAGCACCTCAACCGGCGAGACCAGTATGACGTCCGAAGCTATGACCAGCATGAGCAGCGCAACGAGCGCGCCGGTCACAACGCCCGTGGCAGTATCTACGAGTAGCTCGGGTCCTTCTGGAACTACCCCTACTCCCTCCAGCACAGTTAGCCCCTCGGCCGCGACAACTGAGCTGCCGTCAACAAGCTCTGAAGCCACAGGTGCAAGTCCAGAGGAAACGACTACCCCTTCAGAGGTAATGTCCACTGCTATTCCCACAACACTCTTGACGGCAACGTCTCCGCCACAACCAATGATGACCACCACCGAGGCTCCGGTTGTATTTGACCCGACGTCGCTGGCGGGTCCATCGCCAATAGACACGACTACAGGGCTAGCAACCTGGGAAAAGGTGCGACGAGGCATTCAGTATAACGGTCTTCATTTTCAGAATGGTCGGCCTCAGTAATCTCTTGTGTGATCTTTTGGTATCATGAATGTAGAGGACGACGGAATTCGATTACAGGCTGCGAGAGGTGTGGTGGACTCACGCAAGCCTTTTCCACGTTGCAGGGGAGTCTGTTGAGCCCCGTTGATTCTCTAATACACGGATTTTGCAGGATGACTATACATTCCGATGATAGGGAGGCTGGGGATGGATAAAAGGTGTCAAACATGTACGACTAGTGTTGCGGTTTCTGGGACAATATGTCAGCAATTCTCGTGATTCATATACTTGTAAGCATATCCTTTTCCGGCCCCTGGAATTTCCAAACGGGGTTTTTGGGAGGAGGGAGGGGGCGGGTCAGAATTCAAACCAGTGGGTTACAGCCAATCGCAAAGTCATGTGCGAAATACAGATTTATGTTGTATATTTGCCATCTCAGCCTCTCACCTCCCACTGCCTACCTCATGAACAGGTTAGCGCCTTGGATATCTAGAGATCGGGGGTCACGACTCCTCTCGCTCTTGCAAGGAAGAACGAGTAAGCATTCCACGCATTGTCTCGCAGCCGGCTATGTTCTCCAGCGGCTGTGAGAAGAGGGGCCAGGACTGTTGGACAAATATTATGTAGTGCATGTGCTCGGACGTGGATTTGCAGCTGAGTCTATGAATCTGCTTTTTCGTGCCCTTTACGGATCTAGGTGGCTGCAGCGGGGTAAATATGGTCGTTGCACTACCAGCGCCGTCGACGTGCAGCTGGCCGTACTGCTTGCAGTGGCATCGTACAGTTCTGCGCGCCCGCAGGAGGTTTAATCTGTCTCCAGAAAGTCTTGGTCTCTGAAGATACCTTAGAGATATCTTCGTGACATCTCTAGACCGCAAGGTTGTTATCGATTTACCATAATGAGAATCCTTGGAGGACGTATCAGAGACATTGTCGATCTATTCTCACACGACTCGAGAACGTCTTTGAAGAGGATATCGACCTTCTCTGATACCCTGTAAATACGTGATATTCTCGGGGATATTCTTGATATATACAATTTTCTCACAGCCCTTGGAGCCTTGCCTTACTTAGAGCAACTTCAGCTTCGTGCCCTTAGCACACCATCGACAGCCCACCTCACTTCAGCAGGTCGATCCAGGATACTATATCAACCACAGATACTAGCTTCCAAATACGCATCAAACACCTAACCTGCTTCACTGCACCGAGCGCCAGGAGCTCCACTTGTAGAGCAATAAAAAAAGACAAGACTTACACTTGTGCGCCCCGTACATCCTACGGGTCCGCAGGCCGTATTACAAAAGTAGGTCGGTGCGCCGTAGTGGAAGCAGGCTTGCCGGATGCCATTTAGGCAACGCATCTATTTTGGATAAGTACCCATGTGTCAGCAGTCTCTCGTCGATGGTACTATGTGCAGGGGGGGTACAATGGAGGAATGGCTGAGGGGCCAAGGCCTTATGGAATAAGGGACTGATATGGGTAAAGGATGCATGGAGGATAAAAGAGATTGGGATTACAATATCGTAGTTGTTGAGGGAACAGCCGTAAGCAAGGTTATCTGAACAACCCGAGCCTTCTTTTGCAACGTAGCAGTTGCATTGGTTGCGACGGAGGAGGTTTCGAGCGGGATTGACGCTGGTGGGTGGCAATGCGAAGGAAGACGGGATGAGGAGGAGGGAGAGAAGGGGAAGGAAGTGCATGTTGGCAATAGGACTGGAGAGAGCGTCGATGGGCAAAATCAATGAGAGAAGAAAGACGGTTGAATAGCCAAGGGAAGGGAAGGTGGTGCTACGGGGAGCGTGTGTTAAATACCTTGTACTTTGTACCAAGGTATTCCTTGTAGCGTGATTCGGTCGAGAGCCTGGAAGTATACGAGGGAAGTCGTCTAATAAGGTTTGGAAAGAGACGGCGATTCGTGCCCGCACAGGAGCTATAGTCCCAAGCCCAGCGAGCAGTTTGCAGTCACCAATAGGGGAAGCACACTACCGCCCCGAGGCCATCGGGTGTGCGGCCCATTCCTGCGCGGCACGGGACGGGAGAAGCTTGTAATGTAACCTTGCAAATGTCGCGACGTGCCCAGACCCAGATTTTTCGTTCGCGAGGTACATACTAGCTTGTGAACAAAAAAAAAAAAAAAAAAAAAAAAAAAAAAAATTCTAAGGCTGATAGTCTCTAGATCGTAGCTTAGTGATTGAGAAAGAGCAAGTCAGTTCTGTTAAGAACGGCTTCCCCCGAGAGAGCTCTTATAGAAAAAGTCGATCGGAAGTAAAAGGGATCCTGCGTCCGTTGGATGAGAGGAGATGGTCCAGAACCTGTGATGGATGACGATTGTGCGTGGATCTCAGTAGACACTATACAGTATGTTCCCTAGTTTGAAAGGTGCGGCATCAACCTAGACACAAATGTGATCCTTGCCAAAGAATGGCCGAGTCCTGAAGTGGCAGGGGATCATTGACGATGCCATTCTAGTAGACCTCGAGAACTATGTATTGTTGCAGAATTCTTCGTTGTCCCTTGACCAGGATCATCGATCTTATATAGGACCATGTGCCCACTTCCAAGACTTTATCAACCGACTCGACTGCGGGCCGTGGCGGTTCTTCTTACGCTCGCAGTGCTGAAATATAATTGATAGATGTCAGAGAGCAACACAAGCAACAAGAGAGGTCAATAAAGGTCTTTCTGTGCCAAGAGTAGAGAAAGCGGTTTCCCTCAATATCCCGACCTGTTTAGTAGGGGAGAGAGCAAAACATATTGGGTAAGATCTGGTCTTTACACAATTCGGATTCGCTCTCCATTGCCAGATAGATCGTAGCGACCATCCACGATCTCGCCGTGCATATGACCAAAGACGAAACAACCCCCCACTTTCGATACTCGTTGACTAACTCCGTGGAACAGAGAATGTAGGGTGTATTCGCCCAGCAAGGACAAAGATGAGGTTCCGTTCTGCATCCCCACCGATTCTCTGGACTGTCCGAAAGAGCATAATGCGCCTTTGTTCCAGTTGCGCGAGCGAAATGGCTTTCGCACTCTTCATCAGACGGTCCCGACAGACAAGCCTGGATTTCGCAAAAGCATGTGAAAAGGTTAAGAAAGCCTCTTTCCAGTAAGGATGTCCAAGACGCGCCCGTTAAGCGCAAAATTGCGCGGCCGCCTTGAACCGAATCTTCTCCACATTTAGAATAACGCAGAGTGGAAAATGTGCCTTAAAATGACGGTAGTCAATGACTCAAGAAGGAAAGACTGAGCGTTCTAAGCCCTACGGTTTATGTGGCCCGGCCAGCAGGTTGAAGCACTGGGACTTTCGTGGAATGAGACCGGTGAGGTTGATATAGAGGCTTTCCAAGTCAATAGTGCAGTCTGTCTCAACACAAGAGGGCAGATTTGTGGCCGTGATTAACTTCGAAATGCCAAAAACTGCATCTACTCTGTCCTGTGGATCTGCAGACTCACATTCTCCAAAGGTTATAGGATAAGTGAATAAAATTCCGACGCGTTTAGGATACGTTTGGGCCAGAGAGAGGGGTCAGACCACTAGAGTAGGACTCGCACGTCATGGGTTTCCGTAGTGCGCCGAGGCGTAAGATCTGGCTGTTGTCACTGATATCAACATCCCATTCCCTTTGCCTTGCGGCAAAAAAGTGTTCCAATCAAGGACGTCATATAAATACCTCAAAGTTCATTGGCTTCCTATTCGAGCTCTTGAAGGATCCAGAACGCTCGTTACCTTCTCGAAAGCGAAAGCTCCTGGGTAGTCCGTATTTGCTGGAACCATCTGCATCAAATCGTGGAGAGAAGGAAGTCTGGGAATTTGTCTGTACTTGTAAATCGCTCACCCTCAACGCCTCTCTGCGCTTGTCCAAGGGATCTTGATTAAGACGAAAAAGATCATTTTGACCTTGGCTGACGGGTCTCGTAGTAGATTGACAACGGTTGAAGTGGACTCGATCTCATGTCCTAGCCATATCAAACCTCTTGAGCACAAGTACACATCTCCCCCATCAACTTTGTCAGAGAGGCTCGTTCGTCCAAGTCGTCCTGGTGAATGGAAATTGCCTCGAACCAGACCCATCTGGATACTCCTAGCCTTGCCAGATGCGTCAAGGCGGCACATAAGTTCAACATGATCTTGATGAGAGAGTGTCTACACATCAGAGTAATGCTGGGCCTCTTGGTGACTTGCTTCATCCGGTAGCATGGTAAGGACGCCATTTTGCCTCTCGAGATGACGATAAGGATATCCATAGACGTATGGCATGGCTTGAACTTGGGGGTTTTCTCGAGATCAAGCCCTTTAATCGTCCCTTGAGTCCCGGGAAAAAAGACTTTTCCAAGTAGAACCAGCGAATCTGACCATCACGTAACGAGCTAGGTAGACTGCTGGTGCTCGAAGTCACCCCACTTGATCTTCCGAGATGTGCACTGATCGGTTCGTATTGTAATGTCAGGAAGACGTCCACGGTCTCTTGAGGATCGTCCAAAAAGACTAAGGGTCCTGTCATTCCATGGCAGAATCGTGAACCTGTGGCCTATATACTTGCTATGAACCCCGTCAGAACATTTTAGGGGGCTGCGTTCGAAGATGGATGCAATTCAGGGAGAATTATTGACAGTTACGTTCCATATTGAGAAGAGCATCACCATGTCGCCCAAAGGATCTATGGGACCGTATCTATGGCGTGAAGGAGAGGTTACTAACTTATCAATCACCAACGTCAGTCAATGCTCCCTTGTACATTGAAGCTAGTTAGTGCTGCCGTACTTCCGCACACGTCATGTGACAAAGGACTACCCCCGGCCGCTCGCAATTGTTCGATGAGCCTCAACAGCAGACGCCTTGTCCATCAAAAGGACATTTCCATATCCCTTGGCAATCAATATCATCAAGACTCTCCCTATGTTCTGGCACCTCGTGATCTTCCAAGCGCACACGCGTCTCGATGCCTAAGACATGCAATATCTCTGAACGTGGGCCTATCTCATTCGTGGACGCACCTGTGAAGGACCATGCAAGCAACCAGGACAGTATCCTGCATCAGCCCACCGGCTCGTATGGCCCCTCATTGTCAGAGAACAACGACCAACATGAAATTGCTCGATTCCTACCCTCCATTACAAGAGTACACCACTCACGAGCCAGACAATTCCGCCGATGCTGCTCTATGCATGCAGCCGCTGAACTGGCACTGATAGCAATGATACTGGTCGCCTCATCTCCCACAACCCCGGCGTCTGCGTCATCCTTGCACGGGCCATGCGTTCGTCAACATTCCTGGCAGAGTGAGTTGGTCTTCCAATCAATAACACCTCCGTGACTTCACAGCTATTTGCGTGCGTTCTTGGCTACTAAAGCCCGTGATGCTCATTGATTCTTCCTCCATTCAGCCCTTCACACGTTGCAGCTGTACATGCAGAGCACGTGCATTATGGTGATATTATGCCTGCCAAAATTCTTCAAAGGAGTCGTGATGTGATCAGATTGGGCCGACCCAAAAATGGTCCTCGTCCCCTCCTACGCTACTTCTCCTCCCGACAGACCCCCTTTTTCATTCACCACCTAGCTACATGTCGTCCAAGGCCCCAAGTTCCATCTTCTACCTCCATAGGAACCGTGAGATTACCAGTACTGAGGCACGAATACTGGAATTATTGCATCCCGGATCCTCAAAGAAATCCACGAGAGGCACTCGTTCCGTACGTCCTGGCGCCCTTTGCCAACGTTCTCGGTATCACTAAATGCAATGTGGTCCTGATTAGGTCCGTTCGGCCACAATGGCGCAGGTAGCAGAAAGTGGCTCAGAACACCCGAATAGCCCAAGCGCGAACCAGGAGACTGTCCTTCAGGGGATCGAAGGCGGTGATGCTGAGATTTCCCAGGTCAAACCAGTGCATTTCGGTTGCTTCAACGACCGGATCCAGACAGAAGTGCAAAACCTCCAAACTGGGTTGTCTACCCTTGATGGCGCGATTAGTGAGTTGACCAGGCAATTCAGGAAGTATAGAAAGATAGTTAGTGCTGTTGGTGATCGCTACGGCGATGATGAGGCCTTGATGAAACAGATCCATGATCTCGAGATTGGGAATAAGGCAATATGGAAGCAAGCTCAGGGTGATCGGGACTCACACCGACAGGAGATAACTGAGTTGAAGGAGCAGCATGGAAGGGAAATTCTTGACCTTCAAGTGAAGGCGGAGGCCGGTGACCAGAAGAAAGTAAAATACGAGCAGAAAATTCAAGAGATATCCGAGAAGCATACCCACGCCCAAGAGAAACGAGACCAGGAGCTGAAGCAGAGAATACAGGATTTGGATCAAGAATATCTACTGAAGAAGAAGAAGCTGGAAAAGGACAACGCGCAAACGATTGCCAACCTAGCAAAAGGCCGGAAGGACTTGGAGGAGACGAATGTTCTCCTCTTAAAGGATCTGCAGGATCGGACATCCGAACTAGATCAGGAGAAGAGGCTACGGATCATGGTACAAGAGAAGATGGAAAATGACTTGACGGCGCGGCAGGGAGAGATTACTAGCATCAAGAAACAGTATCAACTGGAGCAGCGGCCTCTGAAATTCTAGTATTGCCCAACCCCCCAAAAAGACAGATGGTAAGAGATATGCTGACTTGTTGTGATAGCACGGAGGAGTACAAGAAGCTATTTGAACGGGTCCACGACGTTGTCTGTAAGCGCCTGACAGATCTTCCACCTAAAGCCTCGCAGGTACGTGAAGTAGCCATTGGGGTCTGGAGAGAGCCCTTGTATTGACGACCAATCTCCATTATGCAGAAACCCGCGGACATATCTGAGAAATTATCTCAACAAAACCGGATCTTTGAACAAATCCCTATCGCTGAGTCCGAGTGTTCGGTGATGCTACGAAGAGCCGCTGCCGAGCACCTCATCATTGAGTTCATATGTGATATATTATGGCGCCCGTTTTTCTCCGAGTATTTGTTGTCGAGCCACGTGAACGACTCGGTGCTTCCAGCAATGCATTCAGGAATGGCCGAAGCTGGAAAGGATTTTCAACATCGGTGGAAAGTGGCCACATTGAAGACGTTGGATAAGCTCGACGAGCCGAATAAGTCGGACGGACGGCACGAGATTGGGAAGCTTGTTGACAAACAAATCACGACGCCCTTGCGCTATCTTCTTAACGACTTGCAGGCATTCCTCTCCGACTTGAACCAAATCTTCTCCCAGGCCATTGAACTGGGCAAAGCGGCAGAGCGCGATCAGATGAACATCATCATTGAGAAGACCCCGTACGTGAGCGAACAACATTCGGGTGGGTGGAAAGATTGGCTGGACGAGAGCTATGAGCCTGACTACGGGTCGGATGAATCTCCGTCATCGCCGACTAGCACCCTCACCACCGCTAGTTTGGTCTTCCGCACAGAGCCGCTGTTGACAAGCCCCAAGATTTCGCGTCAGGCGGAGACAAACGGAGAGATCGAGTTGATTCTTCCGGGACGAGCGATATTCCCGGAACGGGGCATTTTCCAGGAGGGGGCCTTAGAATGGCAGAAGATCCACAATGCGTCGAGCGAGGCGGCTCGAGCGAAGAATCGGTTGAATCGACGACAAAGCATGGTAGGGTCGGGGTCGATTGTGCAATCGCCAATGCAGCCGTCCAGTCTGTGGGGTAGCTCGAGTTTGCTTGAGCAGCGAGAGTGATTCGACGAGTGGAAGATAGTGACTGACAACGATTTACTGAGTGTTGGGGTGGCCGAGGGAGCCAGGGACTCCAGGGCTCCCGAGTGGCGAAGACGAGAACTACACGACCTCCTCTGACCCTGACATAGTTGCAGGGCCTATCCAAGGCTGCCCCTGAATCTGCTGTGCCAGCGGGGCCCTCAAATTGCGGCTGTGTAAAACTTTTAATGTTTCGTACTGCATTTAATACTATATCCTGTGGAAGACGATCAAATCGGTCTCTGGTATCACTCCATTTCTCCCCCAATCACTTCCATATCGGGCGCTCGCCTCGGGACGTCCATTATCCCTTCTATGTAAGCACAAGACACGAAATAATCGTGACTCGGTGGCTGCTTCTCGAGCACGTAGGGCCGGTATGCGCCGCCCAGCATGTCAATTTGACCCCCAGTCTTTCCAACACCCTTTCTGACATCGACCCAAAATCCCAGATTTCGTCACAAAGATATCTTCCTGAGTCTCGATTTAGGGCGAGATGTTTTGGAGGGGAGCAGCTCTGTCCGTCCAAATCGTGAGGTTTGGCTTGTAGTCGTCGACTTGTCAATAGCGGGCTACCCTGGGTCCACGCTTAGAGAACTCCGATTTAGAGTGCGGCAATTGTATTCCCCGGCCGTTTGCGGATTTGCGAGGACGGACCGGATAAAGAGTCGTATTCGGCACGAGGCGGCAGCACAGAGGACAGACAGCTATAGTTACTGAAGTAATAATTAGTTCGATAAAGCTCCTTGTATACATTTATGCTTATCTCTCTTCTATATAAGGTTAGCACCTGCGAAGGCGTTAGTGTCCCTTAGTATATACTTTAGCGTGGGCCGACCTCAACTCACTCAACCCGACCCGATTTATGTAAAGGCTATTTTACCATCATCCTTCGACTCGTATCTATTGAGCCGAGCAAAGCAAGCTCAGATTAGATCAAGTCGAACAAATAAATAAATAAATATGGCCCCCCGTCTTATGGTCTAGAACGTCTGCCCGTTTGCGCTATTTACGCTGATGGATACGGAGACCGGAGGACAGAGTTCTGGTTCTGGTTCTGGTCCAAGTTCGATTCCATCTATTGTCGCTCCTACTTCTGCTTCTGCTTCTGCTTCTGCTTCTGCTTCTACTCGGAGGCAAGCCGACAAAGTAACAAAGTTTTCATCGCAGCGTTAGGAGCAGTGGAGTTCAGGCACACATTAGAGTATAATATACCTATCTACCTGTCTAGTAGGTATCGTGACAGGAATGTTGGCATGTTCGCTCAAGCGTAAAATGCGCATTTGAAAAAACTGGTTCATAATATACACATACATAAAAGGAGTAGTCATAAAAGTGTTCGTCATAAATAAAAAAACATCCGTGTCAATAGATAATTGTCGTCAAGCCTCCCTCCAAGTGAAGTACATGGTTCCGCCTCTTCTTGTATGGTGTTGGGCATCGCTATTCTGCCAAATCTAATCAGGCGCGGCAGGATCAACACCCCCGCGTGGGCGTAAGAGAAGGTCGGTGCTGCGAGGGCACTCAGAGCCGCTGTCGCCGTCTTGTTCAGCTTTGTTGTATGCCGGCCGACTTTCCGGGGTGCCTGGTATCGATGACGGGGTTGTACTGTTCACATCCTCCTCGTCACCAGGCACATTCCTGGCTCGTCGCGGAAGTCGTGACATGGTATCGACCAACTCTGAGTAGAATTTCTGGACCGGGTCAACGACTTTGGGCCACTTGCTCAAAACCGCCTGGATGGCAGTTCCTAGCCCCGCGAAGGCTACAACCAAGGCTGCAAAAGATCCAAAGTTCGGCTTCACGAACGGAATGACTTTGGAGTCCATGGAGAAGAAGTTCGCCGCCAGTGCTATAGGCGAGACGAAAACCTATGATGGGAAGGAAAGTAAGCCGGTTGGCGAGGCTATACACAATATGATATTTCTGGGCTTTATGACTTACTAGCATCATCCATGAGAATTGTTGATTGAGGCGCGCCACTCTTTCCGCCTGGGTGGCTGCGTCAAGATTAAGCTGATGCTGTTGCTTGCTGAGCTTGGCTGCATCCAAGTAGAATTGGATCTGTTGATTCCTCAGCCCAGCTGCATTGACATCGAGTTGAAGTTGGAGCTTGAAGAATCAAACTTCGGTCAGCACACCTGACAAATGAACCAGTCGTGAGTCCGCCACGACAGATAACCCGAACGTACCTCCTGGGGAATTTCGTCGCAGCGTTCCTTCAAGTTTCTCAAGGTGCTCTTCAAGGTTCGAAGGTCGGCGATGGTCGCGTTAATGCCAGAGAGGGACGGGTGCTTGTGTGCTGTCATGGAGAGACCATCGAAAATGTCTGTGTTGGATAGAAACTTTTCGAGAGTTTCGATTGTTGTTGACAAGCTCGAAAGCAATCTTGTCAACAGGGGTCTGCACCCAAAAAGCCACTCCGAAGCCCTTTCCGGCCATATGTTGTTGCCTTTTGACTGCCGTGAACGGCCTTGTAATAGTATGTTAGAAGGCATAAGACGTTTGCCCTGTCGAGGAAACCCATCAGATTAAATGTCCTGAAGCAAGAACTGCACCAACGTCCTAACGCGCGACCCTACCCCGATGCACAACCGTCCGTCTCAAACTCCTCAGTAACCAGTTTAGGAGTGCCTCGAACCGTCGCAAATTTGTGAGATTATATGAAGGAAAGGGGACCGTACCTGTTCGGGCTCATATGCACGGAAACTCTCTTGCACCTTGCTAACAATTTGGGCCCATTCTTGACAGATCTGGTGCATCCGAATTCGGATTACCTCGAGATAATATTCTCTCGGATTCTCAATGGGATCGTCTGCGTTGTGCACGCCCCATGTGATAGGATCTGCATTCATTCCTTCTTCGCCTTGACTGTCATCGTAATAAGATAAGACGTCTTCTTTCCCGTTTTCTCGAGTGTCAAAATATGTGTCCACAAAGCAGTAGGCAACCCATCGCCGTTCGTCGCATCCTGTGACAACAAAGGAGACTTGTGCCTCGTGGAGATGGGCGACCGGTTGATCAATTGTACAGGTAAGGAATGAGACATTGTGTGAATCTCGCAAGCGATTTCCGCTCACGTCTCGACGTGGGTCTTCATGAACTTCCTTCGAAGCTCGCAACGCGAAGTACGGGACGTGGAAAGCTAATTCAAATGCAGGAAGCCCTATCGTCTGTAAGATAATGCTGTTAGCATGCCTTTGCGTGCGTTCTGCATTAGTGATAGTAGATACTTACGGAAATTTTTGTCTCGATGAAGGTCTCCAAGGCAAGATGCTTGTAAATGGCGGCGCGGAGTGCCGGGGCCTGATACTCTGATGCAGTACTGGCAAGGGCGTAGATACTGGAAAGATCTAGATCAGTGATGAAGCTGTATCACTGTCAGCACTTGGGCCCCGTTGCTTTATCTGGGATTCGAGCAGACACACACGAGGCGCCGGTCTGCATTCGGCTCGTGCAATGCAACTCCCGCAGTCTCTGGAACGGAATCGTCTTCGCGTCGTCGTAGGTAGTGGACCGATCGAGCTCTGGATGTTCCACCTAATAGGTGAATGCCCTATTCATTAACGTCAGTCCTGCATCTTTTCTCGTTGAAAATTGTGTAGTTTCTCACAAATCTTGGCAAGGCTCGACGAGGTCTGTTCTCCGAGGAAGGACTACTAACCGGACTGGGGGATGGTTGCCGTGACCGGAATCTCTGGAGAAGATTTAGTATTAGATAGTTGTTGATTCCATTGAATGCCAGAGGACCGGAGGATCATACAGGTTTCTTTAGTTCCACATAAAGCTCGTCTGCTGTTAGCGGTCTGAGGGGCGCTCTTGGGCGTAGTTCTCCATCCTCCCAACCTCTCTCATCCAGCAGCGCAACCGGTGGTAAAGGGCCGCTGAGTGGACATAGTTGCTGAATTCTGTCGGCTTGGGGCTGTACTGCATCGGATTCCTCAGGACCATGCATGAAAACCGGGATCAGATCGCCGCCTTGACCAAGTGCGGCCTGTCTTTCAACATAGGGTATGTTTTCTGTATATTGATACACGGCCTCCCGCGCTTCTGGGAAAATCTGGGGCCAAGCGGTGCTGTGAAAAGAGAATAAGAGAGTTGCTCAGGATTAGTCGGCCTCCAAGTCCCCCTTGTCGCGCACATCAATACCACGCGGATCACGTACCTCATGTTGTACGACCTTCGGAGCGTCTCTCAATTACCTAATCAAAAATAGCACACCAAAGAAACTGCAAGGAGGCCCTTACTATCGCGAGGCTGGAGTCAACACTGGGGAAGGAGACGTCAGAGACAATGTGGAAATGATAAAAATTGGGAAACCCCATGCAATATGAATACGCCCAGGGAATCTGTGGAAATATTTCTTGATTGCTATCAAGGCAGGACGCGCTGCGTGAAGCTCGATTGGATCCACGTCAACCGCTATGTCGGGGCAACTTTTGAATGGATGGCGATGCAGAGTCTTCTTTATGGAGCTCGTCACATGAACTGCGGTACAGTATGCGACGTTGATATGTCGCTGATTGGTGTAATACCGCCGTTTGGTGCATCTCCTCCTGCCGCGCACCTGACCATTTTCTCCGTTCTGCAATTTTGACATCGCGGCTGGCGGCACTGAGGACAGGCATTGGTCTTGATATTGATCGAGCTGTAGCCGCACCGACACTAAGATAGGTCGGTTAGATCTGACCGCGGTGAGGGTGAGGGTGCGCATTACACAGCTCCAGATGAAGACGGTAGTTGCCTTTTTTCTTGCCTTTCGAGGGTGACTGTATGATACGTTCGTCAGCCGGTTGGGCTTTTGCCAAGCGAGCCAATGGCCCAAGGAAGACAGCCTTACCATTTGCTGAATCGGATTATTGTTATACCAAGTACGAGGTTTGTAAACGAAAGTTTGTTGCTTCACCACCCTGTCTTATATGATGGATAGAACAGGGCATTCAGAATGAAAAATTGGACGATGTGCCGAATGCAATTTTGTCGTAGTAATCCCGCTCAGCAGCGTGTCAAAGAATTTCGATGAAGTTCGACACCTGCCACCGACATCGATCGGACTCATTTGATACACAAGGGCCTTCCGTCGCCTGCGGGAACAGACGAAGTAGCAGAAAATGACGGGCCGCCACTTTCATGGCGCAGCAGCTCGACTGGACCCAATTAGATAAATGTAGGGGCCCTTGCGACAGCGTAGAACAGGTGAGCGTTGCAATTGTCCAATAGTCGGCTTCTGGTATCATTGCCGAGTAAGTAGCCGCTGTCGCGATGCAATTCAGATGGTGCCGGCGCCGGGAACCAGCATAATTCCAAATAATATTCATTGTCCAGCAGACGTCTTCTGATCTCGTTGCCGCCTGAGGCCGCTGTCGCTGTGCAATTCAAATGCTGTAGACGTCGGTAACTGTTTCACCCATTTGACACATCGATATCGAGATAGGTGTGCAGGAACGTCAGAACAACCCTGTCACTCCATTACTAGCAGGCCAATGCCAAGGCCGGCTCGGAGACAGGTGCGGACGGTTGTGGCGGAGGAAGCATCTCGCTGCCAGCAGCGTTCCAGGGTCGCTCTCCGCAAAGAGTCCTCGGCCGATCGCACATTGGGATTGCGACAAGAATTGCGGCTCGATCGGGATATATAAGATCAACGGGAAACCTCCATCTGGTCCGAATGGGAAGACAACTCCGTATTGGTTGTCCTTAACTGCTCCCTCATCGTAGGGTGCCCGACAAGGGAATGTTCATTTAACCAAGTCATGGCTCGGTCAGAGAAAACGATGGAAGTCATGATCGATCGGATTGCTGGAGGTGCCCTGATCATCTTCACCACAGCCTCGCCTCAGCTCGCCTCTTCGTGGAGAAGTGCGGCGTTGCCCACTTTATACCAGAAAAAGGGTGAAGGGGGCGAAGGGGGGATTGGGGACGCCAAGCCCAGCCGGAGCTCACACGTGACCATGTGATTGGTTACCGTGGCCACAGCAGCCGCAGCCTAACGCAGCCTCGCCGGCCGATCGGTTGTGATTGATGCGGCATTTTTTTTGGTCTCCGTTGCTGGTCCGATTCATTTTCGCTGCAGCTTCAATTCTCCCCAAACTCCTTTTTTTCTTAATTCAAGAAACTCCATCGCTGGTCTTGTATATCACATCTTACTCTCTCTTTGGTCGTGTTTCGGTTCAGGTCCGCCCTGCTCTAGATCTCTTTGCACCGTTCTCGTTAGATTCCTTTCGAGTTCAATTGTTCTCTCATCTCCACTCCCTCGTAATGGCGACTGCAACTCCTCAGGTTGGTGCTGCTATCCCAGCTGCCACCCCCGCTCCCAAACAGCTTTCCGGCATCGATCTCTACAGCAGATTCGTGAGTGGTCATCGTCCAGCTAATCTGTCTTGGTCACTAAATCCATTCTAGGCCTTTGCTGGTGCAGTCTGTTGCTCCGTCACCCATGGCGCCCTTACTCCGGTTGATGTGTAAGTCTCACCTCCCACGGCGCAACCGACAGGCGCTGACAATCCCTTCAGCGTCAAGACGAGAATTCAGCTTGACCCTGCTACATACAACAATGGCATGATTGGCGGTTTCCGAAAAGTCATCCAAAATGAGGGTGCTGGTGCTCTCTTGACTGGTATCGGCCCTACCTTCACCGGCTACTTCCTGCAGGGTGCCTTCAAGTTTGGAGGATACGAGTTCTTCAAGCAACAATCCATCAACCTGCTCGGCTATGAGACTGCTTCAAATAACCGAACTGCTGTCTACCTCGCCTCCTCTGCCGCCGCCGAATTCTTCGCCGATATTGCTCTCTGCCCACTCGAGGCAACCCGCATTCGCTTGGTCTCCGAGCCCACCTTCGCTTCTGGCCTGATTGGCGGCTTTGGAAAGATTTTGAAAAATGAAGGTGTCATGGCTTTCTACAGTGGTTTCGGTCCCATCCTATTCAAGCAGGTTCCCTACACTATGGCCAAATTCGTCGTCTACGAGAAGGTCGCTGAGACTGTCTGGCGCACACTGGACAAGAACACCGCTTCCGATAGCACCAAGACCGTCGTCAATCTTGGCTCTGGTCTGATCGCTGGTTTCGCTGCTGCCATTGTCTCTCAACCTGCCGACACCATGCTTTCCAAGATCAACAAGACCAAGGGTCTCCCAGGCGAGAGCACGACCAGCCGACTTTTCAAGATTGGCAAGGAGCTTGGTTTCCGAGGTAGCTATGCTGGTATTGGCGCTCGTCTGTTCATGGTTGGTACCTTGACTGCTGGTCAATTCGCCATCTACGGGGATATCAAGAGGTGAGTTTGTCCCCAATATCTGACCTCGAAAACTAGTACTAACCCGATCTTCCACAGGATGCTTGGCGCTACCGTAAGTTTGCCCTGAGGTTGAAAAACAACTTCGACGTGGCCTATTTTCTTTGCTTTGCTGTTCCATCGATGTGGACACAGGCTAACAACTCTTTACAGGGCGGTGTTGAAATCGCCAAATAGACGCAGAAAAGACGACGGATTTGCATGATTTCAGCTCAGGTTATGGGTTCGGAGCATTTCATACCTTTTATGTGGGCGGATCTTCAGCATGCACACACGGCACACAACCTTGAGCGACGCTGCGAGGATCTTTTAGACGATCGGAGCATTTCCGAATAGATGGTCCTGGACGGGCCTAGACGACCTTTCTTGAGGGCTGGTGCTAAAATTTCTTGCATGTGATAGACTTTGCGCGGTCTGCTTGGACTGCTCGAGGGAACAAAGATTCCAACAGTTTCTTGAGGACCTAAAAGCAAGACTTCTACAATAGACGGTGAATATGTACCAACAATTTATTTAATGGCACAACAGAATCTTGTCTGTCACGCACCTCTTGGGATCTCCGTGACACGACAACCACGAACAGATCTTGTTGCCGATATATATTTTGGCTTTCTCGTAACGCCAGCCTCCTCCATTGGGACCCGGCAGCTTTGCGGCAGCTTTGCGGCCCCGATGGGATGCGATGTAATGAGATGTGGATCTTCAATCCTGAGCCTTGCCGCTATTCGTCAAATTTTCTCTCCCTCTCCTTGCAGCTCACGCATTAAGTGATCGCTATTATGTACCCTCTTTCTTGCGCCGAAACGCAAACAAGGCATCGTCCTTGCCCGCAAAACTCGGCAGTGGCACCTGCGCGACCTTTTCCCACGCGGGCTTCTCTCTGCGCATGTACTCGTCGACCATCATGTCCTTGAAGCCGGTGTAGCCGTTGCCGTTCTGCGTGCCGGCCATGCAGACGACGTCGCCCGTGTACGCGTCGAGGACCTTCCGTGTGAACTCTCCGCCGCCACCAGCGCCGGCGATGGGGTAGACGAGCAGAAGCAGGCTGTCGGGGCAGCCGGCGCGTTTGCGCAGGTACGTGACTCCGTCCGTGACGACCGTGTCGGGGATCCATACTGTGCGCCATCGCGACTGGCCGCTGTCGACGGCGACGACGCTCAGGCCCAGCCGACGCAGCATGAGTGTCCAGTACCCGTTTCCGCTGCCCATGTCGAGCACGCTGCCGCCGCCAGACGCCAGTTTCGCGATGATCTGGAGTGATTCCCATGACGGGCACACGCACCCAAAATGGTGCATGTACACAGGCAGGACGTGGTGCGAGGTCTTGACCAGCGCCGTCTTGGCGTTGGGCCCCGCGTACTCGAGCGCCATGCAGGAATAGGCCCAGAAGTCCAGCGACGGGTTCTCGTGCTGTGTCGTCTTGGAGTGGCTGTGTCCATCTTGAGCAGCACCAGCAGGAGGGATCTTGAATTTTGGCACACTGATCGAGGGATCGAGGTAGCGTTTGCTGAGGAGATATTCTGCCACTGTCGCGCGGAGCGAGCCCTTTTTGGCGTTTGCCAACAGAGATTTCAGGCTATTGGCGGCGGATTTTGTCGGGTCGAATAGCGAGATGTAGGCCTGGATGTCTGCTGTAGGCGGGTAGCCTGATATTCGCAACGACGGCTGTCCGGGGATCATCCTCGATGCCGAGTCGTCCTCGTTGCCATTGTGGTCGACATCTTTGTTGTTCAAATCAATAGCAGAAGCGGTTACTTCAACGTACCAACCATGCAAGCCGTTCGTCCTCCCGGCCCGGATGGCTGCCTCCGCTTGACCGAGGTTGACCGACGCATTGGCATGGTACGTGAAGTTGTCGCCCGGGCTCAGTTCAAAAGCCGTTGCGAGGGCTTCTCGAAACTCGTTGGCCTTGAGGTGCGTATGGATTTTGTCCCAGATTTCTGGGGTTGTGTCGCCGTCGTTGTCGCCGAAGAACAAGTACGACGGCGACCACGTCTTCGACCCGTCGGTGACTGCTGGCAGAGAGGGCGCCATTTTTTCTTCTTCTCTTCTCCAACCTACTTACATCTAAAAAAAGGCGTGCGATCAATCACCAAGGGATAAACCTGAGACGTCAGCCAGGTGAGGAAAGTGAATGAAGGGAGCAATACGTCCACAAAATGAGAGGGCTTAGAAAAAGTTATCGAATAGTTTACGCAGTAGCGGGGTTGAACATTGGATTTTTGAAATGACGACATTTCTGGTCACGCAAGGCTGCGAGGCTGATGGAGGATGGGGTGAAGGGGCGAGGGGGCCCGTTCCCGTGGGCCGACTATGGACCCTTTTTGTGGTGCAGCTTTACCACCACACAGGTGATGGTGCACATGATTCAAAATAGCAAAGTCTGCCTGGAGTCTTTCAAATGATTGGTTTCAGCCCACACTCACAACACCAAGAAACAGCCTTTCACCCTCGCTGCCACATGTGACTTGAGGCTCATAGAGGCCATCACTAACCTGTTTGGGACTCGTCGCGTAATCTGACATATTTGTTACATAGGGACCACCCTACCCAGCCTCATTCCTCTTCGCTCTTCCTTCTTTCCTTGAGATAGACAGAAAGAGCCCAGCCAGATATCTAGTACACCCCCCTTGGGGTCGTTGCCTCAGAGCCATTGCGGCACTTCGCCTTTCCTGGGATTCGACTTGCGACATTGCTGACCTGTGCTTTCTCACGCGAAATCTACCTATTTGCGGTTGGATCCGCGGAAATGTTACATGTTCCATATCAGCCACTTGTGCGGAGTAGGAACGAAATCCGTCTCATTGTATTGAGAGACATACCAAGTAGACAGCGCCACCAGCGGGCCCAACCAAACAGACAACCCTCTCAAATGCGAGATGATAACTACATCTCTCGATCTCTAAAAAGTTCTGGATAGTGACTATGTCACACACGGAGTTAACAAACTTCGCAATGCTTTAGCTCGTTTCTTTCTGGATGACTATCCATATTCAAAGGGATTCTACGCAGTATCATATGTATGGGGGAACCCAACGGCTGTTTGTGACATTGAAATCAATGGAACAGCAGCCAAGATTGCAGCAAACCTCGGTGCTGCGTTACATTTCATTCGAAAGAACACAAGTTCCGCGTCCTATGGGCTGACGCCCTCTGCACATATTCCAATCGAACCGCCATGAAACACCTCAGAATTCTGAGATTTGCACCTCTGTTTTGCGAGGGCGTTATTTTACCATTGAACACCACAGAGGCACAAGGGGGCCTACTCAGGCCCCTGCGATCGGTTAAACCTGCCTCCCAGCAAGACATCTGTTTCAGCTAAGCCTCAGTGAACTTGGCTAATCCGTGTCCACACGGTGCTACATAACATTCTTATGCATAGCACCTTCAATTCCTGGTACCTATAATGCATGAGATTGATCGCTTCGGAGAGCTCCGCGCTATTTGTCTTGTCCATCCAAACAGTGCCACCCTAGCTGAATCTTCTGAACGATCTTGAGAGCGAGGTGGTGTGGCTACGAGGGCTTCAGGTACACGCAGTTGCAGGTCAGAGCTTACGGAGCCTTGCAAACCTAAGGCCGAACCTCATGGCCTCTTCATCCTCTACCCACGGCCTGATGATCTTATAAATATGGAACCAAAGCTTGAATTAGAGTAATATGCTGTCAAATTTCTTCAGGATGTTCAGAGTTTTGTCTAATTGCTGAATAGTATAATCGCAGTCCATGGCTTGAACGGCGACGCAAAGGAGACATGGACTGATCCAAAGTCTGGGATCTGCTGGCTGGAAGAATTCCTCCCTGATGCCGTCCCCAGAGCGAGAATTATGACCTTTGGATATGACTCTAGGCTTGCATCCAGGCGCTCCGAGGCTAGACTTGACAATTTTGCAAATGATCTATTGAATCGTCTCCGGATTGTCCGAAGTAGTGACAAGGCAAGACGCGTGTTCTGTGGATTCTTTTGATATATTGGTCTAACTGCAGTCTTGTTTTAGGCAACCCATAGGCCGCTGATATTCGTTGCGCACAGTCTCGGCGGCATCGTGGTCAAGAAGGTATTCTGATAGAGGTTCGCATCTCGTTATGAGATTCACCGATGAGAAGCAACAGCATCAGAGAGGCTCAACAATTGAGTGGCAGATCACCGGCGAGGACTCCGCTGGAGGCTTCCAGCTCCAAATAATTCCGGACTTCCGAATAGCGGCGATGTCTGCGACTTCAACACGCCATGTATGCTGTTCTGGTGAACCCGGAAAACTACAGTCCTACACGTATAATTTCTATGACGACACGACAAGCTTCGATGTCTACAAGTCGCCCACAGAGCTAAATCTACCAGTGGGTAGCACTATTTACATCAAGGACCTGACAACCTTGAAGCAAGACCGCCCTAAGACCGCCCTAGACTTGATAGCCGAGGCCCCAGCCCATCAAAACGCAATCGACACTGTGGAGATCGAAATCTATCAAGAACAGCGGCCCGAACAATTGATATTTAATGTGAAGGTCTCAATAGGCCAGGAGAAGGGGTCTCATTCACTGTAAGCACATTGTGTACCAGGATAACACTTTGAATTTAACAGTGATGGATTTTCTTGTACAGTTTGATACCGATGATTCCTTTGAGGACATTTTGGATGTGGTCCGAGACAAGTTTTCGGATAGAGATGCCTCCCTCCATATGGCCGACCTTGTGAACAGCGAGCCCATGGCTCAGATCAACACCTGGGTAGATCTCAGAGCAGTTAAGTCTTTGACTTATTACCTAAAGAGACAAAGTCACAATGGTTAGGACTTTATTTTATTAAGTTCAAGTATCTCAGATGATGACCAGCGGAACTACTGGTGATTATGGTCGAATACTGACCTTTCAGGCGCACTCTGTTGCGTCGACATGATGGTGAAAGAAGTGGATCACACCGCTGTCTTTCAGTACGGATCGAATGTCATTGTCGGTATGAATGCGGATGCTACAGTGCGCGAGCTGAGATCGCAACTGGAGGATCTAATGGGAAAGTCTTCCGCGACGTACCTCATTGGATTCATGGGCTCCATTCTGCAGGATGAAGCGAGGGTTTTCGATAACTCTAAGGCATTCTATGGTCTTGATAAGAAGTCCACCGTATATGTTCAACACTTCAGCATTTTTGATGATGTAAGAATTACCATCCAGGTGAGAGACGACAATGGTCGCCTTTATTTCAAGGCTACAACCAGAACTCAATTTGGGAAAGTTTGCAAGGCGTACTGCGATAAAAGGGTTAAAGACCATCGGAAGATTCGGTTCCTCCATAAGGGGCAAAAAAATCTTCGGAGGTACGCAGTCCCCATATGCTGGCATTAGGCAACTGCTTACTGGTTTAGGGGATTTTCTGGGAAGTTTTATAAAGGATGTAAGAATACCGGATCTACGTTCCAGCGCACATCTGTGTTAATCACATCTGCTTGCAGGGAGATGTTATTGAAGTATGTGATGAGCAAGTGGGGGGGGCAGGGGGAATGAGGCAGAGATATGACTGTTGGTGATGTTGGGAGTTCTCTCGCCCAACAGTTAGGCATCGCAAAGAAATTTCAGATTTTACTTTGCGAAGGAACAATTCTCAACGATGGTGAGTTCGTTTTCACTTGCAAGTACCCTTGCCTACGATTATGATAGAGACCATAGACTTTGCTAATGCAATGAGAAATATAGATGAGCTTGCTAACCGTTACCTTAATCAACCGCTTCTCCTGTCTGTTCTGCCAGACAAACGAGCAAAAGTCCTTGGCTTTGGTGCTGGCGGAAATATCAATCAGTTTGTAGAACCAGATCACTACGATCCTCGCATCTGGGATGTTGCAAACTCTAAGATTCTCAACGTCCACATCATTGACTCGGCAACACTTAAGGAGGTGACACAGTTTGACCCTCCTGAGCCCCCTGTAACAGCACAGGCATACAAAGACAAAGGCCTCTCTTTGTTCCAATTCCCGCGTGGCGGTGATCCAAAAAATGGGGTTGCGGGCAAATGGAGCATGCTCACAGGGGTTGCTGAGATAGAGGGAGAGCATGCGAAAATATTCACCGAAGTCGATACGCAAGCTAAGCCGATGGGGCCGATGGATGATACGATTGAGATCGAGGAGTTTGAGGAAAGAGGCGTCGACTTTTTAGTCACGCTTTTAGATGTCGACGACACTGTGCCTCCTTTTCGGGGTGTGGTGCTGTTGTCGTTGACAATAACATGGGATAGTGTATTTGACGTAGACGCTGTGTGGGTAATACAGAGCAGTGACAAGAGTACCTAGGCCTCTTTATCGTGTAACATGGACACTAATTATTTTGTTCATCTTAGTACACCACTCAAGAAACACAACTTCGGAGATCAGCAAAGTTCTGCGGGAGCTTTGGGTCGATAGAATCACAATCTACCACTAAACCGCACTATCGGGAGACAATTCGTCAGCTTCGACAAGAGTCGACTCTTCCATCTTGTTTATGATTTCGGCAAGAGACAGAGGTTCGTGTGGTACGAAATCCTACGAAAGAGAATTTTGTCGTTGGTGGATCCTTCGATCGAAAGAGGCGTTGAGATATACTGGAGATTATAGATATAGCCAGCATCCGACGTATCACCGTAAGCACCATCGCCATTACCGGCGCCCGGCATAAGAGTACAGGCCTTGCCGATCATTGCCTCACCTGCCTTCCTCCATCGAACACAGCAAACAGCCAACACCTCACAGAACTTTTGAGAAAAGTTGATAATGGTAGCACATACTTGAACAGCGGGTTTGTGATGCCATCCTTTGTAGGTTAATTGGCGGGAAATGTGGGCACTCCCTTGGCAACCATCAATTCGACTTGGGATACTGTTGTAGACAGAATGAGAGTGGATCTATCTTGTTGATTGTGTTGTCCCCCCTGGCTTTTCAGAGAGACTCTGCCTATCTATATACTATTTGCACTGTGGCAACATGCGATTCGCTGAATAGATCTAGACCTGGCCAGATCTGTCCAGACCTCGTTGTCGATCAACGGTGGCACCGAGGCTATTATAGAGAGGCCTCGGTTGAAGCATTGGTGGATTGGTTGGTTTGCCACAGTGGCGTTCTGCTGTCAACAGATACTAGCTCATCAGGTTAGCTTAGTATGCATGTATTCCTATGGAACCGCAATGAAACACCTCAGAATTCTGAGGTTTGAACCTCTATTTTGTGAGGGGGTGAATTTACAAGGAGGAGCCCCGACTGCGATCCTTGGGGTCTTAATTCGGCTCCTCCAGCGACCGGCTAGACCGGGCTCAACGATCAGAAATCGCACCAGGCGATTCCTGGGCTCCACTGGACAACAGGGGTTGCGTATCCTTAACAGAATAGGCGAAAACTAAGAATTCAGTGCAACTCAAAGAGCCTTTCACCTCGCACCTGAGTACTCAGAACCTCTGACAAATCAGAAAGAAGACGCGGAGTTTGTGTGAAACACTGGCCGCAAATCTGTGACCCGAAACGAGATCCCATCTCGAAAGCCACAAGATCTGCCAGATCGCTGGAGGACTATGTCAGTGCCTTGTTAGTGGTTCGGAATGCAGATCGAATGTACGAACGCCTTGCATCAACTGTGGTACCGGCAAATATTTCGCTTGGTCGAAAGCCGAGATTAACCACTATCCAGCTGGCGTGGGGAGCAGGAATGAAGCAATTCGATCATGGCGACACCTGGTATTAAGGCTGGCATAGAGCTTGTGAGGCCTCGCGAAGGACATGATGGGAGTCGCATGTGGAACTCCTTGGGAATGCTATACGACGCCCGCCCTCTACCTCTTTTGGCATATAACCTTTGAAGCTGCTGCGCGACCTTCCATGTTAACGTTTTGAATCTTAACCAGTTCGTTTGACCATTGGCGTCATTGGTGCTTAGGCTCGAGGGGCTAGCTTCCTACGACCGTAGTAGAAAAGTGATTTTTCCCGTGATCCTTAGCACTATAGTGTCAGCTAAAACTACGGCGAGCAACACAGGAAGACGGTAGAAGGGAAGATGGTGGGAGGGTGGATGGTAGGAGGATCTATCTGGAATGGAATAATAGGAAGAGACGTCAAAAAAGGAAAAAATCGGGAGCCGTGAGTATCGCGTTGTTTGTGCAAGACACTTGGTCACATTTCTTGACGGCTGAAAGGGACTCCCGGTAATGCGAAATGAGTAGTCTCAAGCATCTACCATCAGTTCGACCAAGTGGCACTTCTCCAGGCATAACACAGAATGTATCCAACTTTGATCGATCCAGAACCAGATGCCGCAGACACCTAAGGTTTAAACCTCTATTTTGTGGAGGGGTTGACCTTATGTATTTAAGCGTGTTATTTTCTTGTAGCCCGGAAGGGATCTAGTTGCCCTACGCCTCTCACGTCCATCGACACAAGTAATCTGGTGCATTGGAGTGGAAGCCTTGGCCAGCAGACGACGAGGTCGTAGGAACAACTAGCTTGCCACCCGCTGCAGTAAGATCAATACATGTTCACATGGTAATTGCGACCACATATGAGTACCTGCACCTCATATAAAGCACAGTATGGTCAGTTGCAGGAATTTTAGCTCTCCAAAGTGAACTCAGCACAGTTGTGCTTGATAGTCGTCTTTCAACGAGTGAGATACAGAGGTTTTTGGAAAAACCGTTGCTATGTACCTGAAGACCCGCCAAAGAGGAGTCTTTGTCTTGCAGTGGGAGCATCTGCACATCTCATTCGCCACGATCGGAAGAGAAGCTTGGGTGAGCCCAAAATTGGCTCCGGATTCCGTGCCTACTCTTAAAGCGGCAGGATGGAGCTCCGTCCCCTAGCTAGGCTGATTGCGCCAAAAGAGCCATTCTTTGATCTTCTCTCCGGAAGAGTCCGTAGGCTATCCAGGTTGCTGAGCAGCCACGAAACCCCCAATCTGATCAACGATTATGTGTATTGCCTAACAATGCGACAACCCTTTGACTGTGCACTGTCTTCCAAAAATTTCATGCAAATTTTGGAGTACTTTTGTCCTTCTACCGAGTGCAAGACAAGAACCCAGCTTTAGTTCACCGCTAGGCTTGCTGGAACCTGAGACCAGGATGTGCCGCTCTTTATTGGTCAGTGGCGCAGCGCCCGCCCTGCAGGCAGCAGCCGCAGGTCTGGCAGCTCTCCAACTTTCGACTACTACTCGTATCACTATGGTTATTGCTTTCTAAATCATCGCGAAAAATTTCTTTGTCCATCCCCAGACGCGTCTTATTTCGCCCTGTCGATTCCAATGAATTTCTTTAGGAATTTCTGGAGAGGAACCGAACGTGCCAGCCCCCAGGCTGGAACTAACTCGGCCAATGAAGAAGGTCATCTATGGTATGCAATGATATCCAGTCTCGGTCCTACAATCTCTAAATTGTTATCAGCTCCTCGAATAATGAATCCGCCTTTGAGATCTTTGCTGAACCTGAGGACGCCATTGTCGACATTGTCCTCGTCCACGGGTTGGGCGGCGATGTGGTGGATACGTGGGATCACCCGTTGACCAATGTGGTGTGGCCGCGGGATATCCTCCCTGCTGATGTGCCAGATGCCCGTATCATGAGTTTCCGATACGACTCCAAATTTGTGCGTTCTTTTGGTCCAGTCTCTTCCAATACAATCCGGGATCACGGGAGGGTACTTGCCGGAGCACTTGACAGCACACGGGATGTGGCAGGCTACGTTCGTATTTCACCATATGGTCTTCATTATTCCTAAGCTTACTGAGTTGTGCAGCCCACGAGACCAATCATCTTCATTGCCCACAGCCTCGGAGGGCTAGTTTGTGAATATGTACGTACTTCGAGGAGAGTCATCACACCCGCCAGCCTAACCCCACATCAGGCTATCTTACTTTCCGAGAAGGACTATCTTGCAAACTCGACCATTGGCATCATTACTCTGGGAACGCCACACGAAGGCTCTAACCTGGCAAACTGGTCGAAAATTCTCTCTGGAATTGCCAAAGTTTTCCCGGCTTCAAACAAGATCGTTGATGCCCTCCGACCATGCTCGGAAGAACTGGGAAGTCTTCAAGACGATTTTTTTCTCATGCTCAGAAGGCGTCGACAAAGACGTGAGCCGGTACCCGACATTGTGTGCTTTTATGAAGAGCTTGAAATGAATCGAGCACTGGGTTTGATCGTCACAAAACGTTCCGCTACTCTCTCCAGTTACCGGAAATACTCTCTCCATGGCAACCATGTTAGCATGGTCAAATTCTCAGGGAGGTCTGACGCAGGATACCAAGCGATCATGCGTGAAATCAAAATGTGGGTCAAGGAAATTGAGGGCAAAAAGACTGGATCACAAGCCGTAGGCTCAGGACGCGACATCGAGCCTCACGGAATGCAGCATGGCAAAACCTTTCGAAACTACTACGCGGGAAATGTGACTCACAGCGGACAAGTCTTTCAAGGGGACATTACTTCCTCTAGCACTATCAACATTAGTGCTCTGCCAAAGTAAATAGATATTCAGATGGCGGAAATCTTTGATCTACTCCCGAAGTATTGATTAAGGGACCCTTGTTCTTGGCTATTTACATAGTGATAGAAGCTGGCAAATCTCTTGAGGGCATATTTCAAGGATCCTCCCACAATGGGGGAGTTTGAGGAAGTCCCCATAGGTCAGAATCGTTGGTACCAGGCCTGTCCTCCAAGTTATCCAGCGCAAGATCACCCAGAGAGCTCTCTGTGTTTAGATCAGTCCCATGATTTACAAAAATGGAAAAAAGCTCCATCAACCTGTAGCTGCTACCGGGGGCGCGCATCCGCATGCCGAGAAGATGTAGTGCGGACTGACCAAGTCGATTCTTTGCGTTCACGTCCGCGCCAGCTTTTATCAGCATTTCAGCCAATCTGGGAGACACGCTTCCACTCTGTAATGCCCAATGGAGAGGAGTTTGGTCATTGTTATCCACTGCGTCGACTTCAGCACCTCGCCTAAGAAGGAGCTCAACAGCCCGTGTTCGACCTAAGCTTGCCGCGAGATGTAGAGGCGTAAGACCCTGTTTATCCCTCATCCTCACTTGAGTGCGGTTGTCGAGGGATAGCAAATCTATGGTACGAGTGTCGAAATGTTCATGTCGGTTGACATGTGAGTTAGCCGCTAAATGCAGAGCTGTTCGACCGTCAACATCTACTGCATCGACTTCGGCACCTTGCTCAAGAAGGAGCTCAACAGCTTCTGCCCAAGAATGGCCGGACGCAATATGCAGTGGAGTAAGACTCCTTTTGTCCTTCATATTCACTTGAGCGGGCCCATTGAGACAAAGATAACGTATCGTACGAGTGTCCTTCCTGGAATACCTGGATACCTTGTTGGTTGAGTTAAGTGCCAAATGGAGAGCTGTTCGACCGTCATTATCAACTGCATCAGCCTCGGCACCTCGCTCAAGAAGGTGCTTGACGGCCTCTGCCCAAGATCGGCCTGACACGATATGTAACGGGGTAAGGCCGTTGTGATCTTTCATCCTGACAAAGGCAGGATTCTCCGAAAACATGTTTATCGTCTCAAGAGATCGAGCCCCTGTCGCAGCGTAATGTAATGGTGCACAGCCCATTTCATCTACGGCTTCGAGGTCAGCACCGAATTGGATTACCATATCGACCATGGGTTGGCTGTATTTAGCTGCCACATGTAACATCGTGGTTTGTCGAATATGAGGAGAATCGGAAGATTCATGAAGTCGAACATTCATGTGCGAGCATCCTTTCTCAAAAAGATCACCTGCGATTGCACTATGGCCATGTGCTATGGCCACATGCAGCGCAGTGCATTCCAATCCAGTTCCTAAACAGTAGCATTTTGAACCGTCCCGATGCAAGCAATTGTTAAGCATGGCCGCTGCTTCGATATTAGCGCCAAGTTTAAGCAAGGACAAGACATGTTGCCTGAAACCCAAAGCAGCGGCCTTGTGAAGCAGCTTCTCCTCATCTATGACTTGCTTTGCTTTGTCTCCGAAATGCTCAAGCACTGTTTGAAGCAGTTCCAGAGAATCCATAAGAAGGGCCGAATCAAGAAGTCTAACGGAGACTGGCGGCTTGAAATTCACGACCTCCAGCATCGGACCGTGTTGTAGAGCTTGGCGAAGTCGAAAACTGCCTACGGCTCGAATATCCGCGCCGTGATGAAGCAAAAGACGCGCAATATGGACGTCGTTTTCGTTGATTGCTCTTTCCAGGAGCGTTTCAGAATGCAGGGCAATATTCGGGTCAGCACCATGTTCAAGAAGAATCCCGACAGCATCCTTATCCCATTTACCAACTGCCAAATCCATTGGTACACCCCAAGTATCAGGCTTTTTCCCATTCGCGTTTGCACCATGACGAAGCAAGCTTCGTAAGATTTCGCTCCTTCCTTTCTCGACTGCCCATATAACCGGAGATCTTGTCAGACCTGGATGACGTGGGTGGTCTTCTTCTTGAGGATTTGCTTTATGGAGAAGCAGGTATTCGACTATTTCTGGATGGCCGTATTCGACTGCCAAGATCAGCGGCGTTTTGCCATCGACGTCTCTGATATCGAGGTCCACACTCTTTCCATGTCCAGCTTTTACGCCCATTATATCCCCTTCTCTACAAGCTTTCAAGAGTAGCGGTTCTCTCTGGCTGTTTGGCTTTGCCTTTCGTGTAAGGGTTTCCATCAAACCTTCGATCAGGGATGCGCGTTTTGCCGATAGGCTTCTTACAGATGTGTTTCGTGCCGACACGCTTCTTATGAACGTATCTTTTGCAGACGTATCTTTTGTAGACGTGTCTTTTGTAGACGTGTCTTTTGTAGACGTGTCTTTTGTAGACGTGTCTTTTGTAGACGTGTCTTTTGTAGACGTGTCTTT